GTAAGATGGAATTGTTCTGAAGCACAAATAATCATGAGATGGTTTCAACATAAGAACATTAATATATGTTCAGATAAATCAGTAGTAGATTCTAGATCACATAAGACAGTATGTTGTACACTTTCATGATACTGCAAGTTCACTTGTCAAAGATTACTTGATTCAACTGACTAGATTGTCTCGAATTGATCACTTGGAGTTACACATCCCTACAAATGCAAAACAACTATCACGGGACAAAGAGATTCTTTGTGTTCGGGATTTCCAATGAAAAAAGCTTCTGACAGGTTGTACGTCGATATTTTCCGAAAAGAAATGACGACTAGTTGCTTCATCATACTATCATGAGATAACAAATAAGTTCGTTTCAAGAATCAAAAGATAAAGATTAGTCTCAAACAGATACAAGCAAAATCGAAAATCGACCAGTAAAGCAACTCGATACTCTACTTGTTGTTCAAAATCAGGACCGTATGTAGTCCTACTGATAGTAAGGTACAGGAATAGTCGTAAGTGTGCAAATAATGCCTTTTTCTTTTGTAAACTCAACAACGCAATTTTCTTGTATGGTAAAAAATAGGTCAAATTCGTACTTTTATCACAAAAACTATTATTAATATTCCATGTACCACTAACCAATACACTATAACTTTGTCTTGTTGTTATTGTCGTTGCTGTCATTTTACAATTCCAAGTAAGTAAAACAATTGCAATTGTCCACTCAAGCCAACAACGAAGAAAACAGTAAAAGATAGAAACACAAGTCATTCTCTTTGTAGACTTGATGACTATGCCATACTTTAGTAGGCTTGGGCTCATATTTGTTGTTGTTGCTGTTCTGGTTGAATTTCAAGTAGTGGCGAGTGGTTTGATTTTGCTGCGATAGTAGAAAAATGTTTTAGGTTCGTGTCATATGTGCAAACCACTTTGTTCGTCTGCGTATGCTTTCTAGGAATTATCTACTAAAAGTTGGACTTTATTTTCAGAGTCAAACCAAAACTCTAGTCGGACACGATGACATCAATGTTTGCACTCGTGTAATATTGTTGAAGTTCAACCAATCCTTCGTGAGTTTCTTTCAGAGCTACTTTGTATACTATCCAAACGCAAGCTGTTTGCACAAAATGTGAAGTCTCTTTTTCGCTTTTTGACAGCTACAACTACCACTATTTTCAACAGAACGACCTTTAGTGTGTAGAAAAGAAAAGCAGATCAGCAGCACTCTTGGCATGCAAATACTGTTATACACAAGTCGCCTTGTTTCCCATTCACACCGTACTACTAATGTTACCCTCCTTTCCAACTGTACTATGGACCAAAGACGATTTGCAGTATATGCCTTTCAGAAACACTATCAATACTGGTTTCACCTGTATTACTCTTATTACTTACATATCGTTTTAAACATCTTTCACCTTCGGTAAAACCAGTAATTCATAAAAACAAAGGCGTTTCTCAAAACGGACTAATAGCTACAATCGCCATTGTCACAACATTTTACCCAGGTGAACACAACCAAGATTTTCAACAGTGTCCTTTTGCTTGCTTTATTTCATGGTTCCCAACAAGTTGAGCATACTTTGAACTGAAAACTTTTCCCTTGCTTTCAAAATACAAGTTTATTCAGCTTTCGTTATCTAAAGCCCCCCATCCATAATATTTCAAAGTATCAATAGAGAATTGATATAAACGCTCGACAATACAAACAGCCATTAAAAATATGCAATGATGGACTCGAGACTTTCCTTTGCTATTCTGGAAAAGGAATGAATTTTACAAAGAGTGCGAATATCGTTTGTTTTCACTATAAAACCTGTTGCAGAGTTACAGACCAAGTTTTCCATCTTGAAAGAAGTCACATAGAAGACAAAAACTATCATACGGAAAGTAACTCTTTATACTGACCAAAACACTCAACTAAGTGTCTAACTGGTTTCTTGGAAAAACATCTTTGAAATATGAAACCAAGACTGATTCTCAACAATCGACTACAAGACTAGACTGTCAACTGCTAATAAATACACAAAAATGCTCTGTAACAATTATCAGTAAAAACTAAATCTAAATGAACTTGCGAGACAACTAATTGGGTAATGTAGTGAAACTCAACAACAGCTTAAACTCCTTTGTCTTTGCTCTTTTCTTGACAATACAGCTCACAAATTTCCATACAAGACCAGAAGTGAAATAACAACAAGTCTTGCATAAACTATGTAAAAGTCAAATAGATAGTCAATGTTGTACGAATCAAAAAGACACTACAGTCTATCCGGAACTCAGAGCTCAAGACGACTCGATGGATTTTTATAAAGGAATGAACTGCAAGGCTTAAAAAAGAAACGTAGATAATAGAATTGCACTTGTCCAACTAAAACAACAAATGAGTTGGAAATTAAAGTCGGAAAAGTTTCAGAAGTAAACCTAACCAAGTTCAAAGCCTTAACAACACTGGCCCTTTTTAAACTATTGTGTAATTTCCAATTGGACTATGATGAGAAGAATTGCTATGTATTGTCTCATTTCTACTGGAGGTGTAGTATCTTGTAGTGAGTTTTATGAAAGAAAATATTTTACTTGGAGATATGTAAAAAGGTTCTGGAACAATAAGTGTGCTAGATACAATCAATCTCATATCTCAGTATTGTTGTGAAACGAGAAGAACAGTGTCGTAACAAAGGTCCTCTCAACTCCCTAGCGACACTGTAGCCTTTTAACAGCGTTGAGTTTGATCAATCTTGTCTCTGCAAGGTAAATTTCAAACTACTTGTGAGGCTATTTTGATTACAAATCAAGAACGGGTTTTGCTACAACCAGTTTTTGACTCGTTCTCGATCTGAGAACCTTTCTTTGTTGGTCACTCAAAATTAAGGAAAACTGCTTAAAAGGTGTAAAATTGTCATTTTCCAATTTCACTGACATTTACTCTGTTTGGCTTGCATTGTGAGAGATAGAACCTTTCCTTCTATGCAAATTACGCTCAAGGAACAATCTTTGTTCGATTACGAGTTATAAAGAAGAATAAATTGTATATTCAACTCTAGAATTGGAAAGTATACAGAGGACAAGGCTACAACAAAAAACTGTTCAAAGGTTTGGAATTCTTTTGTCTATGTACAAATACGTACAACTACTTACGATAAGGAGGATCGAGCCTCAAAAGTTACACGGGTCTCGCTTTGTTCTCTTCATAAAGAACTTGTAGAGAGTTTTGACTGTTATAAGAAGTAAAAGTGGTGACGCTTTTACTTCTCCTTGCACATATATTTCAAGATTCACCTTTCTTTTTTACTTTGCCAAGAAGAGATGAAAGATTCTTATTTTTCCATTATTTCTACATTTATATTCTTCTTTACTAATAGACGAAATTGATCCAATGTATTTAAAAGAACAAGACCTTTACCGGTTTGGATAACAATCACAATATAAATTTGAGATTTGACTTTGCAAAGGAATCAGATAAATTGTTTTATCTTATTCTGCTGAATATTGTTTGCGAGTTGACGACATTTTTATTCGCTGTAGAGCAACTTGGATAAAACAGCGTTTCTCTTCTTTTTCAAGTTTGACTTGTCCCTAGTAGAAATGAACATTCCTTCTATTGATAGACCCGTTTTTTATACGAAACGTTGGGTTGTCTTTGATTCTCGTTACTAATATCCAAAAGGAAGCCTCTACTAGTGTACCCATCAGGTTATATTTCGCAAGAGTCTTCTTTCAAGTGCCTAACGCAAGGAACTTTTGTATAGTGACTCACTTATTCAATGAGCTGATGGTTGAGATTGGAAGAAGATTAGGACTCAACTGCAGCTGAACAAATCGTTCTTTGAATTTGCATAGCTTTTAAAAGTTTTACCTTTTTTTATATTGGAAGAGATAATAGCTCTCTTGGGGTTATCTCGTTCCTAAAGCAGCTTTGTACTTTTTATAGTTTGCTTTCTTGTATATCTTTAAAAGTTGTAGTTTTTACAAAGTTTATCGTGCAAGAGGATGCAGCAAAAGCCTTTAATTCTAAACAGTCATGTTTACCTTCAAAAACACCTCAACTGTATAGCCGATTACTGAGGAGAAGGAATTCAACTATGATTCAAATGTTATGCAATGACAAGATACGAGAAAAGAATCGATAGAATAGACTCAATTCGATTGAATTGAATTTCTTGAAAAATATCTTTTCTCCTCTTAACAGAATCCACAGTATCAAATGCCACTATTTTCAGAGGAGAAAGAGACAGGAGTTATTGACTCTTACAGAAATTGAGTATTGATGATACACTTGTGTGAGTCAATGTTGTTTCTGAGATTTGATAACACCACGCGATATTTTGGATCCTTCTTTGCACATTTGTTTTGGTTTGTCTTTTGCTATCATCAACTTTTGTAGCTTTAGTGATAAGCTGCTACTTGTCATGATATCGTAAGAAAGGAATTTGATGATTGCTGAGAATAAAGGAGTGTTGTGCTTGCGGGTTTCTGCATTTCTACTAAATAATATATTTCAACTGGAGCTTTTGAATAGACTGTAGAAGAGAATGACTTGGTTCATACTCTAGTTCCGTGTTTCGAAATGAAGCAAAAGTGACGTAAAAACTGTTCCATAAAATACAGAAAATCTAGAGAGAGACGTCTATGGAACAAATTCTTCATGAACAATCTATATTTCTCGGAACTCTCATGACTACTCTCGAAAATTCTGAAAGAAACTTTCTTATCTATGTGAGAATGGGCCATGTTTAATAGCTTTATACTCTCAAAGAGCATAAAAAACTTGTGAAATAAACATTGGCTTCCTTCCAATCCTCCTAGTATCCTATGAGAGTTACCATTATATTAGCATACGAGAATAAGAATATCGATAGTTGAAAAAGCCATATTGATCGTTCTTCCATAGTTCAAATCATCTCAGTCCAAGCCATAAAGGGTATGACATAGTCATCAGTTGATAAAGAGAAGAAGTTGGATTGGTATCCTTTACTGTTTTCCTCGATTGACTATTAATGGTATCGTCAAGCGATAGTCGCAACTACTTGTTACACCCCTGAGTTGTTCTCTGTTGCTATGAAGATCATACAGTTCTTTTGTCACTCGAACAACATCTCTTTCACGATCTACCACAACAGACTTAAACTTGACCACAGCTTCCCACTTTTCTTCCAAACTCGCTATCGCCAAAGTGAAATGAAAAATAAATTAATGTTGTTGTTGTGACCGACATGTCTCTGATTCATTTTCTGACCATTATGGAAAATATTTACAACGTTGTGGTATTTTTGTTCCAAAAGATGGCAATTCGAGTGGTCCTGATGCATATGTTGTATTCCATAATGGACAAACACGTTATGTTGTTGGATTTTCATTTACATTTTATCACAAAACTGAATTCTCGAAAACAAATATTGAGAAGGAAGCCAAAGAATTTTTTAAGGGAGTTGTTTCCGTTTTGAATAACGGATCTCCTTCATCTGTTCAACTTTGTTTTCAGTTTGTGGTAGTTTGTGCTAGTTATGGTCGATCTGTAGGTTTCTCTGTTGAAGAACATAATATTGTTGAAGATGCAAGTTATTTGGTTACTGAACATTCTGCAGGGTCAACTTTGAATGAAAGTCGTCGATCATGTCTGCAATTGGTAGTTGTTTCTCAAAGGAACCTTGAACGATTTTTGGGAATAGATAATGTCGATATTTTGAGGAAAATTGGGAAAGCAAACCGAGAAGAGTTCAGTAAAGACTTTTCAGTATGGTGCAAAACTATCTTTGAGTCGATGTCTAATGAATATGTTTCATCTTTGGAAGCTGAGCAATCAAATGTTACTTCAAGAGTGGCTCGAAATATAAGACCGAGAACAAATGATGAGAATAGGATGCGAATGGAAGGTTTTCAAAGTTCTATACAACTGGAAAAAGATAAAACAAGAAGAGAACAAGTATCGAGTGGTATAAATGCACATTTTGACTGGAAAGAGTTTCTTTGCAAGTCTGCGTTATTACCGGAAGAAGTTGCCACTCGTTATGCTTTGACATTTCCTCGTATATTTGGAGATAATCCTCAAGTGATTCGAAGAAAGTCACTAGAGTTGATGGGTATACCAGAGCAATACATTCAAAAAATTCTAAGAGCTGCAGTATTACTGAAAGACAATACAGAAATGAAAGAATAATCAGCTGCTTTCAAATTTGTGTTATTGAGGGACATTCTTTTTAGAAAATAGAGTGGAAAGTAGGAGATGGAGGAGAGAAGAAGTTCTTTGTGCTTTTATTCTAATTGAAGCTTACAACAGCAAAGCTTATCTCTGTTTGTAAGCTTTTATATTTTCCATGAAAACGGACGAATAAAACTATGTTTTTTGTGTTGAAAAACGCTGGTTGAGTTTAACTAAAAAGAGAGGATGTGTGCACTCAATCTTCGAACTCATTGTTGTTTGGCTGGCAGCGTAAAGACACAAGCTTGTCAATTATGCAAACTAGTCATCCTTTGAATATTTGAACAAGCAGTTGAGAATGTAAGATCTATTGACTAAGAATTTGCTTGCTCTGCTTGTGGTTTCTATGCAAGGAATGATTCAGAAACTTCGTCGTTATTATCCCTAGAATCTGTGGTGTTTTCACTATTTATTGCAAATATGCGTCGAGTAACTTCTACTTATATCTAGCAATGCCAAGGACATATATGTGGCTTGTGCCTTTTTGGAAATCTTCTCAAGTTTACTTTTTCTTTCAAATTTTAGAATCTGCATATTCTTATGAATATATCCAATGGTTTTTCTCTTGTTGCAAAGTGAGCAAGTCATCGTAGTCTCGTGAATGATGTTTGACAAGTTGAGAATTTGGATGGAAGAATATTGTTGCAGCATATATACATATGAGGACCATGTTATGTTTATAAAAAAATGACAGATTATCTATAAATAAATAAATGCAGTACTGAATAAAAATGACATGTTGGCTCAGAGAGACTGTAGAAGAATAAATATTCTCCCTCGACCAATGCCCTATTCGAACCTTCCTATGCGTTCTTGATATCAGCAGTCTTGAGAGCGTCATGCGTTTTGACTGATGAGTGTAGAGATGCGATGGCATTGATACAGGCTGTATGGAGAGCTGGTTGTTTATGTTTCATGCAAGTTGCCGAACCTACTTCTATTATCCCTTTCATCCAAATTCCCAAATCCTGCTGCTAGTATCCACTCAAACCAAATGCATACAACTACAAAGTTTTCAAGAATACAAAATACAACACCAAACTTGAAATATCCTATACCTTTGCAAACATAATGATCAACACTTGAGATACACGTTTTCTTCTCAATTTAGCTGCAAAACTCAAACTCATTCTGTGACTCAAAAATGACCTTGTATCAGTTCATACAAGATTCATTTCAGGTGGCTCCTTTCTTCTAATTCGGTCATTCCCAAATTTCAGAGTATACAAACTTTAGTAGCTTGTAAATGAAGGGAATACTCTCTCTTCGAACCTTGTAGACAAAATTCTCTACCTATGTCAAGTAGTCGTAACGAATTTCCTGCAAATCCTTCAAGTTGGGGTATATAGACTCAACCAATACTCTGTTGAAGAACAGAAAAAATACGAATGCAACTTGTCATTAAAAAAGAGCTTTATGTACACGGCATTTACAATTCTCTCCTAAAACTTTGTATATTGTTGCGTCCTTCACAAGCTTGGTTGGAATGTGATATTTTTCAATAAACTTCCAATCTTGTTATTAAGAAGAAAGAAAAATGGACTCGATTGAATTTTAAAAAAATATGGGAAGAGCTTTACGTCCTGAATGGTTGACACACCGAGTACGACAAGGTCAACCACATATTTTCTCTGTTGATATTCAAAATATACAAAACAACCCACGAATTGCTACTTGTGGATGTGATGGTATTGTTAGAATATGGTTTTTGAAAGCCCTAGTTATTGGAGAGCAAGATCTTATTGGCGAGGAACAAGAAGAGGGTGTTGAAGTACTCCAAGTGGAGGAAACTCGTTCCACTGAACAGTCATCCGATAAAAACAGCAACTCTTCTATTCCCCAAAACGCTCTTGCTGCTTCTCTCTCCTATCATAGTCGCTCTGTGAATATGGTTCGTTGGTCACCTCAAGGACAGTGGTTGGCATCTGCAGGAGACGATTTTCTCGTTTTCATCTACCACAAGGAAGAAGGAAAAGGCTACAGTCCTTTTGGTAGTAAAGAACCCACTCCACTAGAAAATTGGAGAGGTCGTAAGCTGTCAGGTCATAGCAACGATGTTCTTGGGGTTGCTTGGTCACCCTCTGGAGAGCTATTAGCTTCTTGTAGTGTTGATAATACTATCATCATATGGAATGTGAGATCAGATACCATAGTAACACGTCTACAAGGGCACGAAAGCTTTGTAAAAGGCTTATCCTTCGACCCTACTGGACGATTTCTTGCTAGTCATGGTGAAGACTTGGCGGTTTTGATTTGGAAGACAAGTGACTGGAGAATAGAAAAAGAAATTCGAGAGACGTTTAAAGAGTCACGAACTGTAGAGGTTTGTAAGTTTCTTCAAGAATGGACACAGCAAAGTTGAAAAGTTGTTTCTAGTATCAAAAAAGTTTGTTTTATAGGTTGGATTGGTCTCCTTGTGGTAGAGAACTTGTTTGTTCCAATTGTTTAGCAGTTCATAATGATAAACGTATACATGCAGCTGTATTATTTCATCGTGAATGCAATTTCGAAAGACCAGAGTATTTTAAGACCTCGGTTCCCGTTCTCTGTGTTCGTTATTCTAAACGAATGTACAAATCAAAAAGAGATGAACAGGTTGATATTGGAAATGAGGCATATACTGCCATTGCATTTGGAACAGCCAGTGGTACACTCCTTGTCTGGGTTTCCAAGTCTTCCAAGGCTTTGCTTGCTTTAAAAAACGCTTGTCAAGGTCCCATATTGGATCTCAGTTGGTCTCCAGATGGCTATAGTCTCATTACTTCATCAGCCATTGGACCTCCTTTGTATTTTCAGTTTACAGAAGAAGAGTTGGGATATGTCTTGACAGCAAAAGAAGAAAAGCAAGTTTTTGATGATGTGCGTAGTAAATTGGGAGCCAATTACGAAAACGTTCCTTTGACTCAATCTACAGTACAACTTGAAATGGAAGGTTTATATGCGAAGCATATGCAAGAAGGATATTTGCCAAATCAAATAGTATCTTCTCAAGAACATTTGGAAAAAGACAAACATAACGGTGTGCACCAACCATCATTACAACAAAAGCAACAAGAATACAATGTAGGCAAAAAGAGACGAATAGTACCCAAATGTCTCTCCACTTCCAACCCACAAGAAAATGGAGGAAGCAACCCATTAATGAACACTGAACAAACTCATCTTGCAGAACCTATCGTGACAAATGGCAATGAATATAGGAACATGGATTCTGTTGTTGTTGATGCAAATTTGGATGTTCATACTAATCTCCAGTCGGAGCAGTTTCAAAATCTTCAGCATAATGACAATTCTTGCAGTAATCAACAGACAAGAGAAAATTCTTCCACAGATGGAGCGAATTTTTTCGTGCAACATTTTCGTAAAAGATTGGAATCCTATACCCCAACATTAGGAGAGGCTTGGTTATTTCATTCACAAGAAACCCTGGACAATCCTTCCAATCGCAAGTTGTCACCATTTCCTATGGAATGGAGCAAACATCGGATGATAGATGAAGACGACAAGATAATTCTTCGATTTGAAAATGATGAATTGTATTGTTGTTCAAACGACAAGATATTATGGCAAGCAGCATTAGCAAAGAATGCACATCCGATTGCTTTGGCTGGTGAAAAATCGACATTGTATGCTGCGGTTTCCAACAGCAATATGTTGCATCTGTTTAGTATTTATGGCTCTCGACTCTATGCTTCTATAATTTTGAATGCTCGTCCGCATATGTTGGAAGTATTCAAGGGATATTTATTTGTGATTCTGGTTAACGGAGAAATGTCACTTTATCGAATACCACAGATCCATTTGGTTCTAAGAGCATCTGTATTACCCATACTACCTGAACAAATTTCCGAAAAGATGGGACAGCCGATAATTTATCCACCACTGATTTCTAAACAAGAAGATATCTGTCTTACCTTGTACAATGGAAGTTCTTATTTATTTCAACGCAATTTGGGAAACTGGATTTGTATTGCAGACGACTCTTTTATTCACTCTGAATTTTTCCATATCAATTTTTCAAGTCATTCAGAACATGAAAGTATTCCTCAAAGGCATTTATTGACATGGTTTCGCAAAATGGTTGGAAAGATGACGACTCCGAAAATAGCCAATGTGAAACCAACAAAAGTCTTATTAGAAAGCATTGCACATTTGGAAACTATGATGGTATGTTTTTCATAAGGTCTGTTTTTACCAATGATTTGATTTCCTTTAGGCAAGTGCTGATATCCTAAACTCAAAGGAAGAGTTTAGAAAATTGTTGTTGTGTTACATTGAGAAACTTTGCAGTATTCAAGCAACTGAACTTCCATCACGAATGGATAAATTGAAACAAGTGTTGGATGATATTCTTCAAGGAAAAGACGGTTTCTTTTCTCGCAATTTGGATTCTTTCGAAAAAACTACCTTTATGTTGCAAGTTGTATTGCCCATTGTCTCCAAGAATCGACAACTTCAAAATGTTGCAGAAGAATATGTAGAAAAGATCAGGAGCATGTAACCCAACGAGGTAAGTATGGAAATCTATGAGGTTCTATATATGATGCACTATTCAAATGATGAGCAAGTTCTGAAACAGAAACTTACTATTACATGTTGATACCAATCTTCTTCATCATTCTAGCATTACTCTGAGTGCATTTGTTTATCATCATCAAAGTTATCATCTGAAATGTACATATCTGATACTTGCTTTACATTTTCTAGGCATCAAATCTATACATACTAGGAGAAGAAATTGGTTCTTTCCCCTTTTTGACGATCCTCTATAAGCCACTGCGTTTCTTCAGGAGAAGGATCCCAATACCATTCAGGATGGGTAGCAAAAGGATTATAACGATAGTTGATAAACAACTCCTCATTTTCTACATCTCTTAGTGTAATAATAACCATCCCTCTCATAACTCTACTCTTTCGATCCTTTCCAAACTGCATCACATCTTCCATTTTGGAAAGATGTGAGCTCCATGCTTCATCTTCTTGTTCATCCAGTAAATATCGATTAGGAACCAAGATTTTCATTGCAGGTGACATTCTGTATAACGGATAATCAAACGATAGAGCTATTATATTTGGCTCGGTTCCTTTAGGAGGGTGATTGGCATACTGACCCAAGGCAAAAGGATTGATCCGCTCCCAAGCAACTTCAGGTCTTTCTCCCTGAAAACTTATTGTTTGCTCATCATATGGCTTACCATCGATAATAACTCCATCCTGTCGTTTTACAAGATGTACATTGTATTTGCTTACATAGGGATAGCCAGGCAATTCTAAACAGAGTGAATGTGTTATGTTCAGAAACTATTTGATGCAATCGACAAAACATTCCTTACTTTCCCATTCTGAAGGAAAATAGATGATTCCTGGATACAGCGCTACAACAGAACCTACAGTACACTGACCTTTGATAAAAAGTCCTTGGCCTGCATCGGGTATAGTTGAAGTCGCTCGATAAACTATAAAACCCAACTCCTTTTCTATTCGACGGCTCATTTCTTCGTAGTCTTGCTCTGTTGGAACATATTGCTTTATTCTCCTATCAATTTGGAGTATTTGTCGATCAATGGTTTGCAGTTCCTTATGATTTGAAGAGAGTGAAACCAAATCACCCGAGCGGTCAGTCAATTGTCCTGCCTTTATTCGGTTAGCAAAGCTTATTAAATCAGAAGGGTCAGGCAAAGGATCAGGAAAACGAGGTTTCTCTAACAAAGCAAGCGAACCATAAGGAAGACAAGGTTTTCGCCTGGAACAAATATCTAAAACACTAAACATATTGAGAAGTTGTTCCCAAATGTTTCGTTCCAATATTTCCTTTTGTTCTTCAGGAGAAGGTAAGAACTCTTCAAACTTCTTCTGAGTAACTCTATCTATGGTTTCTGAGCCATCCATTATACGAGAAAAGAAGTCTGCTGCTTTCTTTCCATCTCTTTCGGTAGTGTGCACTCAAAAACAGAGTCATAAGAATAAAAAACGAGACAAACCTTTTCAAACTTGTTAGTACATACAAACGAAGAGTATCATTTTGTCTCAGTTTCTCTTTTCCACTGACTGTTTTCTCAAAGAAATAATTATGCAGTCTCGTCAAGAAACGATCCACTGAACGGAATAATATCATATCGAATGAAGCACAAAGACGATGTCCATTCCCTTCCATTTAGACAATAATAATAAATGTCTTGAGAAAGTAAGAATACAAAAGTTTGTCATACAAAGTTCACGTTATCTATCATTGTAACAAGTTGTGTCCTATCTAAATGATATCTATATATATATATATATATCTTCATATCATAAGGACGCCGTGTGTAAGAATTGAAGATTGCTTTGTGCTGGTGACTCATGAGCCAAATAGAGAAAGATTGTCCGTAATATATGTCTTCGCTGTCCAAGGAACAGTTGCGCGCTCGTTTACGTTTGAACCAACGTTTGGCAGTTAGTCAGTCGAGTGACAATAAAAAGCCACCGCCTTACTTTTGGAGGTTACGTCCAATAGGTTCCAAACGAAATACAGAGACAACAACTGCTTGGGAAGAAAATGAGAATCATACTACTTCCAGTAGTATAGATACCAAAAGTGACCGTTTATCAGAGTTGACTTTTCATTCTACAAAGGAAAAGGAAGCTAGTAGTGAAGATTTGCAGACCAAGCTTCCTAGTGCATATAGGCAAGTTGAAGCTTCGTCGAAGGGACAGTGTTCCAAACTGGATGTGGCAGATGTACAGGAGGGCGCAAGATCGGTTCCACAACAGGAAGAGACTGAAACAACTTTAGGCGCAGAGTTAGAGGATAATAATGACTTGAAGCTAAATGGAGGGATACTTGAAGAAAAGGATAAATCGCTGCTTGAAAAAGAGGTGAAAAGATTACAAGACGTTCTTTCGCAAAAAGAAGAACAAATAAAGCAGAAAGATAGTGAAATAGGCTATCTTCGTCAGGTTCTTGGAGAAATTGCTACTGCTGCTCATGTTGCCGTTCAGTTCGAGTCAAGCTACTCATTCCCAGCAACATATTATTCAGCTGAAGATGTTAAACTATCCAAGTCATTTGACAAAGTTTCGTATCCCTCGAAACGCGGCTTTCACTCACAGCCACGTCCTGAGAGTGGTGCTTTTTATTTATCTGCTCATACGGAGGCTGATATTGATGCTCACGACACTCGTGTGAGCTATTCCAATGAAGTCATAAAGCAACTAGAGTCATCCTCTAACCATTCTGGAAAAGATCGAAAACTCAAGTTATCTTTACCAGTGGACTCTCTTGGACTATCAGGTCCTGATACAACAAGCGGTCGTCATAAGGCTTCTTCTCTTACTGGTGACACGTTGTCTCTTCAGTCTATACCTTCAGAAAGTGATTCTTTGCAGTATAATTCACAAGAACAACAAGAACCATCCACCGATATGGTACCTCCAAGTCCACGAATATCTCAGCTAAGAATTCAAGAAGAACATGATGAACATGTTTCTTAATAAGTCGGTTTTGAGAATATAGTTTTCTTCTTCAGTTTTTGTCTTTTTTAGGGGGTCTTGAAACTCGTATATCATATGCATATATATATATATCTGGATTGATATGTATTTACAATATTATGACAGATTACTTGTACATATTTTTATCATCACATCTGCAGGATGTACACTATAACTTGTCAATAAAAAGATTTCTTCAACATATTTTGGCATTTATATAATTGTTGTTGTTGGGTGAAGACGTGGGGAAACGTTAGGCAAGTGGCCGCCTAAGTGACTGCGCTTCTTTTCAATCCTTTTCACTGAGCTTGGACTATTGAATCCTTAATATATTCCGAATTTTTTAACGTGAGAAAACATGGAAAAATATCGACGAGTAGAGCGTGCCAAAAGTCCAGGTCAAACACCTCCTAATCAAGTACGAATAACAGCGGCGGGTAAAGTACCAGCTTATGTGGATTATGCATTCAAGTTGCTTCAAGAGGTATTTTTCGAGTTTCTGTGTTGGAATTCAGTAGCTTTATTATTCTCTGTTAGGAACAAACTACGGTAGAAATCGTTGGGCTGGGTAACGCCATCAATAAAGCTATCACTGTAGCAGAACTATTGAAACGGAAAGTTCCCAAACTGGAGCAAGTATGTTATACCTGGACGCTGTTTATGAGCTAACTAAAGAACGCATGTAGGTGACAGATTTAAGCTCCGTGACTATCGAAGACCGCTGGGAACCTCTGGAGGAAGGCTTGGACGTGAGTCAATCTATTTATATGGATGCTTATTACAACACTAATTGTTGAGAATAGCCTATTGAAACTTCCCGTACAGTCTCCTGTCTTACTATTCAGTTGGGAAGAGGAGGCTTGGATCTGCATTCTCCTGGTTATCAAGCTCCAGAGGAATATTCAGGTAGGTTCTCTTTTGTTTTCTTGAGTAATTCTGGGTCCGATTGTGTGTCTATAGGCAACCATGTGGATAGTTCCTTTTTCTCGGAAAGAAGAAGAGGTCGTGGTCGTGGTGGTTTTCGAGGTGGACGAGGTTAGTAGACAGATATTTGCATATTTCTTTGCAAGGCTAAATTTGTTGTATTATTCAATTCTATTTCAGGTACAGAGTTTTATCGTGGTCGTGGTGGTGGTCGTGGTGGTGGAGGTTATCGAGGACCTCCCCCTATGGAAGATGATTTGGAGTTTGTAGACCGAGATAGGCGTGTACCTTTCCGTGGTCGTGGAAGAGTAAGAAATAATAATCAATATATATATTCCGACCCGGTATTATGGGATATTTGTAGGGTTTTCGTGGAAGAGGTGGAATAAGAGGTGGCCGTGGAAGTGGAGGATTTAGAGGTGAAAATGAACGCGGTCGAGGCAGTTATGGAAGAGGTGGACGAGGAGGACCAAGTAGAGGCAGAGCTCGTGGTGGTGGAGAATTTGGCTATGCTTATTGATATGGCAGTCATTTCTTTGCATATTCGTAGGACTACGAAACTTTCGTAGGCTTGATGAACGTTAGATAGCCGAAGAATATACCTATGTTTGTGTTTGTCTCTTTTGTGTGTGTGTGTTTGTCCTTTTGTTTAGAAGAGTGCTTTGCCTGGAATTCTGCCTTTGAATGGATTGGTCACGCCGATAAAACTTTTTTGGGACATATTCAAAGACAAATATTTTTTATGGCAGTAAGACACAAACTGCGCAATGTCCATTTTTCTCATAGGAGAAGTTGATCATCTTGCTAGTATTGGCTCATCAAACTGTGAGTTCCATAATAGCATTGACAATGTCTCCATTTTGATTCCGTAATGCCTTTACCGCCTGAAGTCGATTCCATATCTGTTTAGTTGTTGTATTATGCAAAGTCAGAAAGTTTATTTTTACCTTGGCTCGAGTTACATCTGCCTGTTGCATAACCAACTCAATATCACTAGGCTCTAATCCTGCTTCATCCAACTCCCCTTCTTCTTCCTCTTCTGGTTCATTCTCCATAGTGCGTGCCTCCGTTGGCTCCGCCCCTTTACCACTTGCTGTAAACTCGGGATTCTTAAATTGCTCAGCTGCAGCTGTCTGTGCGGCAACCGACAAATCTTCTATCTTGGCATCTCCAAAAATAACATAAGTATCAGATCCTGCTGACTAGATAAAAAAAGGATGAGCAAACCATACAAAACTATCCAGTTCCTTGAAAGAGCCAACCTTGTAAACGTCGGGTCGGGAAATGACAAAAAGAATATTTCTATTCTTCTTGATGGTTACTCGTGTAACACCTGAAACTGCTTTCAAACCCAACTTTTGTAAAGCTTTTCTTGACTTTTTTTCTGCTTTACTTTGTCTGGTTGTCCCCTATGTACAAACATAGTTTCAGATAACCACTCTACTCGAGGACACCCAACTTTTACCTCTTCCATTGCATGTTCGTGAGAATGTCCTTCATGTTCATGGTGTTGATGATTCTCTTGAGCTTCTTCTTGTTCGTAACCTTCCTGTTCGTTTTCTACGGACACTTACACTCTGTTCTCTATTTTCAAATAACGCTACAATACCTTTCTCGCTTAAAGATTCCGATGTAGCCTCTTCGACTATAGTACCCTGATTTGAGACATTCTGCTCTGCGTCTACTTGTGCCATGGTATCTATAGAACTTTTTCACTCAAGACGACGTCGACAGATAAACACTTCAAATGCAAAGAAAAGGGTTTTAGAATGAAAATCGGAATAGACTTGAAGTTCATTCGTTAGATTTGCTATGCTCAGTTTCCAAACTAGTTATAGTGTCCATAATATGTTCAAAGTCCTTTGTCTATTGAAACCTATATGGAAAAGTCATTGTTTACATATATTTAGAATGAACAACTATTCTGCTACTGTTCGTAGTTTTTACGCTAGTCCGTTGCGTAGTGTTCCTAGTTCTGGAATGAAGGAGCGTGACACTTTTCCTACCGACTCAAGTGAAAGACTACAAAAGTTTCTTAGTAATAGTGGTATAGCATCCAGGAGACACGCAGAAGAACTCATCAGCTCCGGTAGAGTAAAATGCAGTGGAATAGTGGTCACTACTCTTGGTACCAAGGCAAGTTATTCAAAATGGAATATATATATATATATATATATATCAGATATTGAAACAAAATAGATATTTCCGGAAAAGGATGTTATTGAGGTGGATGGAAAAGTAGTTTATAAGAGATCCTGTTTTCGTTGGGTATGCCCAATTTTAAGTTGTAGTTTTATATGAGCGTTGCTCATTTCCGTGTAGGTCATGGTGAACAAACCTTTTGGACTTATTACAACAGCAAGAGATGATCGTGGTAGAAGGACGGTTTGTGATTTAGTGAAGGATGCCCATAAGGATGGCTTGGTTCCAGTGGGTCGTTTGGATCAAGCAAGCACGGGTCTCTTATTATTAACCAACGAGACTAACTGGATACACAAATTGCTCCATCCCAAGTACGTGTTTTGGTGATTCGTTCTGAACTTTCGAGTGATATTCTTTTAATGTAGGTTTGGACACTCCAAGGAATATATCGTTTGTGTACAAGGAAGAGTTGAAGAGAAAACTTTGGACAAGTTAAGAAGAGGTGTACTTCTTCCAGGAGAAGAAAAGGCTACAGTTCCAGCTGTATGCAAAGAGCTGATTTTACTTTCTGGCATTCTAATTACTTGAAATATTAGGTCTTTAAGGCTTTTGCATGCTATGCGGATCGTAGCTATATCCGCGTAGTCATTCGAGAGGGCAAGAAACGTCAGATTCGACGAATGTTTCTTACAGTTAGTATTTATCAAGTTTTGGAAATTGTAAAATCTTATCGTTCGTATTAGGTGGGTCATATTGTATTATCATTAGAGCGTATACGTTTTGGTTCCTTGTTATTACCTACCGACCTAAAACCTGGAAAATGGAGAGATTTGTCACCATCTGAAGTAACCAAGTTGAAAACAGAGCTGGGGCACTTTATAAAAGGAAAGAGTCTCGCTTAGGTTGGAATATGTTTTCGATGAACGACAAGTTGTCGTTTGATTGTAACTTTTACTCATCTTTTTCATTCAACATAACAACTGGTAGTAGAATTATATGGTTTATTATATAGTAAGGAGAAAGAATGGATAGGCACATTGTGTTTGAGTTGTATTTTGAAATCTAAAGAGTACGTGATTAGACAAGTGGACGGGAAAACTTCTCAAGGTAGCTCATGCACTTGATAACCATTCGTGAAGCCTAATGAATATATTACTTTCAAAATGGTTCCAGTGAGTCCTTTATACTGTTAGTCATATCTTTCAAGATGATTCCAGAAAGATGAAGCTATTGGAACTCGTCAAAAAATAGACTAATCGTTTCCATAAGACTGTCAGAAAACCTTCTGAAACAAGCCTAAACATTCACTTTCAATAAAATAGATCCGATACTTTTCATAGGATCCTATTTTGTATATGTGTATATATATATATATATATATATACAATGACAAGCTTATTTTTCTCTATTATCAAATATGTCTTTCTCAAATGAAGATTTGTTCTGATATTCCTCCACACTTGAGTATAGTTTGTCATTTGAAGACTTAAGAACCGATCCTAGAATGTAGGTTGTCTAGACTACAAACAAGGAAACGAGAAGATATTTATACTCAAGGCTATCAACTAGAAGATTTGTATCACAATATTTGAAAAAATTCTCCCCGTACTGTTCATTTTTATATCCGAGAAGGAAAAGTGCATAAGACAATATACAAAAAGCTATAACAAGTACACGCTAATTCATCTCAAGAAAGAGAACAACACAACAAGGTCAAATACTTTCTCTCTGCTGGAAGCCTTTAACAAAATTGTATTGTTACCTAATCGGAATTACGAGCAGGAACAAACTCCAGAATATTCGATCACCTCGCCTAGGGTAAACTATTCAAATATTGTATAAAGTCAGTTTGGCTCAATTCTTCGAGACAAAGCAACTGGGTTTTCTATCTATTTCCTATATACTCTTCGAGACAGTTTCATTCACAGCAACAAAAGTTTGATGGGATAACAGCAAGTTTCCATTGAAACAAAGTATTTCTGGCCTTTTTCAAGAGGACGAAGTTATTGTCTATTCTTGATATCGAATACAAGTAACTTTGTAACCTGTTCTTATAGATATCATGATTTTCTTCGATTGGGATCTTATGTTGATGCTTTCTGAAGAAAGAGTCTCGTTCAAAGTTTAGACACAGGAACAAGTAGTCTGTCTGAATTAATCTTTAGATGTCTTCGAAAGGTTTGTCTTTACCACCCATTGATCTTCTTTTGTATAATCTTTTCGATGACTTATTGTCTAAAGTTGTATAAATTAAGAGACGAGAATGCATCGCTCACTTCGTGATCTGAAGTACACAACTTTACAACAACGTCGTGGCAAAAAAGAAGGTCCTTGTTTGGTTTATTGAAACACATCAAGATAATCATGAACTAGTGTCGATTATTTCCTTCCATCTCCCGGAAAATAGCTTCTTCATAGTGTTGATGGAACTATGAAGATTTTGTCGTGCAATTTCTTTCATTGGCTGTGAGAAAATGTCATCCACTTCCTCCAAAGTCTTTCCCTTTAGTTCCGGAAGAAACAGTATGATGAAGATCACTCCAAAAAGAGATATACCACCATAGAAGCCAACGAAGAGACCAGTGTTGGTCATTGCATTTCTCATACCTGTAAAGTTGTATGTGACTGTAAATGCCCATAGATAGATAAATGCATCTGCAATTGTCATTCCAAAGCTACGTAAATAGGTGGGATATACTTCCGCAAAGGTCAACCAGGGAAGAGATTGAAAACTACCTGAAAATAATTCATAAGTAATCAGACCCCAAATGTAAATTCCTTCATATGTTTTTGTGTTTTTGGAAAGAAATGAACAGCCAATGATAATACAACCAAAGAAGACTACAATACTGGGAACAATACCAACCATTCGACGTCCCCATTTATCAAGTAATAGTATAGCTGGAATAGTTCCTAACATCAAACTGCCACCTCCAACCAAACTCATGTAAACCGACTTTTCTGCACTGAAACCAAGTTCCTTAAACAGTACTCCGATATAGTACACGACCGAATTGATGCCATCCAACTGAACAATGCCAGCAAGAGTATTTGCTACAATAAATGCTCGAGCAGATCGAGGAACTTGAACAATATCCAGCCAATAAAATGGTCGAGCTTCTGCCAACTTCTTTTCTTCCAATACAGCTTTCTCCATCTCGAAAAATTCAGTAATGCTTTCTTGATTCTCAAAGCTGCGAATTCGTTTCCATACTAAAAAGCTTTGAACTTTTTTGCCCTTTTTCATTAGCCATCTTGGACTCTCTGGAAGGAATAAGATGAACAATAAAAGAAGAGTGGACCATAACAATGAAGAACCTAACATGAACCTCCAATTTCCAGGAACATTGACGAATATGGCAGCAACAACATATCCAATGACCTCCCCTACTGTAATATTAAATTGAAATAATACGACTAACTTTCCACGAATTTCTTTCTTCACTGACTCCGAAACATAAACAGGAGCTGTAGAGGATAGTCCTATACCTACACCGACTAAAATACGACCAGCAATCATTATTCCATATGAATGTGCAGCTGCTTCTAAAATAGCTCCTATGGTAAAGATTAAACAACAAACGACTAGGGCATATTTTCTTCCAATCCATTCATTGATAGGCGTCAGTCTAAAGGTGTGGTTATTATTCAACCAGACTTCGAATGTGGAAATGATACTCACAAAATAGCTCCCGGTATAGCCCCCAAAGCAGCACCAGAGGAAACAAGAGAGAATTGCTTCGTATTTAAATGAAGATCTTCAGGCATGAAAAGATTAGCTCCACTGATAGTGCTCATATCTAAGCCTAAAAGCATGCCAGTCATGGAAGCTAATGTGCCCAATATAAAGGGATAATATTTGGGCTGTATGAGTTGCTTCGAATGGACTGTCTCGTCTATTTGACTTTCATACTCTTGTATTTGTTCTTTCCATTCTTCTTTGGGTATATTGTCCATGATCAAATTTAGTTTAGCTTTTCTTCATTCTTCTTTTTCTTATGTCTTTACTTTTGTGTGACTTGATCATTTTTCATGGTTTATTAAGCAAATAAGCAATACACACAATTCTATCGTGGATGATGAACTTATCAATGAATGAGATGAGAGTTCAGATTCCATTGGTCTCGGAACGACAGAGTCTGAATGCTCTTCTTTCAAAGCGATGTCCATTTGACCATCTTTTGGAGGGATATTGCATGAAACAATCAGAATAGATCTTCATCATTCTTCTTTTTCTTATTCTTCTTACTTTTGTGTGACAAGATAAGATCTCTGGTTCATTGTATCTTCATCCATAAATTTTGAAAGATAAAATTCCTTTACTAGCAAGTAAAATACTTGATCAGTACAGCTCTAATGACTTTGCCTTTCTTGTGGACAGCTCAATAGAATGTGAAGAGAAAAATTTCACATAAACTAGTACAAATAAATGGATACCAATCTGGATACAGTTGATAAGTAACATTGATAGCTCTTTATTTAGCAAAAAAAACATCAACGATAAAATGAAAGAAGAGAGTAATATTGGCAAATAAAAAGGCCGGAGTGATGTTGACCACAAAGGAAAGAAAATGTGTTTTGGGTTGAGAATGTGCAAAAATCTTGAAAATAGGAGAGCAATGTAGCCATCCTTGTGTTTCCAAAAGACAAACACATGAATAACAAGGATGAAATTGTGAATAAAAGTCATTACACATGATCTCGGTTGAGTCTCCAAGGTAGAGACGCTTAAAGTTTGAAACTTTTTGGGAATCAAGTAGAGGATTGTTATGTCATTCAATGGCTTATCATTGTGATGATGCAGTCTCCACTGTCGAAAACCTCTTTGAAAAGGTAGACAATACAGAATGATCACTTTTCAAGGATGAAAATAAAATTATTCTTATCAAGTTCTGGAAACTGTCAAATCTTATCGGTTTCGTAGGATGGGTCATATTATATTCACATGAGAACGAATTCATTTTGGTTCCCTTTATTACTAAACCAAAAGAAGAGAGAGACCAATTTGAGAAAAAGCAAGGCTGGGCACTTTGTCACAGGAAAGCGTCTTACCTAGATTGGAAAATATTTTCAATGCACTCACAATAACTATAGTCTATTAAAAAAAATGAATACTACGTCTGTGATGTCTTTATTTACAAAAACCAATGGCTATATTGTTCATGCAGGTCTTTAGGTGTTGTGTTCAAATGTCAATCTTTTGACAGCGTAGTTACTCATTGGCTTGTTTCAATGTAAAGGAAACAATGGAACAAACACTCATTGCAGTTATCAACGTATGAACAGAAGGTTCGATATGTAAAGTAAAATATAAAAATAATTGAGAACCAGCGAAACCAAACAAAGCCAACAAAAGGACTACTTTCCAAGATGACATACCAACTGGATAACAAACTTCACTAGTACCATTCAACAACGAACCTGTTCAAGAAATGGTTATTCGTCTCTATTTGCTCTCAATCAATTCCAACTTATCTGCTTACTCTTTGAAGTAACAATGTCTTGTGTAGACGACTGCCAAGCTTTTGCTGTACGTTTCTTATATTTCAAAACCAAAGTATTCAGTTTACGGTTGTCTTCTGCAATATCCTTCTTCATACTATTGGATGCTTCGAATAGTTGTAAAAACTGTTTGTTCCAAGACGCAAGGGAGTGGCCACTAACGCGCTAGTAAAACTTGAGCAAGAATAAGTCAAGTACAAGTCAATTCAACACACTTTCGCAGTTTCAATACCCTTGTTCATAATCTGTGGTCGGTGTTGGCGGAAGTTATCAATGATATGGTTTCGAATATGTTGCAATTCACTCTCAATATAATCATCCAAACTTTCTCTCAACCTCAACTCTTCCACCTGAGACATAACTTGTCGAACAATTTTCTCTTGTTGAAGCTTTCTTTTCAACCTTTCTATAATAAAGAAACCCATCAACAACTTGTCCAAGGTTTCAAACACTGGGGAATCGATACCTCTCCATTCATCCTCAAAGGGATATCTTCCTGGTTGCTTGTTACTTTGCATTTTCCAGTTTCTATCGTTTAAAGTGTTACATTTCCTGGCATTTCTTTGAGCCAAGTTCCATAAAACCTGTTGAGTATCCACAAAAACACTCGTCATGACTTGGAAATTTCTAGTCAATGGATGGATTTTCTTAGAGAAAATTATTTAAAGCATACGAACAGCCCACCAAAGTCTTTGTAAAATAGAGAAAAATACTAATAAAGCAAATAATAGAAAAAGAAAAGGCAAGTAGAAACGAGGTAATATTATCATCAAGGAATAAAACAGAATGGTTTCTGTTCCACCTATAAGAGCTTCGCACATGGTAACATGCGTCATTTCCTTTGTTTTCAACTTGCCAGCTTGTCTTTGTTCTAATATTGCAGCCAAATAGAATAACGAAGCAGAATTGACGAAATAAAGGGATTCCAAAATGGCTAGTGTGAGCCATAGTGAGTAAATATCATTCTGGTTGGCCCAAGACGCCTCAAAAGTTAGAGATATAGGAATCCAGCCATATATCTAGTCAAAAAATAGTCTATAAAAGATGATGTTTAAAACTTAGAACTCGTTAAGTTACCGTGAAATCTGACAATATGTCTATATATGCACCTAGAGCACTTTCTTGCTTTCGTACTCTAGCAATAACACCATCTAAACCGTCTAAAAAACGATTGATAAACCAACTCAGCAACGCTAAAATCTGAAGCCTTTATTGTAAAGATTTGTATCAAATTCACTTTGACTACAACTCTCATACTTACTTATAGAAACAACAAAAAACACAGAATAGGCCAGTAACAAAAGAAATAATAGTAATGGTAATAGGGTGAAAAGGACAAAACTTTACAAAAGGTCTCAAAACATCTTCTTTCCACTTTCGAAGAACCGAATCCAAAGTCATCGACAATTTTGGTCACTATTCGTTCGAGAGAATCTCTTCATAAGAATTGAGAACTTCTTCGAATTTGGTTATATACGATACTTGGTGAATACTTTACATTTCATGAAAGAGTCTATCTTTGCACTTATATCACCTCCGTTCTCTCTTTCCTTTTACAAAAAAAATGAGGAATAAGAAATGAATGTGAAAAGTGATTTCAAACAACCCCTTTCTATCAAACAAGTTTTGTTGAAATATCTTGCCAAGAACAAATTCATATTTGGATCCGTTCTACATGATATAAAGGAGTGTTTAGGTTGTATATAAACTCCTATAAATGGATATCGGAATTCGTCTTCTCTATCCATATCTCACAAGTAAGGGACGTAAATTTTCAAAATGTTCACAGTTGGTAGAATTAAAGTCTTGCAAGAGTTTTCTACGATGATTCTCCGTATGAAATAATGGTAGATTCCTTTCAAGATAATGTTGACGTTCCATTGCACATTTTCCAGAGAGTTCCATAAGCTTTGAATGTTCCACTTCCTGTTCCAATTTCAGAACTTCATTGGGTTTTAAAGAATCCCACTGTAAAGACGGCTTTACATAGTACAATACTCCTGCATGGGCTGTTCTTCTTTCAATAGAATATGTGGAATCTGGATACAACTGAAATAGGGGTGAAGAAGGAACTGAAAAATATGCGAGTAATACAATCAATAACACTGGCCACATATTTGAAAGCATCAATAATATCTTTCCTAAAGATGTTTGTGGTATTCTCCTGGACCTACGAGAACCAAAAGAATACTCCTGTTCAGAAGCATTTGAAGCATGAAAATTTCTAAAAAACTGAAATAAAAAATCTTCAGAAGTAAAGAAAGGTGTTTGATGAAATCCTGTAAAAGGTCTCTCTCGAAAGGTTCCTGTGAATGGATCAAAAAAGAATGCACTTGAAGCTCCTTGTCGACTACTTGTCCTACGTCTTGGAATAGCACGTTGTTCTCCAGTATCAACTCCACTACGATCATATTCTGCTCTTCTTACAGGATCAGACAGCGCTTGAAAGGCTTTGGCTACCTTCTTGAAGGCTTCTTCTGCTCCAGGACAAGGATTCTTATCCGGATGTAACTTCACTGCCAACTTCCGAAAACTTCTTTTGATATCTTCCATACTTGCATCCTGCTTGATATTCAATATCTTGTAATAATTATTTTGTCGTTTGATGTGTTCCACCAAGGTTGTCTGTTCTTCAGTTGCCTCTCTGCGTCTTTCGTTGTCAACTCCATTAAAAGTTTCCTGGTGCTCTTTTCCCGTTCTCTTCTTATTCTCTCCCGTGGAAACTTTAGTTGCCAAAACTTCGCTTAATTCCTTTTCTACTTGTTTAATCTCCTTTAAGCCAGGACATAACCTTTTGGCCTTTTCCAAAAATTTCTTAGCTGCTCCTTCATTGTGTTCCAATATATACTGTCTTGAACGTTCCAGACACCTTTTTGCTTGTTGATAATTTTCTGAAAGTTCCATTTCAAGTCAAAGCTTTCAACAACGCCAATCCACTTTGAAAACTTCGACCAAATATCAATTGGATCATGTTTTTGACTCAGTGTCAGGTGCTTTTAGTTGCTTGTAGCAGATCATATCACCCAACTTGTTGTTTGAGTGAGAAAAGACCATATTTTGTAAATTCAAGTAGATTCCATTTACATACGTTTTGTTGGAGGAAGAGGAGTACGGGTTACAAAGCTTTTGCAGTTTGGGTATCATCGAAGGATAGAGAAAACCCGTCGTCTTTGAATGGAACCAAAGATTTGGCAAACGATTCTCAATTACCAGTCAAGAAACCAACTTTATTGGATAGTGCTGTAGAAAGTTCTCGTCAGCAAAAGTCCAGATTAGAGTCTTTGTCGAACAGTTATCTCAATACAGGGGAGAGTTTGGAAGAAGAAGAAGAAGAAGAACCTACTAGTATTCGACAGTTTATGGGAGAATTGTGGGAGGAGTTGAAACAAGTAGAATGGCCTACTTTGAAACAAGCTCTTCAGGAACTTGTCATCCTTTCTTTGGGTATTTCTGTGGTAGCAGGGTTTATATATTTGGTAGACGCTTTGTTTAGTTATATAGCTGCAATATTGTATTTGAAATGAACATAGAAAAGACTTTTGCATATTTCCAAGTTTACTGTGTTGGATTTTGGCATATTTCATTATATATAATATAATATAATATAATCATCTCTCAATAATCGATCCAAAAAGAGAATCAATTTATATGAAACATTTTGACAAAATGTGGACTCGACGTTAAAGAGAGTATCAAACGTTGTATTTGTTTTCTTAGAAAATGTATAAGTACACTCTTTTTTCAAAAACTTTTTTGTCTCATACATACAAAAGTTGGACAAAGTTTAGTATCAAAGAGCAGTGGATACAACAGTTTTCGTCTGGAACCACAACGGTGACTCCCAAGTCTACTGATCCAACAAGGCCGTCTATTATCAAGTTGAAGCCAATTACTCCAGCTCGAAGAGAATGTTACTTGGTTGACCTTTCCTTAATATATACAGGGCCACCAGTAAAAGAACTTGCATATTATATTCCTCGTACAGGCGGTCGAGATAGTTATGGTCATATCTCTGTTCGACATAGAGGAGGAGGTTTTCGTGGTCTCTATCGATTGATAGATTTCAAACGTACTCTTTATGAAGGGATGAAGTCTGTTGTCCAGCGCATAGAATATGATCCATATAGAACGGGTTTTGTTGCTCTTTTACAGCACTATTCTTCTGATGGACAAGCTCATCCTTTGGAAGGACAGCAATCCTATATTATATGTCCACAAGGTCTTTCTATAGGTGCGGAAGTTACTTCCAATAGACAACAACCAGTTGATATAAAGCCTGGAAATGCAACATTATTGAAATATCTTCCAGCAGGTATTTTTGTACATAACATTGAAACGCATGCTGGAGATGGTGGAATTCTTTGTAGAGCTGCAGGTACTTATGCTAAGATAGTGACTACCCATCCAGAAGATAATGTGGCAGTTTTACGTCTTGCCAGTAAGGAACTTCGAAAAGTACCTTTAGATTGCATGGCAACCATTGGAAAAGTGTCCAATCCAGAACATAAAAATGAAAAACTTGGTAGTGCAGGTCGCATGAGAGATAAAGGAAGAAGACCTCATGTCCGAGGAGTTGCTATGAATCCAGTCGATCATCCTCATGGAGGTGGAGAAGGAAGAACTTCAGGAGGTAGGCCTTCGGTTTCAGCTTGGGGAAAGCCTACCAAATGTGGTTATAAGACTAGACGAAGAAGTAAAAAGAATCCTTTCATCATAGAAAGACGACCTTCTACGTATCCGTAAGTAGTTCGATTACATTTGATGACTTAATGTTGCAACTCAACATCATTTTTATTAGTTTTCCACGCATCAACTGAGAAAAGGATATGGTCCTAACTATTCTTTTGGGAATTTTTCATATATTCTTTCGACCTTTGAAGCAATTCGAATAAAACAAAGTTTTATTTAAAAAGTAACGCCACCTCTAACTTTCTTTTGGTCGCCCAGTTCAAAGTGCTTACAACGCTTCAAAGTGTGCTGAGTCTTGTAGTGACAATCGACACATTCCAATCGTAACACTACCTTCTTAGTCGTTTTGGCCTAAGATAATACGCCCATAAAACTTTTTGCGACGTTTAAAAGCTTGAACAAACCTTTTTTCGAAATATTGGCTTCGTTTGACCACCATAACCTCTTTGCTTTCGATCATATCTTCTCTTTCCTTGAGCAAACAGGGAGTCTTTTCCTTTCTTATATTGTGATACTTTATGTAAAGTATGTTTTCGGCACTTTCCTGGACAGAATGTTCGTCGAGTCTTGGGAACAATAACCTATATAAGTGTTTTCACTATGCCAACCTCCCTCTCTTAACATTGCTTACCATTCTTAACAATAATCGTTGGCGTCGACGCTATTCTTTTATGGGGCTCAGTTCTCTTATCCAATAGATGTTAATATATTATTATCCATATGCAACAACACTCATACATATAAGAAATTGTTCGAACAAGGAACTTTCTGTGGTGGAATAATGTCCACTCTTATTTATTTTCACTATTCACTAACAACATTCTGTTTGTAACTTTGCATGGAATCCCGCATTCTCTTCAACTCTTTTTGAGTTCTGGTTTTACCTGTACTTGAATCATAAATAGATTCTGTTCGTGCAGACATACGTGGACCTTTTCCATGTAATACATAATCAAAAGCTTCTGCAGGTTCCACTTCTTCTTCCTTATCTATAAATTGGTCTTTGTAACAGTCCTTATCTTTGGCTCGATTATCTTCCTTTCTTCTGCTAATGTCTTGGGCTCTTTTCTCAAAAAATTCGGAAATATATTTAGAAGCTGTTTCGCGAAGTTCTACTCTCTTCGTTTCCTCAACTCTCCTCTTTTCTTCTATTCTTTGAGGCTGTTCTGTTCTCCACTGTTGTAAACGCTCTCCTTCGGGTGGTAACTGGCGGAACTCATCTTCCCACGTGGAAGTACCAAATGAAGTGACGTTCCTTTCCGAATCTAGTTTCAACGTTGTACATTCATATCCAAATACTTGTCTTTATTTCCTTTACTTACTAGCTAACGTCACGTTGTCCGAAATAGGACCGCTCTCAAACATCTCCTCTTCATAAGGATTGAAAGACATTGGAGGATAATCACAATTTCACACAAGTCCAATTTAGCTTACGAATCCTTCTTTTCTTCTATCGATGATGGTTGTTTTACACGTCGCCAAGTGTAGACTCGTTGATAGGACTTTTTATATGGCGGAGATTTCGCATTCAACTTGTTCTTGAATTGGAATGTTTGGTGTTCTCTTTCTTGAAGTTGTTCCCAGATCTGAACAGGGTCTCCATTATCTGGAGTTGTCATCTTCTTTCTGGAATCACGTTCCTCCTCTAGTTGGGATTCATTCTGAACCGAAGAATCATTCAAAAGTTGGGATAAACGATGTGTCAATTGAGATTCAATCCATGAGTCGGCCTTGGACTGTTTCTTTGGTTTGGAATGTAAAGAGTGTTTGAAAGAATCCAAAAAAAGTGGCTTTGTAGGCGTCTGAACATTCATTGTTCTCTTTGAGCGTTGATTCCTCAACATCTTGTCATGACCAGAATGAGAAGATATTTTGGAATATGAAAAGTCTGATGAATTGCTCTTCAAAGGTTTCTCGCTGTTATGCAATTTCAATACAGTATTTCTACTTAACGTCTTTCCTCGATATGCTGGACATCGATGATGAAGATCAGTACCTGCAGGAAAGGGTTCATCAAATACAACCTCCAATTCCGTTCCATGTATGCCAACCACAGTACCATGAAAACCAAAAGGTACAGGTCCAGTGGCTGAAATATTGACAACTCTGTCTTTCAAACAAACATTCTCCTTCAAACTCTGTATACCTGCAAGATTGGTCTTATTACGTTGCTTCTCATGTTCATCTCCAAAAAGCAAAAGTTCTCTGGGAACTACTAAAAATTGTTCATCTAGCGACTGTACTTGATCACGTTTGAGCTTTTGTTCTACATTCGCAATCTCTTCCTTAGACATCACTTCACTGCTGCTGTGTAGTAGTGGTAACTTGGCAAGTTCGAGAGATTTGAGCCATTCCTTGATACGAGTTACCACAATTTCGCTATTCACTCCCATATCGATGTATTTGGAGCCAACATTCTGAAGAGAAGAATCGTGAAAAGTGTTGTCAAGAATGTCAAACACTTGTGGAAATTTCTGTTTGTATTCCAATAGAACTTGTATGGCTGAATAAGAAAATTCATAAGAGTTGGACGACGTCAGTAATCGACAATAACCGGGAACATAAAGACTCTTTGATACAAATTTCAAACGAAGTCCAATATCTTCAGGTCGGTCATTGGACTTGGAAGACTTGACAAACACGGAGCTTGTGATCCTCGATACAGCATATGTTGTACTCTTCAATAACTCTGCAGTATTAGATAATGAAAACCAAGTGACTTGTTCATCTTTGTTCGTTATGATCTTACTATCATCCCATTCTACAGTTTTTTGGTTTAAGAATTTGATTTTCACCCAGTCTGAATAAAACTCAGAGTCATTCTTGGGTCTCTTGATATGACTTACTACCAAAGCTGTTCTTCCAAAATGTGGACCTTTACCAATGTAGACAACTCGATCACCTCTGTTCAACTCCGAAATGGTAGATGTTATATAACCTTGTTTCCTTTTCATTCTAGTGGAAAGTTCAATAGGTACAATGACAGAAACAGGTAACCAAATATCTTCGTTACAATAAGAAACAATGGCACCAGAAGTAGGGTCTCTTTTATCACAAAGATGAACACCAACCATATATTGAACTTCTCCAATATCTAAAGCATTTCTACTCAAAGCTTGCTTTCTAAACTGTTCCAATTGCACAATGAAAAAGTTGGGATCAACAGTTTCATGAATGAAAAGCTCCGATGTTCCCGGTTGTTTAGAAACCTTTTCACCCGTACAATTTATCACAGACCACACCAATGCCTCACAACGCCAAGGATATTCTACCAAAACTCTCTTTCCTGGTGAAAAAAAAGACTGTCCATTTACCACATTCATAAAAGTGGTCGTGGATCCTTGATTATGATTGGTCTGTGGTTGGATAATCACGCTTTCTCGTTTACTTGGAATACCAAACACATTTACACCAATCTTGGCATAATAAATGGAAAAGGATAAGCTTTTCAATGTAGGATAGTTACCGGGAGAAGAAGCACCTATGGACGTTCCAGGAAAGAGATGAGGTTCAAACCCATCATGATGACCATCGACCACTGGAAGACTCAAAGGTTCACAAATCGCAGCTGTCTCTTCAATGTCACGTAAATGATTAGGAAATGGTGAACGTATCTTCCTTTTAATGTACTTTACGTTTTCATTCATTTGATGACGTCGATAAATCATAGTTTGTCGACAAGCGTTTCGATTCCTTTCTTCTTCAGAGAATAACTCATTTGGTATGGAATGGTAGGCTTCCAAAAGAAGACTTTCATCTACAAATGGAAGTTTGATTACACCTTCCCATGCATTTCTCTTTCCATCCATATCCACTTCAAAGTCTGATGGATAAAATCGAAAAATAGGTGATGATTTGTCATTCATCAACTTTTGTAAAGCAGTTGGTAAACACCAAGCACTTTGAGGAGGTAACACAGCCAAAAGTTGTTGAAATGGCAAAAAAGGTTCACTGGCACTAAAGTCACAAATATTTGTTACCCCAGTTAAACCAACCAAATCGGAAGCCATTGGAGCATAATGATAAGGATAAAACCATCTCCAACTGGGACAACCACTATAATAATATTTCCATGTCCATAACAATCCTTTAAGATATGTAAACTTGAGCTTTTCTAAACTATCCTTGTCTTCCAAATCCATGTTTAACTTGTCTCGATAATAACTTTTCTAAAAAATGTCTTTAGTTACCATGGATATTAAACAAAATGGATGGCTCATACCTTTATAGATTCCATAAGAGGATCCGTAGAAGCCACATATGCTTCATTCAATGCTTGCTCAATGTCTTCTTTTGTCCAGGGCTCTATACCAGTTTCTTCTGTATTCTCGTTACAATCATTTCCTAAACCCCATATATCATCGTGACTAGTTCCAATATCCACCATTCGAGGTGCTCTTCCTTTGGACTGAGCAATTGCCTCGAGTCTTCTATTCACAATCAACCTTTCCAATAAACCCAATTTGGAAAGAAATATTTCCAATCTCTCCAAAACAATATTTCCATTTTCAATTAAATAACCACCAAATAAAGGTAACAATTTCTTATATAAAGTCAACATAGTATCCAAAGCTCCTTCCGCAATATTCAAGGTGGGTAGTTGAGGCAAAAAATCGTTTCCAACTAGAAAACACATAAAAATAAAATCATGAATACAATTCTCTAAATTGTAAAAAGTAATAGGAAGTGTACAAAATTCACTATCCAGATATTCTCTCAACACTCCGATGGAAAAGAATTCAAACTCTCCTGAAATACAGCGATCCAATGGAGTTGCTTCTACTGCTAAATTTCCTTTTTTGGAAACAAATAACTTGGACAGATCAGTTTGTTCTCTTAAAAGAATAAAGTGTGGTTCATGAGTCACTAAGGAAAGCATGATCAAGTCTGCGTCCAAACCATACAGACAGTGAGATAGATTGGCTTCCCATTCTCCACTTAGCTTTTTACGACGTATATACTCTATGATTTTATGCTCTCCTTCTCCTGGAACGTTGGTAGTAGAAAGAATAACTTCCACAGTAGCCCAAGACTTGTCTTCAGTTATTTTCTTATGAACTAAATATTCCAACGCTTCGGAAAAGCTGGCCATAAAATGAGTGCCTGGAGTAATACAATTGGAATCAAAAAAACGTTGAGGAACGGGCTTTCCTTGTTTGATTCGGTTTTCCATTTCTTGTGCTCGATCCTTGGCAGTTCGAAACCTTCTGGCTCGTTGTTGGTTCATCTTGGCTCGAGGTGCAACACCGTCTATCGCAATATAAACCAATCTTTTGGGACGTACCATCGAAAATAACATATCGATATAATTGAAAGTTTCCAGAAATATTTCTTCTTCTGAAGGATATTGACAAGGAAAGGGTTCCTGACTATCCTTTGGTCGAGCACAATTGTGTAATATTCCGTTGGCATCCAAATAAAAGTTATCCACGTCTGGTACTACAGAAGGAACTACTTTATGTATAGTTAATGGATAACGTTCTGATACCCAACGATAAAACTTTGGAACGCCCATATTCTATCTTTTTCTATTTTGCCAATCCCAAAATGAAGTTGTCCAAGACTTGGCATGAGAAAGCTCTTCCTTTCATTCATCATTCAACTATTACACAACGTAAACTTTTTATTCGTTCTCGAAATATGAGATATATAAATAGTACGTTAGACAATAGGAGTTGTAATCTTCCCAAGTCTGCTTATATTCATATTCCTTTTTGTGTTCGCAAGTGTTTCTATTGTGACTTTGCAGTTATTGCAGGAAAGACCGTGAATTGGTATGATACATATATTTCTCATCTTTTAAGAGAAATAGAAAGTACGTTGGATTATTTCAAACGGAAATATCAAAAGCTACCAGACTTGGAAACTATTTACTTTGGGGGAGGTACACCTTCTCTTTTACCTTCCGTTTATCTTTCACAGATATTACATTCGCTGCAAAAATATGTCAACTTTGCTTGTAACGTTGAACTAACTGTTGAAATGGATCCTGGTACCTTTGACTTATCTAAAGCAAGAGACTTCTCGGCTTTGGGTGTCAACCGAGTAAGTGTTGGAGTACAATCTTTCGATGATTCTCTATTGAAGTTATGTGGTCGTTCACACGATTCAAAAGAAATATACAAAGCTTGGGATATCTTAAGAATGGCAGGTTTCACCAACGTGAGTCTCGATTTGTTGAGTGGACTACCAACTCAGAGTGGAGAAGTGTTCAAGGTATGTTTCTTTGCAAAACAAGGAAAAGTGGACTATATGTTCTTGCAAGGACTCGATTCAAAAAGCAATCTCTTTGGATCCGGAACATTTGTCTTGTTATGATTTGATTGTAGAACAAAAAACTCCTTTTGGGAAAAAGTATCAAAATGGTATATATCCTTTACCATCAGAAGATGATGCGGCTGCTATGTATATATTTGCTTCATGCAGACTAAGAGAACAAGGCTATGAACATTATGAAGTATCCAACTATGGAAAACCCAACTATCTTTCGAGACACAATCAAGTTTACTGGAGAAATCAAAGTTATTATGGTTTTGGTATGAGTGCAACAAGTTATACAGAGTTGAAAAGATTTTCTCGACCTCGAAAGTTACTTTCTTATTTTGATTGGGTAAAGCAACTAGAAATGATACAAAATGGTGAAGTGGAATGTCGGGAGGAGTCCTTACAAGATCAAGCAGTGGATACTTTGATACTTGGCTTAAGAATGAAACAAGGTATTTCAATGGATGAGTTTGAAAAGCAATATGGACAACAACTCTCTTGGCAAATCAAGGAAGCTGCTCAACCTTGGATAGAAAGTGGTCATGTAGTAAGCACATACGACTGCAATGGACAACTACAAAACTTAGCTTTGCAAGATCCGGAAGGATTTCTGCTACAAAATAGTATCTTAATTTCATTGTTAGAAAAGTCTTTGTGGAATAAGTCATCATCCAAATATCACAAGACTCCATCCTAAAGATATTTTTGCAAAACTCAAGCCTTGAATATATATTTCAAATACATTTGCAAATAGACAAAGATAGTCTTCTCTATGTGGTATTATCGATTGTAATATTGTCTGATTCTCTCTTCAACTCTTTGTCAGTATTCTGACGGTCACTATCTACAGAACGAGCAGGTGATGAACGAGAACTCGAATGAGTATGGCTTCTTCTTTGAAGTGCGGCTCTTGCTTCTGCCAACATCGCTTGTTGAAATGCTTTCTTAGCATTTTCCTCGTCCAATGATTGTGCTGCCAAAGTTCCATTTGGCATATTTTCAATAGTCTTTTGCGATCCACTCATGGTTGCCTTGTTATATTCTTCTTCTTTTTCCTCCTTTTTGGTTGAATTGCTTTGGATATCATTGACTGTATACATGACGTTCGGTATTTCCTTAGCTTTCGGAACCAATTCTTCTACAGAAGCCGGAGGAATTGACATGAAATCATCCATGATGCCTATAAACATTCGTCAGAAATACATAGACATATCAAACATGCACACTAGATTCCAATTACCTGGATCCCGTATCTTATTTGAAAATATTTGGGTTCCAATACCATTTGCATCCAATGAATAGTCGTCCTCCTCTCCAACCAACCAATTCTTATTCGAACGCCACACTTCCTTTTCTGACTTGGTGCGAACCAAATCCTCTTCTCTTTGATAACTTTGCATACCATTTGAAATCGCTAAGTTATCTTGATGCCTTTTATTCCCTGACTGGGAAACTTCCAAATGAATGGTATCTTTTAGTACTTGCATGCCAGAAACAACGGATTTAAGACAGTTGACAACTTCAACTAATTCTTGTCGTGTTTGACGTTCTGAGTTATGAATGAGTTCTTCTATCATATCATTATTTCTTTCGGTAGCTTTCACGAGGTTTTTCACCGAAGTTTTCAACTCATCTACAACCAACAAATTCTCAAGTCAAAAGTTCGATACAAAAAATTGCAAATAACACCACTTACCAACTTGTTGCTCCAAGTACTTTCTTCCCTCATCCTTTTCATCTTCTCGGAACAGTTTCTGTTTACCAATGTCTCGCGACCGTGCTTCAGGAAAATAAAGTGGCACGACATACTTTCTCAACAGTTCTCTTAGAGCTAAAAAAAGTCCTGCGGCAGCACCTGCTCCTAGAAATACGTTACCAACAGACCAAGAGCGCTCTTTTTGTTGAGGCTGTTGTGGACTTGTAACTTGAGGAGTGACATATGCAAAAGGTTGAGGAACCCAAACTCCTCCTCCTCCTGGTTGTGCCATCGTCCACTGATTGGAAGAAAAATTATTGGAGTTTACTTTTCCTGAAGGAACTTGAGCAATCTAATAAAAACTTTTCAGTTAACTAACGAGAAACACTGTAATGTTTCCATACTTGTTGACTGGGGGTATTTTCATTTGGTGCAAAACTCTTAGGTACACTGTCAGGTACTGTTGTCGTCTTTGCAGCTGAATCCAACTTTTCAACTTCAGCATTTCCGGAAAAAGTATCTTCTGGATATGTTTGCCCTGCCCTTTGAAAGGCTTCTCTTATCTCCTCATCAGTTAATCCCTTCCTTCTTAAAAAGTCTAGCTTTCTTTGCCCCGCAGTAGGTTTTACTTGGGGATGCTCTAAAAAGCTTACTGCTTTCTTCACCTATTGGAACACAAAACAAAGTTTTCGTTGGTATTTCCTGCACATAAAGTCACCGACGTTATACAACTTACTTCTTCTTCACGAATCATCACCACAGCAGTATTGAATTTCTTCCCAAGTTTCCTCCTAACACCGAAAGATACATAAAGTTATCAGAATCGGATGTGGCGAATAGAGTTAATCAAACATTTGGTTTTCAAACTTGAAAGTCAATTGAAAACTCAATGTTACTCTGCAACTAGAGCCATTTATTTGACTGACAAGGTACAAAATAGCTTTAAAGCAAATGACCTTTCAAGCTATCATTTTATTTTCTATTTTTCTTATGAGCTTACTAGAATAGATAAATAATTGCATTTGTAGAAATACATCAATTTTTGCAGATATGAAGAGTCGTTTCATGTGGCAAGGTTCAAAACCGGATACTAGACCTGTCACTCTAGAAAAATCCTCGTGATCTATTCTGCTCAAAGCAAGAGATTTTGCGACTTTTCTCAAAATAGATAAAACTTCAACAAAGCGAGACAGCAGCTTCTCGATGAAAACAGCTCAATTTTAACAAGGATTTCCAACGAGAAAGTTGTTCTTTGAAAACAGAAAGGCAACTTCTTTTGATAAGAGGAGGAAAAAGACAAACTGCAACACTATGTCAAGTGTTGGAATACATGTTCAATTTCAGTTCATTGTAGCCAACACTACTTGCGTACATCTGCAAGCTGTTCTCTAAAGCCGACAAGGGATTGTGAATTCAAAAATTCTCAAGCACTTGTCAATCGTTCAATGCAAAGCATGTTCGCCATTCAATGAGAGAAATTGTGGAGTAGTTTACGTTTTTGCATTCCACGGACATTCCGTGTCAATTCCAGCTGGCCCTCCCTCATTCAACGTGTCTCATTTTGCCAAAGACCAAATGGCGGTGTTGATGGGACCAAAACTCGAAACGCCTTTCACACGATTGATTTTGGTGGATTTCAGGAGATAGTTGAGGTATGGCTATTACTCTAACTACTGCTGAAGATTTTGAAAAAGTCGTTTTATCTGAGTCGTTAGTAAGTATAGGTGTGTTTTTCTAAACAGAAAAGATTTCTCATCCTTTTTCAAGGTGGTTGTTGAATTCTTTGCAGAATGGTGCTCTCCTTGCCAAAAAATGGAAAAATTCTTAGAAGACCTCATGAAAGACTCTAAATATACAGACAAAAAGATACTGTTCTACAGAATAAATGTTGACACACTTCCTGGAATAGCAAAGATGGTTGGCATAGGAGCCATTCCTACCTTTGTATGCTATAGAGACAATAGAAAGCTGGACGAATCAGTTGGTGCATCCAAGTCTAGTCTAAAGAAGATGTTAAAGAAACATATGTAAATATATTAAGTCAATATCAATCTGAGGCATAAAGTGCTATCTAAGAAATAAAAAATTTTCTGTTTTTAAAACTCTAAACATATATGACAAACACTTGTATAGAACATTTTAGAACGAAATCTCCGTTTGGACTAGATCCTCTGCCAACAAAACTTCACCAGCAGCGTCTTGAAAATTAACTGAAGACCCTTGCTTGGAGTAACAAAATTCATTTATTTCAAGACTCCTATAAAGGTAAATAAATTAGATTGAAAGTTTCAACTTGGGGGACACGGAGAAAACCAACACTTGATAACACTGTCAACATAAAGACAGACTCTATTATGGGATGGAAGTCTTCCTCAATAAACATCCTCCAAAGAAGGAAGAAACCAGCAACTCTAGTCAATTTTATAACTCAAAAAGTTCATTCAAACCTGTTGAACAAACTCTAACAGGTTTCCACTATCTTCCTACAACAACAAAGCACAAGCTAAATCAATCAGTCATCCTTCTTATTTTAGTTGGTTTGGGCCATTAGGAATTTCATTGAATAGCTTCGACGTCGTGGACTGACCGCTCTCTTTCCAACAGAGCACTCAAGAGACGGACGAAGTGTAGAGTTGGATACGGTTATTGAACAGCAAAATGGTTCAATTATTTGTGAAAAGTCTTCATGATAAGACTCTTGTGTTTGATTTTCCTGCTACAACTCCCGTTTCGGAACTACGAAAACAGCTCGCAGAAAGTGAACGAGTTCCTTGTACGGACTTGAGAGTTTTTTCAAGTGTTTCAGATTTGGCAGACGAGGAATATATTGGAAGCATTGATAGTCAGTTTTTGTTTGCCAGTCTTCGCTTAAAGGGAGGTGCAAAAAAGAAGAGAAAGAAGTCCTTTACCAAACCCAAGAAGGTCAAGCATAAGAAAAAGAAGGTTCCACTTGCAGTGTTGAAGTATTATAAAGTATCTGATGATGGAAAAGTTAGTCGACTACGAAGATCTTGTCCCAATCCAACCTGTGGACCAGGCGTATTCATGGCAGCACATCGTGGAAGGCAGTATTGTGGCAAATGTGGTCTTACTTATGTTTCAGAAGGAAAGTGATAGAGAAGCAATGGCAATACACTCAAATAAAAGTAATTCGCCACATGGCAAACTTTCCAAAAATAGATCACACATGCTGAGGTGTCGTCTGCATTCTGTGATTGATCGCCTTTTATCAAAGACACGATTGCACTATCTTGCGATCCGCGGTATAGAGAAACGAAGCACTATTCAGAGACAAATGGCAAACTTTCAGCTTCGTACCTGAGTTTTTGCGTTTTACTGCTTGTTATTTGCTAAGAGCAATAAACAAAGTTTGGTCACTTTTTATCGAGTTGTGTAGTATCAAGAGAAGAAGCGTTGCGAAAGACTAGAGTAGCTCTGGGTTAGTACATATATAGAGACCTTTATATCCCGTGAGCACGAATTTCTGTTATAACTACACAAAATTGGACAGAGCTCAAACTCTCAAATACGACAAACTAGAAACTACCTTAGAATTGACTCTCCAAACTTGAGATGTTCAAAGTATACGTAGCATGGTTTATGCAACTTGTGTATCCTGCTTTTATTTGTATTATATCGACAGGGTATGTCTTAAGTCGACACTGCATTCATAATTTGTCATACTTCTGGATATTTTATGATTAGATGGAATTCGGTATCTTGTGCTATTTATCTTCCTTCCATTTTGGCCACTGTCGCAGAGTTTTTGTGTTTTTTATTGTTTCCTATTAGTTTGACTAATGGAAAACATCTTTGTTTTATAGTGAGTGCCCTGTCTCTATTATTTATATTCAGTCCAATTGCATCCTTTTCATGTTTAGATGAGAGTCCTTGCAAGTACTTTTATGTGTGTTTGGTGGTTGCAACGTCGTTTGTTCCAAACAACTAATATCTTTCAGTATGTCCATATTTGGAGGAGTTTAACTCTTGGATTTTTTGGCTTTCTATTATGGTATCATTACCATTGACTTTAATCAATATCTCTCAACGACAATCTTAGGGTTGCTCTCCCATCTTTATTATATTTTATAGGTTTACAACGATATCAAAGGCCACAACCAACCAATGATAGAGTTCCATTCAACTGGAATCCTTCTCTAATGAGTTACAACCTATCAGTGAAAATGATTCTTCTTGGCATGAAAATAGTTCATTCCGTACTATTGGTGCCCTTTATTGAAGAGATTCAAATAAGGAATTTAGCATTTCGTTTTATGACACGTTGGATATGTGGTCAGTCATCATCTACAGGTATGTTACTATCAATGGAAGTGATATTATAATAATAAACTTCACAACAGGACGCAGTGACTGGGTCCTTGATGTTTCACTGTATCGATTTTGCTGGCCTTCCATTATAATCATATCTCTAGGATTCGGTTGCTGCCATCTCAGATATGAGTTTGAGTGGTTGGCTGGATTTCTTTATGGAGTGATGATTCAGGTAAATGATTAATACGACATGGGACTACGATGGACTCCACTCAACTTGTAACAAGGTCGTTGCTGTGAAAGACAAGAGTGTCGTGAACGCTGTTTTGGTCCACATAGTTACCAATCTTTGTTTAAATGTTTATATTTTCATATCTGGTAACTTTTATTTGTGGTAGCTATACTTAGGAATAGGTTTTAATGTTGTTGCGTTTTTCAAAAACGTAGGATAGAAATGATTTTGTGGTTCTCTTTTAAATATACCAACTGATTGGCAACTTTGGTTGTACAATGTCGGAATCACAAGTAATTGGAAGAAACTAGTATAGTTATCCGATAAGTTTGTCTCACCAAACAACATCAAAGTGTATTCTCACTATTATATAGTTGAGAACGGAGAAACGAACAATTCTATTCCAATGGACATTCATATCGAAGCTCTGCTGCCAGGACTTGATCCCCTTTGTCTAATGTTCCAGTTCCACAATACAATTCGTCGGACCTTTCCCAGTCGAATGATGTCAAGTGGACAAGATAAAATTTGGGACAATTTCACTGACCTTTAAAAGGGATGCAAAAATCTGTGGATATATCTTTGTTTGGAACAGTTTCTCTGGAAAACTTATCCTGATTTCAGAATATGGCAGAAGTAGAAAGTGGCTACAGAAGAAAGTCTGAAGAAGATGAAATTATTGATCAAGTGGAGACAGGAGGAACGGAGTTACATGATGAAAAGGAGAGTGAGGAAGTGGAAATGGATAAAGAATTGTCAAAGCTTGAAGAGGAGCTTCAAGCGAGTGGGAAGAAACCCTTCTTAGCAGCAAGAATTATTCCAAAACCCAAAATTTTCATTTGGTTCTTGGCTTCCTTTGCAAGTATTGGTGGTCTTTTATTTGGTTTGGACCAGAGCCTTATTAGCGGAGCAGAACTCTACATTCCTTCTGATCTCAACATCGATAGTTCTCGAATGTCCATGATTACTGGTTTTATGGCTCTTGGAGCTATTTTTGGTGCTTTATGGTAAGTTTTTGTTTTCCATATACATTCACACCTTGGCTCAATCTTTTGTTAGTGTTTATCCAGTGAATGAGTTGTTAGGTAGAAAATGGACTATTATTGTTGCCTGTTTGTTGTATACAGCAGGAGGTATTTTAGAAGCCGCCGCAGGTTCTTTTGGTGTCTTGTTATCAGGAAGAATGATTCTTGGCGCTGGTGTTGGTCTTGAGACTGGAACAGTGCCTCCTTATATTTCTGAAAATTGTGCAAAGAGATGGCGTGGCGGTCTGGTATCACTTTATCAAGTCAATATTGATTTAGGGCTGTTATTTGGATATATTGCTGCAGCTATCTTTGTAGATGTTTCAGGAAATTGGCGTTGGATGTTGGGTTCTTCGTTGTTGTTTTCTACCATTTTACTTGTTGCCATGTTGTTCCTTCCTGAAAGTACTCGATGGCTAATGAGAAAAGGAAGAAAGGTGGATTCCTATCTTGTATGGAAACATGTACGTGGGGTAGAAACTTTTGAAGAAAAGCAAGAATTTTTCCGAATGGAAACTCTTGTATTAGAAGAATTGGAAGCATCCAAGACGAGGTGGATATTATTAGATTTTATTAGAAGACCAAGATGTAGAAGGGCAGTTGTTTATGCTATTTTATTGCAATTGGTTGTTCAACAATTCTCAGGAATCAATTCAGTTCTTTATTATATGGGACCATTGATGGAACGTACAGGACTTTCAGCTCAAGATGCTGTTTATACCAGTCTTATTGGAGGAGGGACGATGTTTTTGTCCACTATTCCAGCCATATACTTTATGGATCGGTTAGGAAGGCGTCCAGTTTTATTAACACTTATTCCTGGAGTTTCTGTCGGTCTCTTTATTGTTGGTTTTTCTTTTAAAGCAACCAATGTGAAGGTTGAGGAAGGGGTATACATTTTAGGAGTAGTTATTTATGAGTTTTTCTGGGGTTCTTGTTTAGGACCCACTCCTTGGGTGGTTGCATCAGAAATATATCCAACTTATTTGAGAAGTACTGGTGTTAGTATCAATGCATTGTGCAATTGGTTAGGCACCTTTACCACGACTTATGCATTCAACGATATGCTGGATGCTCTGACACCGACGGGTACATTTGTTGGTCTATACAATGGAGTAGTTATTTTTGGTGGAATTTATCTCCTTTTCTTTATGCCAGAAACGAAAAACTTAACCTTGGAGGAAATGGATGAGTTGTTTGAACGTCCAACCAAAGATATTGTGCACGAGAATTGGGAAAATACTAAACAAGTGTGGCGTGATTTGGCACATTTTCGCTTTCGCGAAGTTTGGAAATTGTCTTGAAAAATTTGTCATTTGCATCATTGACTTTTGATATAAACATGAATTGATGTTTTCCTTGACATTCCATCTCATCAATACATGAGTAGTCGATCTGTATACTTGAAATACATTTGTAAACACATTTTAACTTGGAACTGTATACACAGTGAACTTAATAGAAAGTAATTTGTCTTTTGGACAGTTGATCAAACTTCAAGGAGAATTGCTTAATCCTTTTAGACAATTGGAAACTCTCAACCATGGTTTCTTCTGAAGCAAGTTTGCACTATATAAGACAAAATGATATGGAGGCGAGCAAGAAGAAGAAGAAGAAGACTTTAAAAGTAATAGACAACCAGACTGGTCAGGAGTTGACACTTGAACTGCACAATAGTAAGTGTTGCGCTTCTTGCACTTTCCTTGGCTACTGTGAATACGAAACTTTTATGATTTCTAATTTCTTTATAGATACTATTCGTGCAGTCGATTTAGCAAAACTTGGAGTTACTGTATATGACCCTGGTTTTTTAAACACTGCTTCTTGTATTTCAAGAATCACTTACATCGATGGAGACAAAGGGTACCTCATATTCATATTGTTTTCAGTATGGACAATGAACAGACTTTTATAGAATTCTTCGTTACAGAGGCTATCCAATAGAAGAACTGGCAGAGAAATCTACCTTTATGGAGGTTGGCTCTCATTACCATATTGAGAGTGTTTATGCTTACTTATTGAATAGGTCTCCTTCCTCCTATTGTACGGTGAACTTCCTACTTCTAGGGAACTCGAACATTTTACGCATAGAGTTTTACGTCATACCTTCTTAAAGCAGTCCTTAGTGGATATAATCAAGTATGTAGTGGGCAGTGTAGCATTTGTTTCTTTTAATGAAAAAACTTTCCAGGGCAACACCAAAAGAATCGCATCCTATGGGGCTACTTGTAAGTATGTTAGCTGCTGAAGGTAAGATAAGTTGAATTCTATTTTGTAAACAAAGCTTTTTGTTGATAGAATTTTCCATTTTATTAGGAACGCTGTATCCCGATGCCAATCCTGCTATTAGCGGTGGTGATGTTTACAATTCTCCTAGAGTACGAGAGAAACAAGTAAGTAATGCCACTTTCTTGAGGGAAACTTTACAGTTCCTGAATCTGTTTTTCAGATACTTCGTTTGCTTGGAACCATGCCAACATTGGCAGCATTTGTTTACCGACACAAAATGGGTCGTCCATTCAATTATCCAGCTTATGGTGGAAGTCGTTCCTATACCGAGAATTTTATGTATATGTTGGATAGGTATATATAGATATACTCCATAGTTGCTGTCGCTGAGAACCTTTTCCATGTAGTATGGAGGATCCTTCCTATCGTCCTAATGCAACACTTGTGAAAGCATTGGATACTTTGTTTGTATTACATGCAGACCATGAATTGAATTGTTCTACAGCAGCAGTTCGTCATCTTACTAGCAGTGATGTGGATGTTTTTACAGCTTTTTCTGGAGCAGCAGGTAAGGAATGCTAGTGAGGGTGTGTTTTTTGTATTCTTAAAGTTCACAAAGGAGCTCTATATGGACCACTTCATGGAGGAGCAAATGAAGCTGTTTTGCGAATGTTGGAAAGGATTGGTTCGGTTGAAAAAGTTCCAGCATTTATCGAAGCTGTGAAGAATCGAAAAGCCCGTCTTATGGGTTTTGGACATCGAGTCTACAAGTGAGAGATGGTAGAGTACCTTTCTAGTGTTATTCTGATTGGTTGGACATTAGGAACTATGATCCTCGTGCAAGGATTGTTAGAAAGTTGGCTTATCAAGTAAGCAACGTGTTCATTTGTTTAGAAAAGTTTGAATGAACACAACTTTATTAGGTATTTGAAATCTGTGGCAAAGATCCCTTGATTGAAATAGCGACGACTTTGGAAGAACATGCGTTAAAAGACAATTATTTTATTGAAAGAAAGCTGTATCCAAATGTGGACTTTTATTCGGGCTTGATATATAAGGCTATGGGATTCCCAACAGGTATCAAGAGAGTTGACCTTTTTCCATTCACTCAACTGACTCTATTTGTGACAGATTTCTTCACCATTTTATTTGCAATAGGCAGGACACCAGGTTTGTGTTCAAGTACTTGTTGTTTTGTTGAAGTTGAAACCTTTTATAGGATGGTTGGCGCATTGGTTGGAGTATTTGGATGATCCAGATAAAAAGATTGCTCGTCCAAAGTTAGTTGAGTTCAAGATAGAAGGATGCTTACTGAGTGCTATTTGATAGGCAAAATTATCTAGGTTCAGATCAGCGCAGTTATATTCCCCTCACTCAAAGGAATTCCTCTGTGAAATATTCCACAGAATATGTGAGTCCAGCAGAGAAAAGGTTGGTTTCTTTTCTTTTTTTGAAAAAACTTGGTTTTTGTTGAAGATGCGTGATTGATGATTGAAGAAGAGTCAACGGATTCGCAGTTGCCAAAATGTAGAGCGAGTGTGAAATGATTACTTGTCGAAATGGCATTCCTTTTTGCCACTCATTTGTTTCCTTCGCAGTACTTGTTTGTCCATAAAGAATGTTTCAAGAATAAGCAACCAAGTTTCCCTTGTAACAACACGTCGTTTATTAGAAAATGTCGTTTCCAAGCTTGTGGAACCGAGTCTTCCGATAACGATAGGGTTCCTTGTACACTTGACTTGACAACACCTCTCAATATAAACGCAAATTGGTCAGTATGGAACCGAAAAGAAACGTTGTTACTTTATGAAGAATATTTCTATAGCTGTACAGAGCTACAACTTATTTCTCGTCTCGAGTTATTGGCCAACAATGTAGCCAAGCTGATGTTTACCGAATTATTTCCTTGTTCAAGCCATTCTTCAGTCTTTGTTTTGTGTGGTCGAGGTTGGAATGGTGCTATAGGTATGTTACTCGCTCTTGAGTTGAAAAAGTTGGGATATCAGTCGAGAATTGTGTTGACGGATGGTACCAAATATCATTTCGTCTATTCCCAAGTTCAGAATCAGGTTTCTATATTGGATTTTATTCCGTCTACTATGGAATATTATGCTGACTTTGTGGTTGATGCTATTTTTGGTGTTGGACAACAAGGCTTGTTTCCACGTGAACCTTTCGATAGAGCTATTTCTGTATTGAGCAAGTCCAAAGTTCCCGTGGTTTCTTTAGATGTTCCTAGTGGTTGGTATGTGGATGGCGGACCACCAACAGAATATATTGAAAGAGATATTCATTTGAAACCTGAAGTACTGTTATCTTTGGATTTTCCAAAGGTATGCACTTTGTATTTCTATGGAGCGTTTCAGTTTCTAGTGAAAGGTATTATTCCCTTTTCACGTTTGCAATCTATGCGTTCTCCGTGTATATTACCTCCATATCCAAACAACAATTGTTATGTTTTATTGGATGCTATGCACCAAACGAGCCCTCAACTTACTAATTGGGGTAAAGCACCTGGTGAAATATATGGACAAGGCAAACCTATGCCAACTCTATTTTCAGAACCACGTATTTCTCGTTGGATCGATCCAGAAGAAGAAAATGACTTTTGGGATGAATTGGATTGACTTATTCATCTGCAGTTACAATTCTTGGTGCAATACCCATCGCCATAAGTTCCTGAAACAGCAGTTTACAGGCATAAGGAATGAATACTTGAGATATCTACCACAAATATGATTATTCAACATGGTGAGCTGCAAATATCATATTGTAATACTTACTTCCGTTTTGTTACGACAACTGCGACATTCAAAAGTATTCCTCTTCAAATCAGCGATAGCTATCAGTCCGCAAAGATTGCAAACATGGATTCGATAAGCATCCGATTCATCCATCAAACGCTCTTTCAAAAAGAACGCTGCTCCATGAGAAATCATACAATCTCTTTCCATTTCTCCAAAACGGAGTCCACCTTCTCTAGCTCTTCCTTCGACTGGTTGTCTCGTAAGTATTTGAACAGGACCACGAGCACGTGAATGTATTTTATCGTCAACCATATGCTTGAGTCGTTGGTAATAAGTAGGACCAATAAATATATGTGCTTCCAAAGGTCGACCTGTAAAACCATTGTACATCAGTTCCCATCCACGACTCTGATAACCCAATGTTTTCAACTGTTGAGATATTTCATCCACAGTAACCCAAGTAAAGGGAGTTGCATCTCCTTCTCTTCCAGCAATGGCAGAAACTTTTCCTTGAAGACACTCAATCAACTGACCTATTGTCATCCGACTTGGAATAGCATGTGGATTGATAATAATGTCAGGAACAATACCATCCTATCGATATAAACAATTCGTTCCAATCATCTTCATGTCTATAAGAACACTTACCACATTAAAAGGTAAATCTTCTTGACCATAAGTAATACCCACAGTTCCTTTCTGGCCATGACGACTGGAAAATTTATCTCCAACTTGTGGTACACGAACCGAACGAATGCGGACTTTAACAAAACGAGCGCCTGCTTCATTGGCAGCCAACATGACTTTATCTACTACACCCGTTTCAGTACTTCGCATACTGGTAGATGCATCCTTTTTGGTTTTGCCTCCTAATGTCTGAGAATACGCCTTCCACGTTTCATCTTCTTCTCCATTGGCTGCCATTCTTCCAAGTGGGCATGTCTTACCCACCAAAATATCATCTCCTGATACTCGAGTCCCTTCTGCTACCAAACCATCTTCTTCCAACTTGTCATATGCACCTCGTTTGGTTCCAATACATTCCTTTGGATTGGGAACTTCAAAGGTTTCTTGAGCACCTCCTAGTCTTCGACGCTCTTCATCCTACAATCGATAAATACATTCAGCAATACATGAAATAATGAACATGATATGACATTCTTTTACATACACGAAACGTTCGGAAAAACAACGAACGAAATAAACCTCGATCAACAGCACTTTGACTCAAAATAACGGAATCTTCTTGATTAAATCCAGAGTAACATGCAATTGCCACAATGGCATTGATACCTGCGGGAAGCGAACGAAACTGTAAATGTTCCATTGCACGTGTAGTAACTAATGGCTTTTGTGGATAATATAACACGTGTGCCATTGTATCCATTCGTAACTGATAATTGGTTGCATAAATACCCATTGCCTAAAAAAAGGCTGTTATATAAAACAAATTGCTTGCTTCCTTTTACTTACTTGTTTTCCCATGGCTGCTTGATAAGTATTCCGCGGACTTTGATTATGATCAGGAAATGGAATAATGGAACCACAAACGCCTAATATCATCGATGGATGAATTTCACAATGTGTATAAACTACTTCAGAGTCGGTTTCAATCAAATCTTTTATATTCATCGCAATCATAGTTGTCTCTTCTTCGTTTACATCGACATACTCTATAAGACCATTCTATTGCTCATCATTCAATACCAACAACTTATCAAAAATAATATCAACAAAATACCTCTACTAGGAAAGAAAAACTACAACGATCTCCGTCTGTCCTTTTCAACATGTCAATATGTGACTTCTTAATGGCTAAAGTTTGTGGTGGACGTTGACCAAATACATTAGTATCTTCATTAGCATCTTCAAAAGATATGGGAGGGGGTGGTGGATTGACAATAAATAAGGGTCGACAAACACGACCAGGATCCGTATATATTCGAAGCTCCTTGAACTGATGGTCCATGACGATACTCACTTCTTCCTTGATCGTTCCTTGTCGACGAAGTTCTTTCAATGTTCGAACAAGGTCCTCTGGTTCACGATGAATACCAACCCAAGCACCATTGACAAAAACCTAAAATGAAACAGACAATTCAATTCATATGAGAATTCTTTACAATCATCATTACCTTTGTAGCCAGTGGAACTACTGAAGGAGATATTTCCAACAAATTTTCCATACTCCATTCTTCTAAGAATTCAATCACTGGCGCAGAAGGAGTACCGACAGAAATATAAGCCATCAATGCCAAATTTTTGGTCAAACCACATGCTTGACCTTCGGGTGTTTCAGCTGGACAAATCATTCCCCAATGAGTATTATGTAATTGTCGTGGTTTCGCAAGTTTACCCTCACGACCAATGGGTGAGTTTAGTCTACGTAAATGTGAAAGAGTTGAAGCATAAGTGAGCCGATTTAAAACTTGAGAGACACCCGTTCTTCCACGTATCCAATTACCAGTAGCCAAAGCATTCTTTAAGCCATTCGTTATGGTACGAGACTTGACTGCTCCTTGAAGGTTTAAACCTTTTCCAGTATCAAGATTGCGTTGAAGAATACTTCTGGTTTCCTTCAATACCTAAATATGCATTTATTTCATGAGCAATAAACAGGAAAACAAATATACATACTCTTCTCAAATGATGACGAAACATTTCTCCTAATAGAGGTCCAGCTAGATCCAAACGTTTGTTTCCATAATGATCCCTATCATCTACTTCTCTTCTGCCAAGTGCAGTGGAAAGCAAACGATTAATTACGTAACCCAAGAAGTATCCTTTTTTCAATTCACAGCCTTCGCCAATTCCAATATGTGGCAAAAACTCCTTTTGTAAAACTTCCCGAGCATATTGTATCCTCTTGTCTTTAGTCACAGCAATAGTATTTCCTCTCTTCCCGATATAGTCTAAAGCAACTAAATGATCCTGAATTACTGCAGCCTCCTCAATCGAAGGCATTAAAAATGTCATGAGTTCTTCATCTTGAAAGTTATAACAAATATGACTCATTATTTCTCGATCATTCTCAAATCCCAAGGCACGAAAAACGATAATAACGGGAATATCCTTACAAATAAAAGTCAATGAAATAAGAAAATATTTCTAAACCCTACTTGTTTGATATATGGCATCGATACTCGAATATATTGACCAGAAATACCCTTTGCTCCACCTCTAAGAAGTTTAACTTGGAGCAAAGAAGGTGGCCTATTTCCAGAATCTGGAGCTGAACGACACTCTGCTACGTAAGAATATTTCGAAGGTTGCGAGCGCTTAAATACAAAAACATGGTTAGAAGTCATCCTTTCCTGTGCAATAATCACTTTTTCGCTTCCATTAATCACAAAATAACCTCCTTGATCATATGGACACTCTCCCAATTCTGCCAAGTCCCAAGGCTCTAAATTATACAAGTGACAAAACTGTGACTTGAGCATAATAGGAATTCTTCCCAAGAAAACTCGAATAGGGGGATGTTGTGAAGTTTCTTCTTTGCCACTTTCTAAATTGACTTCAGTTACAGTAACGTCACAATATAAAGCGGAACTATAGGTAAGGTTTCGAAGTCTTGCTTGATTAGGATATAAAGGTCTCGTTTCACCTGTGTCTTCTGTAAAAGTTGGTTTTGACAAACTCAACTGTCCAAAAGATACCACATATCGTTTATCCAAGTCTTCCGAACGTTGACCAGGTAAATATTGCGGCTCAGCAGTTAACACGAGGTCTGGTTGAGAGTCCACAATTTCTTGCATGGTATTAGTAACAAACTCATCAAAAGAGTCTAGTTGTTGTCTCACGAGACCCTTTTCTTCAAAGTATGAAGAAATTACAGTCCAAGCATCTTCCTGAGTGATCTCTTCATCATCCATAAAGGAAGACATAACAAGAAGAAGAAACTTTTCACTCAAAATTGAAAAAGAAAGATTCGATGAGGAAGGAAGATTGCGTATTTTCAGAGCCTGTGAGAACTGCACTTTTAAAGGATAAACCTGTGGTTGCACTAGAAAGCACTATTATTAGCCATGGAATGCCTTATCCCGAAAACTTCAAAACTGCACTTCAAGTAGAAGATTTAGTAAAGTAAGTAAGAAATAGCCCTATTTAAGAGAGTACAGAGTTGTTGTGTGAGGTAGAAATAATGGCGCCATACCAGCTACTATCGCCATCTTACAAGGGAAGGTACACGTAGGTTTAGACAGACAAGAAATCGAATATCTGAGTAAAAAGGGCAAATCCGTTTGGAAGTGTTCAACAAGAGACCTGGCTTATGTTTTGGCGCAGAAGCTGGATGGAGCAACAACCGTTTCCGCCACCATGGTTATTGCTCATAGAGTTGGCATTCATTTCTTTGTTACAGGAGGTATAGGAGGAGCACATCGTGGATCGGAAACAACCTTTGACATATCTACCGATTTGATAGAGCTGGGTCGGACACCGGTTTGTGTCATTTGTGCAGGAGTCAAAGCAATATTGGATATCCCCAAAACTCTGGAAGTGTTGGAGACGCAAGGTGTTACTGTAATTACCTATGGTCAGGAAGAATTCCCAGCCTTTTATTTTGCATCTTCTGGTATTCGATCTCATATACGTGTCGATCAACTGGAGGACATATCACGAATTTTTGCTATGAATCGACGATGGAATTTATCTAGCGGAATGTTAGTCGCTGTTCCTGTGCCTCAGAAAGACAAAGATACTGCGGACAGGGTAGAAGCCGGGATGCAGCAAGCATTAGAAGAACTCAAGGAGAAGCAGCTGACTGGTTCTGCAGTCACTCCATTTTTGTTGGAAAGGATAGCAGATTTAACTGGTGGTGATTCTTTAAAGTTGAATATAGAGTTGATCTTAAATAATGCAGCTATCGGTGCACAGCTTGCAAGGCATTATGCTAGTTATCAAACGGACTCGTCCAATCGTGATGTTCAAATATGATCTACATTTACTCCACAATCACTGTGTTTGTGATTTCTTTTTGAAAGATAACGATAGTGAGAAGGATTTATTGTTGATAGGATATTCTTCGAATACATTCTGATATTTTTTTATCACAAACTTGTTTATGTGTGTTGAAAGGGATTGTTTTTTGTTGCCAGGTTCAAATATTTTTTGAAATGAATAGAAGCTTATGCAACTCTCTTTTTGTGGACATTGAAGTACGAAATGTTGATATCCTTCAAGACAAACATCACATAAACAATTTCTTCTTTATTCCACAGAGAGACAAACACAAAAAGACAAATTCGTCATACTTATGGCCAGCCAGTTGGAGCACCAGGTGGAGAAGGAGGCATCACGGGTGGTGAAGGTGGAGGAGGTGGAGGTACAATAGTAATAGGATACAATCCTGGAGCAGCAACATAATAGCCATCGAGGATACTAGGCATCCAATGAAGGAATGGTGCTTCCAACTTGGCATCAGCAAAGACATATCCAACTTTCACTGTACCAATCTTTCCCTCATTCTGTAGCATTTTGCCTTTTCCGTAACCAACAACAACGTTTTGCAATTGTAGTCTTTCTATATTTACTTCCTTTCCAACAGAGAAATAATGATGGCCGGCTGGAGGATTGTAAAAGTCTACGCCATCCAGTTCGATGATGGAATAATTGGTTGGATAATGAAGATCGAAAACATAGTCTCCCATGCTTTCATCGATATTAAACCAACAGTTTTTAATAAGAATGACACTAGCAGGAGGATCCAGTTTGAACTGTCCTTTAGTGATAGGTGTATTGGATATGGCTCCAATTACTCCATCGGTGATATAGAGATTGATACTTCTGGCATGAATACGAGCACCTCCAATAGGATTGGAGAAATAGAGACCTCGAATAAATGTTGCACCTCCTCCAGTTGAAAAGCCAATAACTGCATGTTTCTTTCCATGATCTGAATAACCATCAACGAAAATGGTATCCAATAAACTATCTTCGTTGCCATCCATACACAAATGGAAGTCGCTAAAGTTCCTGTAAAACGCAACACGGCTAACAACATTGTGAGGAATATTTTCTGGCATGCTAAGATCAATACCAGCAACACTGGTTCCGTAGATGTTACCAACCACACCAAAGTCAGTGAGAATCTCATTTAATTGGCCCCAGTAATAACCTACATTCTTTGGAATCTTTTGTTTCAATATGGTAATCCCACTCTTGCTAACATCTTCTAAAATAGTAGAGTGTGGACCAGAACCTCTCAATGTAAAGCCACCCCACTCCGGGAGGTAAATGGTCGAGTTAATTTTGAACTGTCCAGGTCCCAAGAAAACAACAGGTGCGTTCGATTCCAAAGACTTTCTGGAAGTAGGATTCAAATTGATATCTGTCAAGAAGGTAGCAGCATAGTCCAATGCTTCTTGGATACCAGAGGTAGTTGTATTTGGTGTATGAGGACCAAAGTCTGCTCCTTCATCTGGTTCAGCAGAAACCGAGATAATAAATTTTTTTCTCTCAAATGCATCTGCCAATCTACTCTCCAAGAACTTGAGTTTAGCTTCATCACCATAGCTAGCAGCAGTCAAGGCTGCAAGGAAGAAAAGAACACTAACAAACAGCAGATTCTTTGATTCCATATTTACTGGAATGACAATCCCAGAAAATTCCTTTTTCCGATCCTTTTAAAAAGGCAGGCGATTTTTTCTAGAAAATCATTTGATGCCATGCGAATAGGCGTTTCCGGAAGCGATCCGATTCATCTTGTCGAAGTTTGGATCAACTGTTGTCCAATGGAATTTGTTGTCTCTAATCTAGAAACAGGGACCTTCCCGAAGAGATGGGTCGTGTCGTTGGCCATACATTTGACATTTGGCAACACATTGTGAGTTGTTATTTTGTATTGGTAGTATGTGGGGTTGGAAGCGGTAGCTTGAAACTCTGCTCACAGCTTCAAACTCGTTCTTTAGAAATCTAGTAAAGCACACGGTGGTTAATATTGAGGATTCTAAGAAACTTTGACACATTTCTTGTGTGAAAAGAAGTTGCTTGTTCTTAAACTAAGAGTTTCAATTTTTGTAACTTTCTCTATGAAAAGCAGTAGTTGCTTGTTCCATGAAAGCACTCTTTTATCAGTCGCAAAAGTTGAAAAAGTTCGTATCCTAGCACTAGAGCTTGGAAATGTCATATAAACAACTCAAAATGAGTTGCTATCAGGCTACATGGCTCAAAAATAGCTTGTGACAGCAGCTATCCTCTATCAATAGTAACATTTCTATTTCAAAGAAAACAATTGGAATGGCTTGTCTCTTGTCAGTTGTTTGAAAATAAATTTGTGAGTATTCTAGTATCCACTTTTATACCAACGTTGTCACAATGTCCATACTTTTGTTAATCATTCTAGTTTTTGCAAGGGAGTTCCTCCAGTGACTTTCTGACAGGGAACCCAGGAACCCTCTTCTCCCTTTGTTTGATATACTTTGTTGTATAAAATGACAGTTGGTCACTATCAAAAGCAACTAGAGTGTGGGTTTGTTCCTTGGACTAATCCATTTTCTGGTTGCTTTTGTGTCAAGACCTCTCTGTTGCGGCTACCACCGAAATACGTCTTTTTCAAAACTGGCAGGAGACTTCGATCTACTTGGAGCTTCTATAAAGACAATAGTTGTAGCTGTTGTGCGTCAGGTCAACCAGACGTTTTAGTAGAGTTGAATCAACGTCTGCGAAAGAGACCCATCTACTTGGTTGGTATGATGGGAAGCGGCAAGAGTACCATTGGACAGTGCTTGGCTTCAAAGCTAAGTTATTCGTTCTTGGATACTGATCAAGTGATAGAACAAGTTGAACAAAAGAAGATAACTCAAATATTTGAACAGGATGGAGAAGACAAGTTCCGAGAAGTGGAAAGCAACATACTGAATCAAATACAACCCTGTCTTGGTTATGTGGTTGCCACTGGAGGTGGTATCGTATTAAGAAGTAGTAATTGGTCTATTCTTCGTGTAAGTGATCGTTTTCTATGTTGGTTTTTGTTTATTTCTAGGTAGAGTGGTGTAGTGGTGTTTTTGGATATTACTGTTTCTACTATTATGAAACGACTATTGAATGATACAAGTCGTCCTCTCTTACAAGGTTCTGAACCTCAGAGGAGACTAGAGGAAATACGTCGCAGAAGACTACCACTTTACAAACAGGCAGATATTCATATCCAGTTGAATGATTCTCATATAGAACAAGAGTTTACTCAAGAGCAATGGACTGATTTGATAACAAAACAATTATTTGAATTTCTAACCACGCAACAATATGGTTCATCCAATATTCTACAATAATAATTCCACTTATTTACCACTGAATCAAACTTTCTTCTGCTTGTTCATTGGTTGGTTGAATATTATGCTCTGCTGCATCTTTACTTTTCGAGCGAGATTTATTCTTCTTTTTCTTTGTTTGTTTTTTACGATGAGAGCGACTGGATGCAGCTTTCAAATGACTGGAAGGCACAACTTCTTCTTGTAACGATGAAATATCGATATATTCTAGCCCTCTCTTACTTGATAATGTTTCGTATTGCACATTGGCACTTTCATAAGGACTCGTTTCTTTCAAATTCTCCAGTGGGGGCTTTTCCAATCCCATAAATACTTGCACTGTCTCGTCGTTTGGTTGAGATGATAAGACCAATGTGTCTTCTTCTTCCATTAAGCCTTGTGAACGATCAGTAAATGAAGCTTCAATAGCTTTTTCTTTGTGGGATTTCGGTCTTCTCTTTTTTCGACTTGACGATATATAAAATGGATCATCTTTGGAATACAAACGAGGCTTATGAGCATCTTTCTGAGACTCCTTTTCTATTTGCTGTTTGGAAACATTGTCTTGTAACCATTCTTTTTCATGTTGGAGCATATCCTTCCCTTGCGCTATCATTTCATTTCTTTCTTCTTTATCCAATATACTCTCATTCCATTTCTTATCCCATTCAAAAGGTTGATACTTGGATTGTACTGTTGAGTCTACTGGTTTAAGTGGCTTTTCAAATACTTGTATCAAATCAGTTACAGCTACATCATACAATACTGTGACTTTTTCATCCCTTATCTGCCATAACTGAGACAACAGATAATAAAACAAATGTGCACGTTCTTGTACCAACGGCTGGGGATTGGTTCTCATGGAGGACCAAACTTGTTGTAAAAATATCATTCCTTCCTTCACTATATCATGAAACTCGGTATCAGTTTCAAAACGTTTCCAACACTGTAGAAATAATTTCCAACTCGCAAAAATGGCTAATCGATAACCTGATGAATGAGAACGAAACAAATGATCTTGTAAGAGGCCTTTCCAAGCCAACATGGGTTGTTCTACCCAGTTGCTATATTCTCCTAATATCCAACATGCAGCAAATAACAAAGGCTCCGCCAATAATCCATTCCCATGCGTGGCCAACGATGAAGACTGACTCGGAACATCCACCACTTGAAACAATCCATTACTATTGCTATCGAGCACTAGCTTCTTCCCTCTTGACAACCAAAGCCATTCTAATGCTATATTTACAGCAACTTTCCGACATGACTCTACTCGTACTACAATATCCACAAACTGTCCGGCAATCTTCATCATATGTGCAATAGAAAATCTCTCGTCCGTATAAATCTTTACTAATCCATGAAGAATAGAATACAGATACCAATGAAAATCAGATGAGCTAGATAAATTAGGGAATCCTTCTGCACCATTGAAACTATAGGAACCTGCATCCAACAAAGTGTGAATGAGAGAATCTCGAAAACCACGGGAACCCAACCACTGGCTTTCCTCTCGCAACTTTCTCATAAGAATGCGAGCAATTTCCTTAAAATTCGATTTCGAAATGAGTCGTCGAACCAAATCCAGCGCTCTCCTTCGAATGGCGTCATCGGAATCATCCAAACAATCGAATATCTTTCCAAGGTGAGAACAAGACTGAAAGGAGAAATTCATCACTTACGATATCTTTGTGTCGATAGATAACTACTGGAAAACTGCTTTCCAATTTCTTCATCAGAAACAAGGATAAATATTTCAAATTGGGATCCTTTTCCGATAAAAACATACTCAACCTTTCAGAACACAACTCAACGACTTCCTTTTGGTCCAACATGCCAATAGCAACTGTTCGACAACACTCGTATAACAAAGATTTGGCTTTGGTGTTTTTCAACATATTTTGTATCAAAGGTAACAACTTCTTGGATAATCGACTCTCCACTTGACAAAGAGCGGTCAAAGTCTTCAATATTTTGATGGACATCCAATTATTCGAAGAGTGTTGCAATATATGGTACAATCGGGGTATATAGGGTACAACCAATTTGGGATTTCTCGAAGCCAATTCTGCAAAAACTGTAACTGCTGCACAAAGAACAGAAGTATCGCTGTCTTCTAATCTTTCTTTCAAACGAGGCAACACTGAAGTTGTTGCTTCTGGATAGACAAGTAAGACACGAAAGACGACGAATATAGCCTTCTTTCTGATATAAGGCTTGGGACTCGACAATAACTGAGATATATCGCTTACACACTCCCTACCTATCTCCTCATTGACTATGCAGGAAAGAAAACTCAAGGCAAGAGAGGCGTTCAAGGACTGAACGTTGGATAGATCCTAGTTAGAGATGTAGGGTTTCATAAAAGCACTGCAAACTTTGAAACAAACTTACTTTCTTTAACAAGTTGGTTGTCAATAATAATAAGTCTGTTGAAGGACTCAGTGTAAGAGAAGCAACGAGGTAACCGGTTCTCTTCATCCACCACTCCTGTCTACTCATAGCCTCAATAATATGAAAAGCTTCGGAAGAAACATTGTATCCTTGTAACTGAAACTACTTGTTGTTAGTAAAATTCCTGGAAAAAGAAAGTTAGCTCACGTAAATGAGCTTTAGCACTGCAATAGCCTTTTCACTAGGTTCTGTTGACTTGCACTCTTGCTGAACTTGAGCAAATTTCTTGGCAAGATATTCTGTTTCATCTCTGCGATGTGCTCGAACCGAACGAATAAGGTCCTGCAAAGATTGCTGAAAAAAACCTGAAGAGTAACTTGTGAGCTTTCCAGTCATGACTCAACACCAACTCCTTGGAAAGCAAAATCCACTTTTCTTTCACAAGCGAGTAGAACGTAAAAGTATTTCAGATTCGTCGGCTAAATTGGATTTTGTTCGATGCCATTGCCTGCGAGCCTGAAGAGGGTGGCCGTTGCTGCCCTTAAGAAGCAAACCAAGAGTAGTAATTATCAACTAAGTTTAGCTGAACTGCAGAGAAACAAAAAATATTTCAACTTGGATGCATCTGTTCAAAGAAGCAATGCACAGCTGACCTATTCTGCCTCAGAGCTCGTCGAACAAACGTCGTGTAAGCAAGTAGGTTTACAAATGTATATCAAAACAAGGTTACAAATCCAGTCCTTATTCACTATTGGTCAATGTGAAGGAAACAAGGAAAAGAAGGACTTGGGAACATTCTCCGATACCTCTTATCGTGGCCAATATGACAAGGGAAAAGAGAAGACTCTTCTTTGCTCTGCGTCACCTTGGACTTTAGCTCTGTCAGCAGTATTGTCGTTTGCAGTTTTTTGTGAAGGTACAAAAGAAAATGGGCAGCAGATGGAAAACTTGGCGAATGAAGAGAAGCAGAGAAAATTTCGAACGGTTATTGATGACTTGCAGTCCGACAATATCGAGAGTGCACAAGGCGCTTTGAAGTATCTTCTAGTACTAGTGCAGAACTCCGACAATCATGAAATACTTATCAAATTGGGAATAGCAACTGCATTAGTCAATGTACTTTCATGCTCCAATCAGGAGGCAAGACTTCTGCGCCAAGTAGGTGTTGAAGAGACAAGTTCGGGTCGTATTTGTTTGGACAGAAGTCAAATTGTTTACATATTGGCTCAATTGTCCCAATCAACTTGTAGCCATAACGCTCTAATGGAAGCTAACGTAGTGGCATCTATTTGCGATTTATTGCAAGATATGGGATGGAAAACCAGTAATCATTCACCAGGGACATTTTCTTGGTTGCCTGAATGGCTTTCATTTGGCAGAAACCGTAATGAGAGGAACAAAGAGAAGAACGATTCATCATTGCCAAAAGTTGCTTCCACAGTGGCACTCTCTTCCCAGGAAAGTATGGTAGGTTCTAATTCTTTGCATGGACAAGACCAACAAGATACTATGTTTTTATCTCGAAAGTCATCTTCTTTATTACTAGATTTGAGAAGAGAAGATCAACAAAAATCACAAATGACCCACTCTTGTATTCAGCTCATTTCCCATTTAGCTTGTAATCCTAAGTTTATTGACAAACTCATGCAGTCGCCAGTTATCTATCCATTGTTAGATATATTTCAACACGATGAAGATTTAATCACGAGGAGAGAAGCTTTGCTAGCTGTTGCTTCACTTGCCAAAGCAGATTCCAACGTTTTTGTTAAAAGTGGTGCCTTATCGTTGCTGACTCAGTATTCAGAAAGTCAAGATCCACAACTGAGTAGTTATGCTGTTGGAGCACTTTTAAATGCAATGAAACATGGAGATATAGATACACATCGTCAGTTTATGAAGGAGGAGGGCCATCGTAAATTGATTAGCATTTGTCAAAGGAAAGATAAGGCATATGAACAAAGTAGAATATTTGCTGTGCTTACCCTTGGAGAGTTGTTTCAAACGGAACATCCTAAAGGAACTATTATACGTCAAAAATTGTTACAAAGTGGTGCAGTGGATGTTTGGAAGGACATTTTGTTGCACAGTCATGAAGAAGATGAAGCATTATTAAGGAATGTTTGTAAGGTATTTTGGTTATGTGGACAAAAGTCGGCCAGTAGAGATATTATTGCCAAGGCATTGGATGATAAGACAGTAGAGAAATTGGTATCGTTTTTAGGCAAGACTTTTTCCAATGAGTTAAGTTGTGCCTCCTTGTTTGCTTTGTCATTTTACGTAAATGATGAGAAAGTGAAACATGAGTTGGCAAAGCAGGAACATTTAATAGAAAACATTGTTCCCATGTTGAGTCGTTCTTCCAATGTTTCCGAGGTTGCAGTTTCCATTTTATCTTCATTATCTACGGATACGGCTAGTCATATGCAATTGTGTAAAGCCAGTTGTTTGATAGCCTTGTTAAAAGTACCAAGTACACCAAGTAATTCACAATTTATTGTTCAATTATTGGCTAATCTGTCTAAAAATGAAGCTTGTCGAGTTCATGTGGCACATGAAGGTGGTTTATCATTATTGTTAAAGTTTGCCAACTCCAAAGACCAAACATTGCGACAAGAAGCAGCTAGAGCTTTGTATAATTTATGTAGACCTGGCGTTACCCGAACTATGGTGGTTCAAGCAGGTGCTCTGAGAACCCTTGTTTCACTGATTGCCTCTACGGATGATCCAGTAACTAGCAAATACGCGATAGGTTGCTTGTCTAGTATTGCTGAGAGTTTTGAAAATGTACCTCGTTTAGCAGAGTTAGGTGTTGCCAGTTTGTTGGTCAAGAAATTGGGTAATACTCCAAAACCTTCAAAGGAAATGCTACGATATAGTGTTTTATGTATTGCTGAAATGGCAAATATCATGGAGATTCATTCATTGTTGGCTGATTCTGGAGTTATTCCTGTATTATTGTCTTGTTGTGCCAGTCGGGACTTGGAAACTCAACAGTACGCTCTGATGGCGTTGTGTAATCTTTCAGCCACTGAGAGTGTTCGACCCTTGTTGAAACAACAAGGTGCAACTCGCATTTTAGGAATTGTATTGCGTTCTGCTATGCCGCTGCCCGAGATACAAGGAATGGCGGCTGCCATTCTCGCCAACTTAACAAAAGGGGAACAAAATATGATCCATATTCAGCCATTATCACCATTGACAGCTGCATAGCCACATGGTATACTTTAGATTAGCATCCATAAAACAATAAAATGTTATAACGATTCCTAGACATTATCATAGAGTGTATTATCGAAGACGATATTTTCGAGCACTTTTTCGAACTTTCCTTCGGTTACTAGACCAACGAACAAACTTAACAAAATGAGGATACCAAAAGCAGATTCCACTGCTTGGATGTAGAGAGGCTTTCTCACAAACTTTGTCGTTTCCTGTCCAATCTGATGGTACAAGTGCCAACGGCTTCCATTCAATAATGGCATTGGGCTGGATACAGTATTGAACACAACCAGTTGCAGTAAACCAGGAAAAGGACAACTTTCTGAACCAAAGTTGAAGCAACTTTTGACTATCTCTCAAGTTATCTAAGCAGCGTTCCAAAAGTTTCATTTTTTCCATTAAAATCATGTCGTCTTTCTCTACCATGTTCTTCCAATTGACCAGAAAGCTATCTATGCTATTCACTTGGTTTATAAATTCGTTCAAGTAGAATTTCCACTCAACGCGTTCTTCCATATCTATCTCTCCAAATAAGGAAAAAAAATTTTCCCAAGAAATGTTTAGAATGTTGGCAATTTCAAGCGGACTTGCTTTCCACTCATGTATTGAATCTAAAAAGAAATGGCGTTCCTCATTGCGCTCTGGATATTCCACACGATGATTGGATCCTTTTTTCTTCCACAGTAACATTCCTGGTGAATGTGCCTGTGTAGGAATCTCATCTTTAGTTTGAGAAATCCAATTCAAATCACTTTTCTTCAACTCTAACGCACCGATGATATGAACCTTTTGCAACCAATCCTCCCATAGAGCTTTGATTTGCCTATGATTGTTCTCCTCGAGTACAGCAGATTCTTCTAACCACTTCATCTGTTCAAACAGCCACTGAGGAACACAAAAATGTTCTATGGCTACCTTTTGAGTTTCCATAATTGGTCGAATCACAAGTAGATGATTTGCTCTGGAACAAATACACGAGTAAATCTCCGTTGACGGAATATCTAATGACCTTGAAATCATTCCTTGAATAAGAATTTCTGCTATTTCCTGTTTAGAAAGTGACTTTTTGGGTCTCATCGCTTTCATAAAAATGAAAAAGGCACTACAATAATATGCAATCTCCATTTTGCATCTGTTATCATGAACAGAATCAAAAACAATTGAAATTTTCTTATGAGGTATTTCCTCACATTGGAAAAACTCGTTCGCAACTTTCCATCCAAAACAGAAATAGTCATAAGACACAAAACTTTCTTCCAATGAACCATTTCGATCCATCGTGTAACAAGGCTTTGAAGGTGAACGACTGTCATACAATGTAATACTAAAGTTACCTTCTTCCACAGATATGCCCCATATAATATCTTTGCCGCTAGTCAAATATACACAGGGAACTTTTAAGGACTTTGTAAGTTCTCCCATGATACAAATACTTTCAAGTGGAGCACGAAAATAGAATGATATAGACTTGGGTGCCAACGCCTCTATGCAACGATTCAATCTTTCATCCAGAGTGGATGGCAATGTGACTTCATGTTGTCCATATATTCCAGAAGAATCAAATAGTGGGCTTATATGGTCCAACATATACTCTTTTCTTTTTCTGTCTAAAATAATTTCTTGGTTCATGAGTTCTTCATGCTTTGTCATAATGCTAGAGACATCGACAGGATGTTTCGTGCTTACCAGAAACATCCAACGTTCCATGACATGATGTTCTCTCTCTTGGCAAGCAATATATTCATAAATGATTTGTCGTTTGAACAGCTCTGCTCTTTGGCGAATTCTGGCGAGTTCTTCGACTGCTGGTGAATCGGAGTGATTTTTCAGAATTCTTTCATTGTAACGCTCAAATAAACATTCATCCAAAAATAGTCCCAAGCTAGGCGCCATAGGAGTTTCTAACCGATGATGCTTCGATAGGCTAACGTTGAAAGCCTCCTTAGGAATCCATCCCTTCGAAACGGCAATAGCGAGACCGATCATTTTGCGAATTTGATGAAGAAGAAAACTCTGGCCTACTACAGTCACATTCAGGAAAGATTCACCTCCGATAAAAAAAGGTAAAGAGCAAAAGAATTCCAAAATATAACGTTGGCATGTACCATTGCTTGAAGTTTGGCCAACTGTGAAATTGTGAAAATGGTGAGTTCCAATAAAGTACTTCAAAAGATCGTTCAAGTCGTCCACCTTTGCCTTCATTATATTTTTGTAATCCGAATCTTTCAACATCTTTTCATGTTCTTGTTTACTACGACAAAGTGTCCAAGAAGGAAACATATATGAGTATCTTCGACGGTCACAAGCGTTCTTTGCATGAAAGCCACCAGACACGCTATAAACTCCAAGAATACGGATATCTGTTGGTAAAGTATCGTTGACCCTTTTCAATATATCTTGTTCTCGTTCGAAGTCTTTGTCAACAAGTAAATATGTTGAAACCACTTGTCCGGCTGCCGAAACACCCTTATCAGTACGTGCTGCTCTCGACCACTCTATCTTTCGTAGATTTCCTTCCAAGTTATTCGGAATCAAACCAGTTGCAACGAGCGCTTTCTCAAGTTCTCCTTCAATTGAAACGGCACCCGGATTGCGCTGCATTCCTTGATAAGCTGCTCCCAAGTAGCCAATCACGATAGCAAACTTGTGTCGTTTCTTGGAATTTGAATTGTGCGCGACTGTCTTGGAATTGCACACGGAGGTTTTCACTGAAACCGACTCTTCTGCGGAAGCTAAGAGAAGGTTATCTTTCTTGGTTGTCGTAGTCACCAAACTTTCATTCTCAATTCCTTTGGACTTTTTGAAAGGAACTTTATTTTCCGTGGTATCAAACAAGGCTCTGTTTCTTTTTAGTACTCTATCGTTGTGCAGTACTTGTGGGTGACTCCAAAATAATCCCATATTGGCCTAATAATGATGCAAAGAAGTAACGTCATTCTCGATAACTCAATGGCAGTAGAATGATCCATAGTAGGCTAAGAGAATTGCCTATTCCAACTCAAAGAACAAATTCTCCAAGAGAAATAACCTTTGCTCACTTGTAAGCTTCAGAGCTCGCTGAAAATTCTCAAAAGGAAGAAAAATGTGGATAATTCATTTTGGCGGGAAGTGGAATTTTAGTTTGGCACTTAACATTGGACTTGGGGTGACTATGAACTCTGTCCAAGAAAGTGTATTACAAGCAGCTGCCAATACAATAGAAAAAGTTGTCGATGAAAAATTAGAACAACTGAACAATCTATCAGAGGATGACATCTTGGCAATTAGGAAAAAAAGACTGGCGGAATTGAAGAAAAAGGCGGAAGAGAGAAGTGAATATTTGAGACTAGGACATGGTTCAGTTGAAGAAATAGGAGAAGAAAGAGAGTTTTTCAACGTTGGCAAGAAAAGCAAAAGAGTTGTGTATTGTTTTTATCGTCCCGGAACTTCACGCTATACTGATGATCTTATTGAGCTACTCAAGAAAATCGCTTCAACCCATATAGAAACCAAATTTGTACTAGTGAATGCAGAAAAAAGTCCCTTTTTAACCAAAAAATTGAATATTTACGTTATTCCTACTCTTGTGCTGTTTATAGATGGCAAAAAAGTGAAGACATTTGTTGGTCTAGATGAAATAACTGTTCAAGGGAAGTTGGACTTGGACGAGCTCGAATCTTGTTTCAAAAGTTACAAGATATTGGAAGATACTTTCGAAGACTGAGTGATAAAAGCAGTTAGTCTTTTTATGATGTTCAATCCTTTTTGCAAAAGTATTCCTTTACTCGCTGTTTGAAACAAAGATAATAAGTCATGGATAATATCGGCATTTTACAGACTTTCATATTCAATTATTCTTGATTAATCTAATTCATGACTTTTTGCAACTCACTATGAAACATATGTAATTGTACTAGGTCAATAGTAAATGCAACCGTCCATCTCACTTTAAATGTATTGGTTGAGAAAGTTTCTATCGGGCTATTTTGTAACCATTCAAGCCTTGGAGACACAATAATCAGTATTGGTTTTTCTGTCCTCGATTTCTTATGTATATAGAGAGGTAAGATATAAGTGAAAATGTGGCTATTCAGGAGATGATGACAATCATGAACAAAAGGCTTTCCACATTCAACACTCCACCCACAACTTGGACAGAATTGGGTTGATTCGGGTTTGGCTGTCTATGGAAGCAGATCAACAACAACAACAACAACAACAACAGGCTATGGAAAGGAGAGTCTTCAAACCTTTCTTTTGTTATAGTTGCCAACACACAGTTCATATACAAGTTCCAGAAGTAGAGGAATCTACTTATGAACCACAGTGTTCCGAATGCGGCTCTTCCTTTGTTGAAGAAGTACCCATTTCAAGGCTGGAGAGTGTCGAAGAGAGTATTAGCCCCACAACGGGAAACGAATGGTATGGGAGTAATGGAAACGTGGAGGTTATATCGCTTGGTGAAGATGGAGAGCCTATAAGATTCTCTTTCCGACTAGGTGGGGATGTCGGAAACTTTATAGGTTCTTCGACCGAGGACTCGGAACAGGTTCAGGAAAATGAAACTTACCTGACAAATAACCGGTCTACGGGGATTTCTGACTTTTTACAAAGTTTCTTTGTACCTCGAGGGAATATGACAAGATTTCAAGCACCACCGCCAGCACCCCCATTGCCAGTGTGGAGAACACCTCAAGAAAGTGACTCCCAAATAGGAGAAGAGATTACAGAAAACCACGAACAAGCTCAGAATTTCACTCAGGAGGAGGAACAAAGGAGAGTTAGAAGGAGGAGAATTCCTCCTTTTGTAGCAGCGGGGCCTTTCTTTTTGGATGGAAACTCTTCCGACGTACCTGGTGATTTTTCGACTTTTATGCAGCAGATTTTAGGAATTTATGGGAATCCGGCAGATTATGTAATTGGTGAACAAGGATTTGAGGCGATATTGGCACGTCTGATGCAAGAAGATAGTAATCGATATGGTAACCCACCTGCTTCCAAAGAGATTGTTGCTTCGTTACCAGTCGTACATTTGTCTGCAGAAGAAGCAGCGCATCATTCCGAATGTTCTGTCTGTAAAGAAGCCTTTGCGGAGAATAGTGAAGTTGTTCGATTGCCTTGCAAACATGTGTTTTGTAAGGACTGCATTTATCCGTGGTTAGAACGTCATAATACTTGTCCAAGTTGTCGTTATGAGCTACCAACGGATGATTCGGAATATGAAAAGAGAAAATTTTCTCAAAGTTCAAGTACTCATGGATAAAATGTAAGAAGATTGTTCTCGTACATAAGTAGTTGCTATTTACTATTATAGCAACACTTGGTATAAATGCATTGTATACATTCCTAATAATATCACTAACAAGTTTCTTCTCATTTTTGGGCACGACTGTTCTTCTTAGTTAGTTCTGGAGGCTCCATCGGTCCACAAGCAGACTCCCTGGGTGGTCTGTCTCGTAAGTAAAACAAGTCTTGTTGTTCCGTTGGTTTCCTGTCTAAAAGATAAGCTTCTCTAATCCAAGGCGAATACAAAGGCACTACACGTTCTACAGCCACTTCATTAACGGCATTTCGTAACGTGACGGAGCTTCCTGTGTAGGCTTTTCTCAAGTGAATAACCCTACCAGTGAACCACTGTACTTTGTTCTCATTCGAAGGGTCTACTATTTTGATCTATTCATGACAAGCTTAAATATATCTAACCATAAAGACTTTTGTTTACTTACTCGGATCACATCCCCTACCGCAAGATCAGGGATACTCTTGGGCAACATAGCTCTATTGCTATCCAATAATCTCCGTATCTCATCTGATTCTACAACTCTCATCAACGAGATAGCTCTTTTCACTGGTGACTTTCTTTTAGGGTACTTTGGTCTTGGGCCATACAGTGGCTCATACGGCCAACCTCTATTATAGAACCAAGGTTCTGTTTCTACCACTTCTTGAGAGTCATTTTCTTGTTGAGTAAAACTAAAGTGAGCAACTTGTACAGTCTGTAAACGACGCCTCAACTGACTGGAAGAGAGTTGCTTGAAACAACGTAAAGAACTCATCGTGCTAATCCAACACAGCTTTATTCCAATGAATCATGCGATGGTTCATCTTGTTTTCGTTTCTTGCGTTTGAAACGTTCCAAAGCACCAACAGTATTATTATTCTGGTCTCTATTTTCGGTCTTGGCCAAAGGTTGGAATAGGGTTTCAGGTAAAGGCTGTTGTTCAATAGCTTCGATATCATGTTTCTCTCCTTTCTTGTTTCCTTCTTGTTCTTCTTCTCTGTCACTGTCCTGTGACAATTCTATTTCATCGGGATTTTCTTGAATATTTGCTGTCTCTCGAATGGATTCTTGTGTTTCTTTTATAGTTTCCTGTTCAATCAATTCCATTGCATCGGGTTGAACTGCGGTCTGAGCCATAGGTGCAGCATAATGAACCCTTGAATATAGAGTTTCCACCGACTTCTTTACTCGAAGCATATCACGGAAAGAGTCTTCTGTTCCATGTGCAACTTCAAAATCATTCCATATTTTCCAATAATCAGCGTATTCACGAGGATCTGCAAGTTGAGCACCATGTGAATAAACTGCTCTAGCTCTGTCATATTCGCCCAAACGTGTTTCCAAGTCTGCATATTCCAAACAAAGTTGAATCACTGGAGCACCTTGAACACTTGCAATGGCTTGTTCATAGGCAACACGCAATCTCGCTAGTCCGTATAATTTGGCAGATTTGGCAATATAAAATTGGAACAAAGAATATCGATCTTCCACAGGAACTTGCTCAACTGCTCTTTCTAATATCGACATAACTCTTCTAGCAGAGCCATATACCTCTTCCGTATTCGCATAAAACATAAACATGGTCTTCAGAAACGTAGAGGGAATATGACGAATGGCTGCTTCAAACAAATCTCTCGTTCTTTCCATTTTCTCACCGCCATAGCGTTGCAAAAACTTGTCAATATAAAGTAACCAAAGTGCTAATACAGCTGGATTGAAAGTGCGTTGTTTGCGTTTCGACATCATATTGTTATTCATCTGATTTTTGGAAGGCATCATATCCACACCTTCATCTTCTTCCGGTGACTGACAAAATAGTGCAACTCCTCTTTCATATATTCGAAAAGCGTCTTCAAAAAATCGATTTTCTTCTAAAATAGCTGCATAGTTTAGCACATTCTGAGCAGTACATATCTTCAAATCAATCATTCTTTCATATACCGCACAACATCGTTCAAATGAACCGAGTGACTCTTCCAAATCCGCTAAAAGACCCCACAACTTTGGAGAACGCCAAGCACGATCTTTCGCTCGTTCTCTCCAAACGTTCCAATTCCCTTCAATTGCAATGTTACCGGCACCAGCAGCAATGGCAGCTTTCGCACGATTCGCTTTGAAATTCTTCTCTTGTTTTGGTTCCTTCACAGCGCGTTGACCAATCAACAATGCCTTGTCCAGATTATTATGGCGTAATTCCAATTCCACATATTCACAATAAATGTTTACCAAATCATCCGTATGACGAAACTCAAAATCTGTAGCCTCCTCAAGCACTTCTCGTGCAGAGTCCAAGTCTCCATGTATTTCATAAAACCGAGCAAATGCAACCCAAATAGTATACAATCGGCCATTGGTTGCTTGAGCAGGATCTATCGATTGAATGGCTTCTGAATAAGTTTTCAAAACGGAAACAGGATCATTTTCTACAAATAATTTTGCTCTCTTATGCCATTCTCGAACATTGTGAGGATTCTGTCGCAATATCACCGACGACAACAACAATGGCCGTCTATTCATCAAGTCTTCCAGTCGATATATTGTCAAATCTAAATATTCATCGTCAACTACTGTCGATGTTTCTTCACTTGCATTTTCCAACGAATGTGTTAAAATACTTTCCTCAAACTTTGCATAAGCATCGAAAACTACGGAAAAATCGCGCACTGTTTTTACTTTTTCCAAGGCTTCCTCGTATATATCTCTTGCTTTCTCAAAGAGTCCTTTTTGTGTATAATAATCAGCCAAATAGCACCAGAGAGTTCCCGCCTCATCTTCATAACTCTTCAAACCACCTCGAAGAACACCTTCAACGTCCACATGGTAAACTTCCGAGCCATGGTTCACCAACAATTCGCACAATTCTAACCACAAATCATGTTTTGTTCTACCTTTTTTCCTTGGCGCAAATTGGGGGTCGCATAAAAGTTTACTCATTATGGAAGCTGCCTCATCATAACGTCCAGCTTCCTTCAAATATTCTGCAAACTCTTCAACAACAAAAGGCTCCAACTTCATATAACGATGAAACACTCTAGCAGCTGATTCCGCTACTCCACACTTGCGGGCAAATTCTAAGTAAATGGGCCATATTCGGTTATGTTGAGTAACCGGGAGGGATCGCAAAGCACGGTCCAGTGCGTGACGAGTATATGTCCATCTACACTGCTCCAGTAAAAAGCGACAAAACATGGACCAAAGAACAGGCATCTATACCATAAATAAAGATTGACTTGCAAAAAAAAGTTTGCTTACTTTGTTCAAATAAACAAGACTCCGTTCATAAATTCTATTCACTATCAGATATGACTTGCTACTGGGGTGACGTTTTTTGGTGTATTCTTGGCGTTCTCGAAGGTACATAGTCCAAAGTTTATAACTCCTTGGTAGTGCGGCGACTGCCCGTTCGTATACCGAAAACTTAACTTTGGGAACAGCATATTTCAAGGCATCCAAATAAAACAACCACTTTTTCAACGTAAAAGGATCTCGTAAAACTTCTTCTTCATAGTAAAGATATTCAGTAGGAACGTTATTTAAATACTCAAAAGTGGACGTCATAATTGGGTCACAACATCTCACACAATCCACTCAACGCACTTTGTACGGATTCGTTGATGTGGTGGAAATAACTGCAGTTTTGCTTGAAATTTACTTTTGAAAATAGTTGCACACAAGTTCACGATGATATTATTTTGACAAAATATTCTGAAAAAGTCAAATAATAAAACAAATCCATGTCATCGACTCTCACTTCAATGGTTTCAACCCAAGAAAAACAATCCATTTATATAGAAATTGAACATTCAAAGACATTCATCCAACAATTGAAAAATACAATCATGAAGAAACGGTTTGGACTTGTTCACCAACCTCTCCTCGTCCTCTGCGTTTGTGCCAAAACTTGTTCCATTGATATCGAAAATCTTCCATATTATGTTTTGCAATCTCCATCCAAGTCTTCGAAAATACTGCCTTGATTTCTTCCAATGTCAAATTCTTCGTCTCGGGTGTAAAGAATAAAAAGTAAAACCAACCAATAACCGTTATGCCACCATAAAAGCCAACATATGTTCCGGGCTTCGTCATTGCATCCAACATTTGTAGGAAAGCATAAGTAGTGATCCAATTACCCAGAAAGTTGGATAATGTTCCCAAGCTCATTCCATAACTTCGAATGTAGGTAGGATAAATTTCCGAATTCATAACCCATGGAGTTGGACCAAGTGCAGAACCCCAAAATGCATAGTAACTGACAACTCCAATGGTATACACCACTATTAACGAAGTAGTTGTTGGAGCATAGAAAGAGAACCCTGTAATAATCAATCCTGCTACCACTCCAGGAACTAAAATTAATAAGAGAGGTCTTCTGCCAAATCTATCCATTAGATAGATTGCGGGAATGGTAGACCAGAACATAGTACCACCGCCAAGCATACTAATATAAACAGAATTCTCAGCAGAAAGTCCAGCTCGTTCATACATCGTTCCCAAGAAGTATGTCATCGAATTATTACCAGAAAACTGTTGGAAAACCATCATAAGAATGCCATGAATAGCAGCTCTACGACAATAAGGAATTCGAATAAAGTCTAAATATAGGAAACGATCTTTTGATGCTTCTCTTTCCGCAATGACTACTTCCTCCATAATAGCAAATTCAATCTTCTCTTCTTCCACATTAAATCCACGAACAGCGAGCCATGTTGCATAAGCATCCACTCTTCGACCCTTTCTCATTAGCCATCGAGGACTTTCAGGGAAGAAAAAGGCACTAATAAGAAGAATAGTTGAAAACAGTAACGAGGAACCCATCATGAATCGCCAATTTCCAGGTACTTTCACAAATATGGCATTCACCACATATCCAGCCAATATACCAAAAGTAATAAGCACTTGATACAAAGAGACAATACCACCTCTCCTTCTTTTCTGAGAACATTCAGAAATATAAGTAGGTATAGTCATCGCCTCGAGACCAACACCAGCACCTAATATCAATCTTCCCGCGACCATAGTGCCATAGTTACGAGCAGCAGCTTCAAGAATGGCACCAGCAGTATACAAAATACAGGCCACGATAATACTATATTTACGTCCTACCAGTTCGTTGACAGGCATAGAACTAGAGAGACAAACAAGATATTCATAAACTTGATATACACATGAAGATAGAAGAGCTTACATTAATGCCCCAGCAACTCCACCTAAAGACATGCCACTGGAAACTAGTGATTGCTGAGAAGTGTCCAAGTTCAAGTCAACTTTCATGAACAAAAGTGCACCACTAATCAGACTGATATCTATGCCATAGAGAAAGCCTCCAATACTGGCAAATATTGCCAGAAACCACATAAACCTTTTAGGATTTCTGAACACACCTGCAGCAGATACTTTCTTGGAATCATCCTTTTCATACTCTTCTTTCAACTCTTCAATAATTTGGAAGACTGAACTTTTCATATCATCTGTTATCTCCAAACCTGCTTCAACGGATTGCAACAAGGACCCTTTAGCCATCGGCTTCGAAGTCTTCTCTTCTTCTTGAATCGCTAGAACTGTTTCGTCTTGTTCAGTAGCCATCCTTTTCGAGTAAAACAAAACAACGAATTTTATCTCTCGCCAGAGATCTGCATTTATGGAAAATGTCTCAAGGACACTTGAAAGAATAGAAAGCAGAGAATGTTTCAAGCAAGGGTGTCTACAACGCAGCTTTCCATTTCTCGGCCTCTCATTGAAAGATGACTTTGTCCATGTGACATTCTAACCCAAACGACATCTTGCGAAAGGAAGGATAAAAAACTAACTATTTTACAAGACTACAAGAAAAAATAGCACAGTTCAATTTTTTTTATGAATACTAAGTGAGTATTATCTCACTCGTAGAGAGTCACTATTTCGGACCTTGTTGGTATCTATGCTATTCCTCGTTTCAGTCTTTTTGGAAGAACGGTGCTCTATTCCAGAAGCAATGTCAATGGTATCCGACAGAGTGTGCTTAGGAATGGTGTGAGACTCCTGTCCTGTCGTGATTGTTCTTTCTGCATTATCGGCAATGGAGTCTTCCGCTATGACGACGTGTTCTTCTGAAAAGACGCTTGCATTTTCAAGATTTTTCCTTGTTTTTTGTGCCTCTGCTTTCCATTCCCTTACAGATTTTCTAGCTCTATTCGAACTAGCCGCACTTGACTTGGTACTTTGACTAGAATTGGAAGATAGAGATGAAAGTGCTCTGCGTCGTAATGAAGGATCCAAGGCTTGAATGAGTCCTTGTGTTCTTTCTGGCCAATGTTTTTCCATCTCATGTAAACAATTGAGACCGGCTTCCCGTGTACTTCCATGAGAGTCGCCAATTGCAGAAGCCAGTGCACTCTCCAAACTTCTTAACCCAGAATCTTCACTCGTAAATTCCGAAATACTGTATTGCAAACCTCGAATTTCCTTTGGACTTGTCTCATGTGCGTAATTCTTTGCTACAAGATTGGAAATGTCTTGAGTATGTCTCACAAGGGGACAACCTCTTTTCAAAATGTGCAAAAGAAAAAGGGTACATTTCTCACGTGCTGTAGGATGCACTCCAAAACGAATTGTAGAGCATAATACAGGTAATACCGCCTCTGCAGCAGTACTAGCAACGATTCTCTTACCACATTCTTCAGCTGGTTTCGCAATGACCTTTGTCGTCTTGACAATTGCCAACAAGACAGCTTTGTCTAGAAATAATGCACTGGTCAAGAAGAAATCTCTCAAGTTGCCAAGTTTTTCACAGATTGTTGCGATGGTTTCAAATGCTTCTTTTACTAAGCTGGAACGGAGATCTGTTGTCTGAATGATCAAGGCATTTCTGAGAGACGCAGCCGAAAAGATTTCGATCACGTTCTGACAATTGTTATTCAATGCAACAGTGAGGGTTAACCTGATTCTTTTCAAAGCAGCAACTCTGTGAGTCCATTCGCTTTCAAGGGTTGCTAAAATTGTTAACCATTCTGAGGTCTCTTTTGTCAATTCGGATTCAGATATTGTTTGTGATATGCCAGAGCCTTCAGAATAACCAGGTTCTTCCCATGGATATCGAGTGAATGAAATAGGACTAGCAGGAGCTTCTACCGAATTTTTACTTTTTCTTTTGGTCAATTCTGTTGTTTGACTTTCTTTCTTCGTCACATGATCCTTTTCGCTATTCTTATCGGCTTGCAAATCTGGTGTTCTACTTCTTCTTTTGGACTTTTTCTCACAGAAATGATTGCTATCTGGACATTCTGGAAAGCGTCCACTAGAATTGGTATGTTCATTGGAGCTGTTGTCGACGGTCTTTGCGAATTGTGAACTCGGGTTTGTTATTTGACTGATATTGCTGTCGGAAAATGCTTGTTCCACAGTTTGAGCGTTCTCTGTATTATGAAAACTATTTGTATGAATTTGGGTAACTGCAGAATCATTTCCAATATTCCGTTTTTGTTGATTTTCACATAATATTTCGTCTGCACACATACTTTCATTTAACTGTGGTTGAGCGAATGTGAAGGATTGACCTCCATTATCGTCTTTTTGTCTATCATGCTTGAGTAAACTGTCTTGTGTTTCTTCGAAACATGGTGCTCTTTCTATTCCTTCACTAAATGCCCTTTCTTGTTGTTTCTTCTCTTCCAACTCTGTGTCTCTTTTTCTTTGACCTTCACTATTGGTATGCGATACTACTCTACCGTTTTCGTTAACCAAGTTGGTTGCTACTGCGTCGTCTTCACCGTTTCTTTGTTGAGTAGTCACTAATACGGAAATGACGCCATCCTCTTGTTTCTTCCGTTGGAAACGTTTCGCAAGTCTAGAAATGGCTCCCATTGCCTTGTTCGAAGGTTTGTTTTTTTGACTTTTTGTAGACACATCATTAGTACTATTTCTTCGAAACATTCAAATAGAAAATGATGATTCAGACGTGGGATGGCTTCATTTCTTCAAAAAAAATGATGACGTGTTGATGGGGATTGTGAAGTTCCCGCCGATAGGGACAAGAATTCCTTTCCTGGGAGCTGCGTGTTGTTGACATATTATTCATAAACGTTGAAGCAATAAATATGAACATTTTCTCGGTTTGTGCTTAAGGTATTCTTAACAACTGAAGACTCTTCTATTGCTTTCCATCACATTGTTTTGCCACCCGGTTGGTCTCTCATCATGTCTTTGGGAATGGCTTCCATGAATGAGAACCAACGCGCCTTTGTCGAAGAAACCATACGAAACGCCACAACTATGGTTCAAAACGATACGGAACAAAGAAAAAAGTTTAAAAAACATTCCACGACGGAGAGAACGGAGGACAAGGGGCAAGAGTCAAAGCGTGTTATAAACTTGACGCAAGCTAAAAAAGTTGAAAGAACGCTGGGCAACGAGTCACTACTGTTCCGTCAACTACTAGAGTTTGAAAAAAGGCTCAACTTGTCATTCAAAAGAAGACAGGCTTCTATTCAAGAAACAATGACCAAGATGGAAGAACCCAACTCTCTTGTGTCTAGATATTTTAGGGTGCACGTATTTAATTTGTCGTTTGAACAACAGACAAAAGAAGTAACAGCAGTTCCTTGTTGGTCTTTAAGAATTCAAGGGTTTATGACCCCAAGGAACGAGAGTGGTGAAGAAAAAGGAGATAAGCAAATAACCGCAGAAGCACAAAAGCCCGAACAACAGCAACAAGCACAGACCCAATCGGAGGAAAAATGGCGGTTCACCCAAGTGTTTGAGAAAATAGCAGTAGAACTGGATAAGGTAGTATACCCAGAGAACTACCTTTTTGAGTGGTCTCCTGAAGAAGATCCTATTGCGGATGGCATAGAAATTACGGTGCCTGGAAACAAAGAGTGTCTTGCGAAAATTTGGCTATACCCCAAAAATCATGGTGATGTATATAAACTTTCCCCTTATTTGGCCTCGTTATTAGGAACTACCCACGCGAGCTTCTCAAATGCAGCTTATGGAGTATGGAATTATATAAAAGTACATAAGCTTCAATCTGCTGAAGACAAATCATGTATCCAGCTGGATGACGTATTATCTAACCTCTTTAATCAAGTACGAGATATTGCACAAGTAGCAGTTAATCCTGGGGAACAGATCAAACTGTCGCAGTTGATTGCCGTGGTTCGTCGTCATTTTCAACCCAACGAGCCCATTTTAGTGGAATATCCTGTCAAGTTGAATGGAAACTGGTTGGATAATCAAGTGTGCTTTGACATGAGATGCGACTTCAACGACGCCAAATTGAATGATTGGGTTTCTGATGATCTTCGAAATGTCTTGAAATGGAAACCTTGGGAAGAGAACAAATTATTTAAAGCATACGAAGAACGATACTATGATGCTCTAGAAAGAATGTTGCATCATAAGAGAAGGCGTGACTTCTTCCAGGGTTTTGCAAATAACCCAGTTCAATTTGTGAATCATCTCATTATTAGTCAGTCGAGAGATTTGAAAATCATAAGCGGAATGACTGGGAGAAATCCGGATGAGGAAAAACTATCCTCCTTTTACCAACAGCAATGGGTTCGTGAGGCTGTTCCGCGATATCTATTTCGAAAGGTTATTCAAGATGCTGCCAATCGACAAAGAGATCATTCTTATCAAGGATATGAGTCTTTGCATCCCGAGCAGCGTCAAGACCACAACAACACTGTTTCTGATTGGAATGATTCAAGGCAAAATAGTAACTCTCTAGTGAAACCAAAGATGGAAGGGGTTCATGTTTCCGTATCAGAAGGGCAGAGTTTCCAAACTGGGGCAAAGAATGATACTCCTAATATGTTGTTGTCAAATACGCCATCAGCTTCATCTCGTACGGACTTATTCTACATACAATAAGGCGAAAGCAAATATCTAAAGAGTGTAAAAAAATAAAGCATCGATGGTCATTTTACATTCCTATCGTTTCAATATGTTATATGAGGGTATCTATTTCAAGGCACATATATGACTTTAACAATATACAATTCTTTGTCATTACAAATAATAACCACAACGTTTTTTACAAGCTTCCAATTTATCCAGTTTGTCTGTCTCCTTGATAGTGGAAACGATACGAGTTACAAGTGCCCGAATGGCCAACCAATGTTGAGAACAAGGGTCAGGCCATTCTTGAGGTAAACAGTGACATAAAATAAAGTATAAACGGTCTAGAATATCTTCATTCGATAATATTCTTACTTTAGGCAATATATGGCGAGTGATGATTTCATCCAACAGAAATTGTTCTACATTCTTACCAAAAGGAATCAAACCATGCCAATAGGATATCATACGCAATATATAAATGAAGGCATTCCATTGTTGTTCATTGTTCCATGATGACTCTGAAAGATCAGTACACTGAGAGAGGATATCTTTCCCTTTCTCAAGAAATGTTTCATTCATCTTTTCCTGAATAGAAGCAAGAAATTCGGAATCCTTTGTAAAGTCGAGTATTTCCTTATAAAATATGCTCATCGTTCTCGTTTGATGAAGATTTTGAAAAAAATACAAATGCCTAAGCCACTTTGAAAGAATAGGAATAATAACTCCTTCTAAGATGGAAATCAAACAAGAGGAACGTGACAACCTTTCTCCAAATTCTTGATGATAAAACTTCAAAGCCTGAATACTTTGTATATCACATAAACTTTGCAATCCAAATGGCCAACAGCCCAATAACTCTATCTTGGTATATTCGGTTATCAGTTTGCTCAACATAAGTTCTCCATAGGCTTCATCATAGTCTTTAGGATAATTCTTTCGCCACCATACAAAATGTGCGACTACTTGCGATATAGAAGCATAGTCCCACTCTACATCCTGAAACAAAGCATTGCGAGCCTCTGCAATATTTGCCAATTCTTTCTGAATTCTACCTTTGGCACCAAAATTTTCTGAGCCATTGACTATGGAAGAATGCGAAAGCATATTGTCTTGCTCCAACTCTTCTTCAGGCTTCGGAAGAAGTCTCCAATCATCCTTTTCTAAGAATGAGATTCCTTGGAATTCTTCATTCATTTGATATTCCTGATATGCCTGTTCTTCTCTGTCTCTCAAACTATTCAATTGTTTCCACTTCTCATTGAGCATGTCTAACAAGTCATCAAAGTATCTACCTAAGTCTTCATAAAATGAATACTTTTCAGTTGCTACCATAGCTTCTGTTTCCTTCGCTTTCATTTGCTTTTGACAATTGTCCAAGGCCTTTTCTGTTTCCATCTGCTCCTGCAAAACTTTAGACATTTCTTCATCATTCGTCTTCATGGCATCTTGAAGACTATTCGAAACCTTTTCCAACACAATGAGAGGGTCTTGTAATAGTTCAGGTTTATGGAAACTTTCCAGTTTCTTATTGGATAACTTTTCCAACTTTCTAGTATACTTGTTGTTTCCTGAAGCTCTCCTTAACTGGTCGAGTTCCCAACGTGCTTCAGATTCTGAGTCTACTTCCTCTTCATCAACTATTTCTTCATCGTTTTGTACTCGTAAAAAAGGACTTTGAGTCTCACGGTTTGATTGGACTATTTCCTCCGGTTGTTGTTCCAATTGTGACGAACCATTGTTTTGTTCCCCATCTTCTTTGTTCCATCCAAAAGTCTGTCTTTTCAATTCTTCCATAGTTTCAAAAGAATATTCCGGTTCTGTTTGTTTTACCTCAAGCAAGGCTTGGTTCACCAGAGAGGAACTATTCGCCAGTTGCTTGAATTCTTTTGGAAACCATTCATCCTCCAGTTCTTGCTTACTTTCTTCTTCTTCTATGAAATCTGCATTGGATTCTTTGACAGCTCTAGTTACTTCTCTAGTACCCAACAGTCCACCTGTCCTTTTGTTGGAACACTTTCTGCCAAATGCTGTGGTTCGTTTTGTTCGTTTTATATAAATATCATTTGACTGTTGTTGTTGGTTAATTTCTTCCTTTCTATTATCTTCTTCGGTATCTGAAAGTTTCTGGCGAATATTTTTTGCTTTTCGTTGCTTGAGCATCCCTTTTCTCCAATGCTTTATATCGATATATATACTATTGGATCTTCCAATCAATAAATAAGACAACTCGGAAGAATAGTTTCATGTGATAAATCGTAAAAAGTCAAAACAGTATATTCTTTCACACTTTTCTAAAAATTGATTGTTATTTAACTCTCATGGTGGTGACGACTCTTGAAAATGTTGGTCGGCACACAACTTATCGAGCATCGTATCAAGTGGACTTTCCTTGTATTATAGTGCATGGAGGTGCTTGGAATATACCACAAAATAGAACTCAGCATACACTACAAGCTGTACAATCGGCAGCAAAGAGAGGATTAGAAAAGTTGTTGGAGAAACCACAAAACGGCGCAACTCCTTCTTCCTGTATAGAAGCTGTAGAATGTGCTGTTTGTTATTTGGAAAACGATGCTATGTTTGATGCAGGTTTTGGTTCTTGTTTATGTGCCAATGGTTCCGTTGAGATGGATGCCCTTATTATGGATGGTTCCACTTTGCGTTCTGGAGCAGTAGCTTGTGTTTCTAGAGTACGGAATCCAATCACATTAGCCAAAGCAGTAATGGAAAAAACACCTCATTGTTTAGTTGTAGGACAAGGAGCCGAACTACTGGCACAGGAACTGAATATTCCTATGGTAGATTCACCTTTAGAGATGGTATCCGATGTGGCTCTAAAGGAGTGGGAGTCTATTCATAACAATTATCCTGGAGCAGTTGATACTTTATTTCTTCAAGGTGGTGATTTTCACTCACATGAAACAGTTGGTGCAGTGGCTATTGATTCTTTAGGAAATATTGCATGTGCCACGAGTACTGGCGGTATTACTGGAAAACGAAATGGAAGAGTAGGAGATAGTCCTCTTATAGGTTGTGGTGGTTATAGTGATAGTCGTTGGGGTGGAGTTTCAGTTACGGGTCATGGAGAGAGTCTTATGAAGGTATCATCGATATTTGTATCCTATTTGTAATATTTTCAATGTGGACAATGCATAATAGGTTACTCTTTCTCGTCGAATCATTTTTGGTTTAGAAAGTGGACAAGAGCCTCTAGTTGCTGTTGAGAATAGTTTAGAAGAAATGTTGGAACGAGTAGGTGGAAAAGGAGGTGCGATATTGTTGACTCGACAAGGCAAAGCAGCGATTGGCTTTACGACATCGCGAATGGCGTGGGCGTTGTGTAGTCCACTTGTCTCTCAAAGTGGTATCGATGGCCATTGACTATCTATCGGTGGCTGCTTTACAGTTCAACCCTCAATTGGCACAACCTGAAGAAAATAGAAAAAGAGTTCAAGTGAGTTGTTGACATCACCACTCAACGTTGTGTTTTCTTGATACTGAACAACACAAGTATTTGATACAAAGAGATAAACGTCAGCCTTTTCAATATTTGGTGTTGCCAGGTTAGAAGTTTTCTGTCTTTTTGTAGTTTTGGTACTCAATGAAGTCAGAAATGTGTTTTACTGGATATAGTTTCACTAGTAAAAAACAAATACAGAGTTTAGTGGAACCTTTGCAAGTATAACAAACCTTTTTTCACCCAACACTTCCCAACAGTCAAAATCTTTAGGGACCTACTTTGACATTCTGTTCACAACTTGCTATAGAAAATGACTGTTATATCTCAGCAGGATTCCCAGAGGTACATTAGGATTATCAACCTTAGGTGCTCTAATTATAATGTTATGTTGGATAAGGTGGATTTGGATACTGGAAAATATTACAACTCGGTATTAGTAACGGTATGTGAACTTTTGTTGATGATACACATAGACTCTGGAAGATTTTCAGAATCCACGAGGTCAACTAGTTCACTGTTATCGAAAGACCTTTTTGTATGAAACCGATAAACACTGGGCAGAAAAAGGAACTGCATTTCGATACTTTGTAGATGAAAACAACCACAAGGTGAGAAAATTGGGAATATTGAGTACTTGAGAGTAACCAAACTTAGGTTGCTTGTGGAATCTGTATGGATATCAATCCGGAGGACTTTCTTAGATATGAAGATTATGAATTCGCGTCCTATTGTGCATCACAGTCTATCGATATCATCTTGTTTAGTTCAGCTTGGATTGGACAAGCGGATGACTTGTTCACACTTGACCAATATTGGTAAGAGGACAAGTAGATATATGTGTGAATATTCCAACTAAAGTTGTTAGGTATTTACGTTTAAAACCACTCTGGGGCAAACCTTGTATATTTGTTGGAGCCAATCGCATCGGAAAAGAAGGTGACACCCAATTTATCGGACAAAGTTGCATATTATCTCTACAGTCTGGAAAAGTAGAAGCTCAAGTTTCGAAAACTTTCCAAGGACTAGTCACCGCAAAAGTTCCTATCTAAAATATAGCGTTTGAAAAAAACGATAATGAGTGTCCTTCTAATCATTCAATTATTAGCGTCCCCATCTTCCAAATGCAAGTCTTCTAAAAGCTCTTCGACACCAACTTGTGGATAGTCATTATCATCTTCAGAGGCCTCCAATGTGGAAACTTCATCTTTCGTCGTTTTCTTATATAACTGAATGTTGGAACGCAACTCGATGTCTTGTTCCAAATCTTGCAAGAACTCTTCAAACTCTTCTGGATTATCATAGTCATTATGTTCTGAATCCATCTGCATTGCACTATTTTGAGAAGCTTTCTTGGCAAGTCGCTTTAGCTTGAAACGACGTCTCTTTGCTTGATTCTTTGTAGGATAAGTCTTGCGAACAAGAATAACATCAGGTAATTGCAAAGAACGATACTCGTCCAATACACTGTCATTATAATTAGCACTTTCTAGGTCATAACCTAAAACTAAATCACCCGCTTTTAGAAACTTGGCAACATGAGAACGAATGTAAAATTGTCTATCGGTGATACCCAAGTCTGATGAACGACTTACAGTCACATCACCCATACAATACTTTTTTTGGGATTCTCCGGTCAACTCACAATCCAACACTGTAAACTCTACAAGTCTGCGACTAGTGAGCAATGACAAAAAGGGATACTTCCAATACTGATATCCAGACAATTCTCCTGTTTGTAGGGTTAGAGGATCAATAAAACAAAGATTCTGTGACACTTTGGACACCAATACCAAAGGACCTAATCCACCAAGACTAGTCGAAACTTTTTTGGGTAAACAAACCAAATCATCTCTACAAACTGGAGGAAGTTCTGCAGAAAATGAATATTTGTACTTGTACGTAGTATTGTGAGGGTCATGTGAAACCAAATGATCCGAGTTCTTCATCCGTACAGGGACGACATGATGCAAAAAATCAACAAACTTAAGAGCTGCACTCTTATTTGGGAAATAGAAATCTAAACCATCCCTCAACGTTTTTAAACTCAACGTGTTGCCATGTGCATTATGCTTTAAAATCAATTGTTCCAAAAAATAAAAAGTTTTCTTATGATCCGCTCGCTGACGAACCTTGTGTATCCTGAGGTCATTCTTCATCTTGTTGATACAGTAGTGTACCAACTTACCTGGACAACTGCCTCCCAAGGGTCCATTTTTGCCGACTTCGCACGACACTCATAACACTGCTGATAATCTACGCAATACTCTACGATAAAAGATTGTTGAAGAATGGTGTGATTAAAAACTTCCTTTTGAACAGTTAGTTTCACTTTGATTCTTCTGGAATGGGGTTCCGTCCAAATAAAGTTGGCGTCAACCAAATGAAGCTTGTTCAAACCACGAATCCTGGCAACGCAGAGGGCTAAAAGCTCCTTGCTTTCAGGTTCGCAATAAACCCAATTACTAGGGGGCACGTGGTATTTACTACAAAACTTACAAAAATACAGAGTTATCTGTTTCGGTATCGTTTCCGTTATATCCACTCGACTGCGAATACAATTGACACACATATTAGAAGGGTTTGGGCTAATGGGAACACCACAAGTACAGCAGAGTATGGTAGGAAGTGTATGTGTAACAACGACAGGTTCCAAATTGTTGGACTGGTCCGTATCCATCTGTTCCATAACACCACCAAACCGTCGCAATCAGGCGAAGTTAAAATACAAATGGATGCCTGGGACATGATAAATGAAACTAAAAAAGCCATAAAGATTGGAAACCTTTAAATCATCGTTACACCGTATATTTATAAGTTATCAGCAATGAACAGTCAAAGAGACTGCTAACTAAGCTTTAATATCAAGGAAAGTTTTCTATGACAAACAAAGTTGCATAGAAAAAAGAATAGCAATCGAGAAAATATAGATTTCGAAAAAGTTAACTGTAACAGCATTGATGAGTGTGAAACACTCAAAGACACTAGCTAACCTCGGGTACAATTCATTGGAGCCATGACTACCTAAAAATTGTAAATTTCAAGTAAAAATAATGACTGCAATGCTTATAGACAAAACTGAATAACTTCCATGATTAAGATATTTCTATACTGTAAAACTTGACATTTTATTTCCTAAAATACTCCTTTTTCTTCCTACTTTGTTTGCAACGTCGACTTATTTAAACGAGCAAATTTAATTTTTGCATTTTTTAAGTTTTTGAACGTGGAATATATTTTTCTTGTTAAACTAAGAGAATATGGATTAAATTCTGTCCATTTTAAATTGTGCATAGATTAGACTAGTACGTGTAATAATCGAAATTTAATTTCGCTTTCTTTCAACGATGTGAACTATTTTTACGAAATGCGAGGAAACCAGATTTGATATTTTAATTTAAAAAATTTTAAGTTTAACATTGATGCGCTACATTATTACGACGTTACTGAGTGTCAGATATGTTTTCAACGACAAATAACATTTGGACTTTGATTTTACATAAAAATGATGCTTGGATTTAATTTTTAAGCTACACCTTTTTGTCTAACTCTGCGTATTTGTTATGCAACACAAACACACATGCATGCGTGAAATTAATTTGAAACCAAATAACCTACGTTAACGTCTAACGAAGGCAAACCTTCGTGTTTCTCGCAACGATGATAGCCCTTCTTAGAGTTGTTCAACATTGAAAAAGTTTGAAAAATAGGTTGCTACTGTCTTTACTTTTTAACTATACAATCATCACTACTTGCCCACTGGATACTTTTTGTTTTCCAGAAGGAATGCAGCATTTCATTTGTATATGATGGGTGCACTTTTTCAACGTGGGGTTATGGCAAGGCTTGCCCTTGAAATTCCAAGTAAGGACAATGTGTTCATCATCACAAAACAAGTATTTCATATCTGCAAAGGTAGATCATATAGGTTATCAAACGCAATAATATTTAATACGGCATTTGTTCGAGCAATTTCATAATTTCAGGAAAAGATGGCCTTCGACTAGGATCTTGCTGCCAACACGACTGGATCAGTTGTGCCAACGGAGCTGGGCAGCTAGGTGGCATCGGTGGTCTCATTTGTTTGGATAGTACAGCGACAGCAACTTGCATAGGTTGGATACCGTAATAGGGTAACTGCTTTGCCACCATTTCCCATAGGATGATTCCAAACGAATACACATCTGCTTTTTCCGAGTAAGGTTGGTTAGCTAAAACTTCTGGTGCCATGTATTGAAAAGTACCACATTGACCAGTCATTGGTCCTTGTGTTTGGGTTGCAATGAGCCGCGTCAAACCAAAATCTCCCACCTTCACTGTAAAATGATCGTCTAACATCAAATTGGATGATTTTAAATCACGATGTAGTAACTTGGAGGCATGAAGATAAGTCATCCCGCGGCAAACATCCAACGCCATTCTCTTCATGAGACTCCAGTTCATGGGTACGCGATAGCGATGCAATATATCGAACAACGTTCCTTTGGACATAAATTCCGTGACAATGAATAAATGAGGCGGTCTCGTACAGGCTCCCATGAACAAAATAACGTTGGGATGACGAAGCGTGCAAAGAACAGCAACTTCGCTTTGAAACTCCTTGACTGCGTTTTGATTGACCAAAGCCATGGCACTTATGGTTTTCACTGCAACTGCAGTACCTCGAAAACGGGCTTTATAAACCTGACCAAATCCACCTTGACCAATCAGAGGACCCCACTCCAACTCAGTAGGGTCGATTTCGAAGGAAGGGTTCAAACTTCTCATTAAACTTCCACCTCCAGAAAAAGGTGTCACTTTGGAAGACAACGATACTTTTTGAATGTTCTTTGCTGCTTCGCAAATCACACAATGACAAAATGGAGCATGTGGCTTCTCAAACTTTTCATTTTTCATTTTATCTGCAATTTGGACCTTGTCATTTTTGTTCTCCACCTGTTCCTTGTTCAAGTTTTTTTGTTTGGCTACAGGAGCCTGTACTCTGTCATCCAAATGCCTTGTGTGTTGAGCATTCTTATCCGCTATTGTTCGCGAATGGTTTGCTTGAGCATTCAAGGGTTTCTTCATATCGAATTCTTTTGAAACTTTCTCATTCAGTATATCGTCATTATGACTCGAGGAAAATTCGACAGCGGAAGAAGCTCTTGGTCTTCCTCTCTTAGCATCCTGCTTATTGCCTATTTTTTCAGGAGTGGGTTCGTCACCATTTCCGACATGATAGCCGCGATCGCTTTTCGAATGCGTAGAATTCTCCGCGGTAAGTCTCTGTCGAAACTTTTCCCATCCTTGTGGATCATTTAATACTATTTTCTGTTCACTATTACTTGGTTTTGGTTGGTTAATGACACCATTAGGCATAGCATTACTTGACACATTGTGTGTTTGTCTGCGATCTTTTATCTCTTCGACCAAATGTTGTTGGCCTCTAAACGGACTGAATACTTGCTCCTCCATTCTTTTAGTCACAGTACGTTCTCCCACTGCTAATGGTCTCTCGCTATCAAGTAACTTGGCAATCTTATCAGGACTAGCAAAGTCATCTACAAGCTGTGCTACAGCAGCATTCACGTCACCTTGGGTTCTTTCCAATGCTAGTTGTGCATGGTCTCTAGTAAAGCCCATGTTCAACAATTCTCGCAGTTCCACTTGGAATGGAAAACGACCTTTTTCCACCATTGAATTCAACCTTTTATCAGATTCTAAATGACTCGGCGTTTCAGGTGCGGGTTCGAAGAAAGCCTCCAAAGGAGCGATACTGAAACATAGTTTGGGTAACGTTCCTTCACGACACAATTCAGCTACATTAGGTTCTGCAAGAACTGAATCCACAAAGGTATAAGTCTGTTGATGTCCAGAACAGAATGTATTGTAACAAGTACGAAGACCTTCTAAATCCCTCCTTTCACGATAATATTGCGTTAGAAAATAAAAGCAGGACAGAGATGCAAAATAAGCCTTTGTAATTTCGATAGCTAAAGACGGGATAACCATCAGTTTCAGTTCTCTGCAAGGGTCATTACAAGATAAGAAATAAGCACTTAGTTTAAAACAATGTTCAATCAAGTTAACAAAGGCATGAAGGAGGGGTTCTCGTTTTCCTTGTAAAGGGTCTTCAGGAGTGCCTGGCAGTTCGGACTTCCCCATATGCCTCGAATGTCCATGGCTTACAGTAAGAAGCAATTGTTGTTGATAGTGTTGTTGATAGCTTGCAATTTTCGAACGGCTACCATCAAATACTGCAGAAAAATCATGAAATAGTTTCGCCTTCAGCCTTAACAGTGTACTGAATCTACTTATTTCTCCACCTGCAAAACAAAAAAGATAAACGTCATCCGTAACGGAAACATTCTGCAAGTGTTCTCTGCTCCATACTCTTTCCAAATATTCAAAAAGTTGATCCTAAAATCATTTGTAAGAGTGCAAAAAAGTACAAGTTTCAAAACAACACTTGCTTGTCGATAGGAAAGTTCCAAAAATTCTGGTGGGCCATCCACCATAACTTTGTAGATAACCGTTAGATACTTAAACACTACAGTGGCAGAGCTGGACCTTAGATGACTTGCAAATGATTCGTAAAGTACCATTCCCATATGTCTTTCCCAAATATCAATAACTATCCAACGAATATGCTTAGGCTTTGCAGGTTTAGGAGTATTGGTTGTAGCTTTGGCTAGGGATGATTCAAAAGATCCTGGACGATGATAAGACTCCCAAGGTCCACGAGTTACATTGTGAGGTACATGATATAAATGCAATAAATAGAGGTCATCTCGACTAAGTCCTCTGCCAGGTTCGACTATCTGTGTCGATGTATTTCGTGGTCCAACAGGATCGTCTTGTGAAGTTCTCTCTATTGCACGCAAGTTGTTAGTGGAACTCGATAAACTTATTCCTTCTTCCGTTTTTCTACGGCCAACAGAGGATTCCTTTTCCATTGTAACAGAGTCTCGTCCGGTTCTTTCCTGTGCTGGCATATCGGACATTGGAGGAACCAGACCTTGAGCAGCTGCCACTATATATGAAAGACTAAAACTATCGGGACGTTGTGAAGGATTTTTGGATAAGCAACGACGTATGACTTCCAGAATTTGTGAACTGTATCTCCTACAAGCTGCTTCTGGGAAAGATACTCTTCCAAAAACCGCTTGTATTTTAGTTGTGGAGTCTCTTTCTCCACCTTGAAAAGGTTTGTTTCCACAACAAAGCTCATAGGCAACGGCTCCAATTTGATAAACATCCTCCTTGTCAAGCCTTTCAGGAGAGTTTTCAAGCCATGAAGACAGAGTAGTGGCCTTCTTCCGTCTTTTGAGACCAAACCCTCCTATTTTAACTCCAGACTCTTTACAGTAAAGCAGTTTGTCCAAGGAAAGATCTCCGTGTACTCCCATACCCAACTCGCGCATAATAAGGACACCTTGAATAATATTTTTCAATATAGCTAACAGTTGCTCTTCAGTTACAGGAGGTCGAAGTGGAGCAACGTTTATGTACTCCACGATGAAGATAAGACAAGATCTTGCATAAGGTACTTTTGCATAGTCCAATAGTCTCGTAAAGGGCAAAACCTGTAAAGACCCATATAAAACATTGGCTTTGTCGCTTTCTCCGTCTAGTCTCGTTTTACTTTCAAGTTCTTCATAAACTGTTTCCTGTTTCTTTTGCAAGCTACAGTCCGAAAGCGCTTTCCAGTCTTCTGCTTCCTTTAATAGAAGTTCCCACTCTGAGGGATTGTGCGCCACTTCAAACTTCACCACCAGCTTGTCTCCGTTGTCCACACTTTCTGCCACCCACAACAAAGTTTCGTTGTTTGACGAGTTACTGGTTGTTGACACGGGATGCAAAAACCTCAGAATCCATACTTTTCCCGAACCCCCGCGAACCTTGCGGTTTTTTCCCGACTCTATTTCCAAAAAGTCGATGAAAGTAGCATCCAGTTTATTTACTTGGCCAACTGACATAAGACTATTTCAAGTTACTTCTCCAGTGCGCTTTCATAAACGTCTTAGTGTGGCATGGTTTGGCCAAAGCCCCTCCTCAGAAACCAAATATACTCTAATTTTTTGCTGTCCATTCGATCAAGTTGTTGGACAACTTGTGTGAAGAAAATTTTTTTTTCTTGACAATATTGTACATATAGATTATGGTGGAGAATAGTAGAAAGGCTTCTTGTCCATTTTCTCATTCCGGTTGCAAGTCTGCTTCTGTATTTGGAAATAAAAACTTTTCAATTTATTATTTTTGTAGCTTTTGAGAAACCACACAGATAAAAAAAGCACCAGTTGAGACATCTCACAATGCCAACTTTCAACAAAGAAATTGAAAATATCATCCAACATGAATCTCAAAATAAGAAAAGGACAACGCTCAACGTTGAGGAATTGTATAAAATTATCTAATTGCAAATAATTCAGGGTGCGCATGATTCTTCCGGTCGACATTACTTTAAAAGAAGGAATATCCCAACCCAAATCATTTTTAGGAAAATGGCTGTTTTTCTACTTTGTCTCATTGTCGTTGCTTTCTCGGTTTCTTGCCATGCTGCTAGTGGAAAATATGAATTAGTGGTTACCGTGTATGATTCTTCCAATTGTTCCGGTCAAATCTATGGTTCATGGACATACGAGTCCAATTCAACTTGTTTCACGGTAGTCCAGCCGCCCGTACCAACTATTTATATCAATATATCTAGTCTCTCAGGTGACGTTTATGGTTCTATATGTGATGGTTGCGGTTCTGGTGCAAAATGTATGGGCAAATATGAGGAAGAAGTATGTTACAATGTAGACAAAATCATCCAATCCACAAATTATCCACTCGGAGTACAATTTGAATATTATAGAGTTCCAAAGCAAGTCAAAACCAACTGCTCAGAGTGTATGAGTCAATGTAAGGAGAGCTATAATAAGGATAGTGTCCAGGTCAATTTCGAGATTAGTGTAACCGATGATATCACAGTAGCCATATGATATTAGAGATAGACTTTGGAACTCATTCCATGTCTGAGCTGATGATTGTCAGCTGACTGCCATAAAATAGTGCTGTTTTTTTGTCACTTTACTTGAATGGGTTTATATACAAAAGTTAATGATGCTGCTTCTAGAAACGTTGGGAGTGTACAAAGTTTAGGAATCTTTGAAAAATGACGAGTTTTCTTCTTGCGATTCAGTTGTAACGAAGTGTTACTGTTACATGCGATGTTCTATACCACATATGTTCTGTTTCAATACTTTGCAAATGTCTTCCGATCCTTTATATATCCAAGGTATTTAAGACACTATACAGAGAAGCCCCATAAAAGTAGAACGAAATATCCAAACGTGTTTTACATAAAATGATGATTTCGGTATTCCACAACAGTTGCTAACGCTTGCTCAAGTGAAGCAGCTAGTTTTTCAATTTCCATTTGGCTCAAAGAAGGAAGAACTTTTGAAACTTGCTGTAGAGAATGTACGATGTTGGTTGGAACTTCCTCTCTGACATTTTCCAATGGTTTGCTTTTTCCGCTATTATAATATAAATTTCCTCCTCTTACGGTAGCTCCAATACGAGACAGCCGATTCAAGTCATCGACACTTAGGGGTAATGGCGTTTCCAAAAACTTCATACCAAGTTGGAATTTCTTCATGGTTTGTTCATCCAATGCCAATTTGTCATGATATACTCGTGCTGCTTCATTGAATGATTCGACAACCATGCGATACTCATCTTTTACGGTATTCGTAACTGTCTTTGTGGTGGAAGTTGCGTCACCTCTCTGCTTCGTAGCATAAGCTTGTACAGCAGCTATAAATGTTTCATATACTTTGGGACATCCTGGATAATCATATCGAGCTTCCTTTCTGGGAGATGAGTCGGAAACGTGCTAGTCAGACTGTCAAGTCTCTGTTGATATATTTTGCCAACAACAAAACTACTTACTGACTCTTGCATTCTCTCTGGATGAAACTGTAGTCCTATTAGAAAATTGCCATTCTTGGGGTCATAAGTAGAGGGACAATAATAACCTTCTATCAAACCATCAGGAGCAGTTGCCATAGGAGATAACAATCTTCCCAAATCCTTGATTCCTTGATGATGATAAGAATTCACCATAATTTCTTCTTGTTCAAACCAACTTTGAAGTGGAGTATCAGGCACAATGGTGACAGGATGACGATGTCCATCGTAATTATCATAATCAATATGTTTGATACAACTCCTTAGTTGGAGTTCAACATCGAAATATAATGTGCCTCCTAGTGCAACATTCATGATTTGACAACCTCTACATATGCCTAGTGATTGTGTCTCAACAAAACAAGTCATCATAGAACAACAGTTTAAAACTCACCTAAAAAAGGGATTCCTTTCGCAATGCACCTTCTGCATAGTGCAAACTCTATCGAATCTTTTTCTTTATCAACTTTTGCGTCACCGCTATGCTTCTGCTTTATTTTTTCGATCAACTCTGGATCCAAGTTACTAAAATCAGCCTTTTTTGCTATTAGCGACACTATTTTTTCCAATTTTGAGAACATTCTCCAATACCTGATACAAGGAGGGGTCGATATCTTCTCCTTCACATAATAGGACTCCGTGAATAGGCTCAAAAGATTCCAACATTTCGTGGACTCTCTGTACGCGGGGAACTATGAGTGGAACAGCACCGTTCTTCACAATTAAATCCAAGTGATATTCTCCAACAAAGTCAACAAACTTATTCTTTCGGATATGCCTCCTACTAACCTACAGAACACCAAGTTAATTTGGTTAATATGACTAGAAAGGTACCGAGAGAAGATTGGAATACTCTTCCCAACATGAACCATGGGACAAACTTACAATAGCTACTCGTGGAAGTTGAGAAGAGAGTACTTCCAAACTGGACTCTAAACGTTTCTCTTCCATATGGAGAAGAAGAAATATTCAACTCGTGTTCACTGTCGTCACAACAAAACGATCACCAAAACCATCAAGATGAAATAAATGCCGAATGACCTTTTTCAACTAGCTACCATAAAGATAAGAAACAATGCAATAACAATACATGTTTTTGAATAAGGAAAAAATTTTCGTAATAACTTTTCATAGTCTCGACAGCATTGAGCATTGTCTTGGTTATAAAGGAATGTCGTCGAATGGTGGAAGTAGTAGTAACGGTGGGAATGGTCGTTTAGGACTTACTTTAGACGCTATTTTTGGTGAACTTTTGGCTGCAGCACTGAGTTTAGCTGTAGTTATCATAGGTGGTAACTTTCTTAAAAACAAATTGGACCCCCTCCATGAACAGAAAAAGGCCTTGAGGAAGAAGCGACAAGAGCTGTCACAAAGGTTGTTTTGCGTTGTCTTATTATCACTTTTGCTTGTCTTTCTAAACTCATTAAAATAGATTAAGAAAGTTGAATAGCAAAGCATATGACTTGGATGACTTGACTTCATTGGAAGCGGTCGTTGCACAAGAGTTGGTGTTACCTGACCAACTCGACGCTGATTTTACTGCAGTTGGAGGTTTGAAGGAGATAAAAGAATCGTTAGAAGAGACCGTATTGCTTCCTTTACTTCGGCCTGAGTTGTTTTCTTCATCTTTTCTTTTATCACCCACTAAAGGTGTTTTGCTATATGGTAAGATGATATTGCCTATTATTATTTGGAATGATCTGACGCTCTTCTTCATTAGGTCCCCCTGGAACGGGTAAGACACTGCTGGTAAAAGCATTGGCTAAAGCAAGTCGTGCCAGTTTTATTCCTATATCGCCTAGCACTATTTTGAGCAAATGGGTTGGTGAGACCAACCAACTGGTCCACGCAATCTTCTCACTTGCTTATAAGATTCAACCTTGTATTCTTTTTATTGACGAAATAGACTCATTGTTCCGTGAAAGGAGTGCCTATGATCACGAAGCATATCGAGATATGAAGGCTGAGTTTATGTCGCTATGGGACGGACTGTTAAGTGACCCTAATGCTGCAGTAATCGTAGTTGGTGCTACTAATCGCCCTTGGGACATTGATGCTGCTATTCTCCGACGCATGCCTCGTTCATTTTTGGTGGATTATCCTACAACCTCTGAAAGGAAGGAAATCTTGCAAGTTATTCTCTCTGAAATTGTTTTAGAACAAGGCTTTGACTTTGACCGTATAGCAGAAGAAACGCCAGGGTTGACGGGAAGCGATTTAAAGGAAATATGTCGAGTTGCTGCGTATCAACCTATTCGAGAAGCTTTACAAAAGGAAAAGAAGTTATTGGCCAATGGCAAGAAGCAACAGGAACAAGGAATAAGCAGCTTTGCCAATTTGGCTAACGAATATAGTCGAACCATAAGACCATTAAGAACTCGCGATGTATTGAATGCCAAGGAGACAGTGGTTCCAACTATTTGGAAGAGTAATTCCTATCGTGAACACTGTGAAAAGCAATATGAGGCATCTTTGGCAAGAGATAATCAGGATGAAATAGTTTCTACCTTTTTAAACAGACTTGTATCTCAAATGCATATATTGGATAGCAACAACAACAATGAGGCAAAAGTAAACAAGCATAACGAATCATCTCCCTAGAGAAACAACTTGCTTCTTGTAGGGGCTTATTGTATTTCAATTGTCCTTGGATAGTTTTTGATGGGATCAGAGCAATATATTGGAAGTTGTGAATATAAAGCATTTTGTGTAAGACCATTGATAAGTGTATCCGGAATTCCCACAAAGACCAAAGTTCTTTAGCCATTTGACTTCCTTTGGCTCTGACTTTCCAGAATTAGCCATGTTTTTGGTCGTTTCTTCAGTTACATAGCCAATTGCATTCCGTTCTATTCCAAAATTGATCAATTTCAGATGAGTCGTTCTAAGGAGACAAAATTCTATGGCGTAGTACTTTGAATAAGACTCACCATCATTCAGTAACATCCTGAAATGTTGAAGGATTTTCCAGTACTAAGGTCTACAGCGTGTGATTTTACGAATAGCTATCACTGGATATTTCATAAGGACCTGTTGTTTCTCTACAAGAGTTTACAGACCAACTGAAAAGTTATCCATGAAAGCCAAAACAAATGACAATCTCTTTTAGAAAGCAAACATATCTCCATTCTCTTCCATAATCATTTCTGGGGCACAATGTTTCTAGTGTTGGTTCCCATCGCCAATGGAACAGAAGAAATAGAAGCCGTATGTGTTATAGATACCCTTAGAAGAGCAGGCTTCGAAGTCACTGTTGCCTCTGTACACGACACCACGAGTGTGGTTTGTTCACGACAAGTACAAATAGTTGCTGACTGTCTGCTATCCGAGTGCAGAGATAGAGTATATGACTTGATAGTTCTACCTGGCGGAGCAAAAGGTGCAGAAAACCTGGCAGCAAGTGAGCTATTGGCAAAGCTACTGAAAAGGCAAGCAGTGGAGAACCGCTGGTTTGGTGCTATTTGTGCGTCGCCAGCCATAGTGTTGTACTCTTTGGGCTTATTGCCTGCACGTGCCACTTGCCATCCCAGCGTGGAGGATAAAATAGACAACGTTGCAAAGGAACACATAAAAGGTAAGTTGAAGAGTCATATAAACTACTCACTTTTCTAAACTACCGTAGAACGAGTCGTTGTTGATGCAGACAAAAAGTGTGTTACTAGTAGAGGGCCAGGGACAGCCATCGAGTTTGCCTTGCAACTTATAGAGTGCCTCGCGGGAACAAAACTTCGTCAGGAAGTGGAATATCCAATGATTACAGCAAGTATTTGAAAAAATAAAGCAAATATTCTTATTCCTTATTCACAAGACAGTATTTTGATCCAAACACATTGAATACAGTCTCTACACAAGTAGGTCATACAGCGTCTTGCAAACTCTTCCAACGTTCTTCATACTGTTTCAGCTGAAGAATAAAGTTACCAAGTGGTTGCACATCACTCTTTTGAACAATAAGAAACTTCCATGCTTCTTCAAAGGTATTTCCAAGATAAATCAAATATGCCAAAACTACAGCAGCAGAGCGAGAAACTCCAGCATAACAATGAACTAGAATTCTTCCTGAAAGCTTAACCTTTTCAATAAACGCAATGGCTTCATCTAAAAATGGATGCAAGTCTTGCGTTTCCAAGTCGCGTATCATTAGTTGCTTATATTCATATATGCCAGGGAAATGTGCCACTAACTCTTCACCTACGATCAATATATGAGTGATGCCTAATAAATCCAATGCATCTCTATCACTCGCATTGCGCTCGTTTCCCAAATAAACAAACGAAAGTATCTTACAAGGAAAGGAATCTTGGAAAACACTACAACGCAACAGAGGAATCAGCGCTTGGGTCTTCCGGGAGCATTCTATAACTTGGCAACTAACAGTGTGCCTCGGATAAAGATTACTGAAAAGAGAAAATCCTCCATTTAAAACAAAGAAACTACAGCCCTGAAACATCTGTTGCTGACATCGGTTATGCAACTTCCAAATAGGATTCCACACAGTAGTTTCCGTAGAAGAGTGGTCATACAAGACAATATAACAAACCTGCTTCTTTTTTAACCTTTCATTGATAAATTTGGAAAGTTTTCGCAGACATTTATGGAGATACAACTCAGAAAGTTGAACGTTCAGAAGTTTCTTCTTATTTAAAGGAAGGTTGCGAGACCCCTTGATATGACCCAGACTGTACAACTGAGAGCAACGCAAGTCAACAATAAGCCATTGGTCTAAATACTGCACAAAGAACTTGGGAGGTAACGACCTTTGGGAAGCCCCCAAGGTGGTTACGGACAAAGGGCTATGAAGAGAAGTTTCCATAGCTTCAAAAGTTACTGAAAAGTTTTTTTGTTGAAATAATATCCCTTGGGTTTGTGTAAAACAACAAACACATGGCGACTAAGTTATCACACAAGGAAGCTCTTAGCTAGGCGTCACGTCATCCCCGCTTTAGCAATGCCCACATGAATTTATTTTAAATGCACAACGTTTGAGACAACAAATATCAAACATACCAAATGTTGCCTTTCAAAGACATTTATGATTGCCCTGTGGTTGAAAGTTTCTTATCCGGTTTTATAGTGGTTAACAAGGCTTCGTAGGTATCCGGAGGGTTGGATTGTGACGTTGCTTGTTTCCTTCCAGCCACTTCAAAGGTGGCGTTCATCGTATTTTCCACTTGCAAGCAGGCACAACATATTTGTGCTACATCTGCTCTAGATACTCTCCAACTAATGCGGTCACCTTGGTCAACCATTATGGACTTGGCTCCCTTTGATGCTTCATTGATAAGATGTCCGGGTCGAACAATAGTGTAAGCCATCTCTGGATTTTTTTCATGAGTCTCTATGACGCCAAGTTCTCCTTGTCTTTTCCAGTGCACTATCGACACAAATTCAGTAAATAAACACAATAGGGTATTACTCACTTATTCGACCAAAGGACGAGTTTAAGAACAGATATGGAAACGAAGTTCTATTTGTAACCATAGCTGAGCTCACTAAAACGAGTCGTTTGACTTTTGCTTGTGCTGCTGCTTCAGCGACATGAACTGCTCCCAAATAATCGACCTGTTTCGGAGTATTTTTCGAAGTACCTGGAACCCTCCAACCTGCTGAAGCTGACGCACAGAAAAACACAGCATGAGCATCTTTCAATACGCTAGAAAGTACTGAATTTTCCAGAACATCGACGTGCACAAAATCCTATATATTCTAAGCAAAAATTTCAGCTTCTGAAACTACTTACCACTCTAGAGGGATTTTTGACACTTTTCAACAACATCTCCCGAGCAACTTCAACCCTTCTACTAGCTGCCCGAACATGATAACCTTGACTTTCCAGAGCCAATACACACTCTTTTCCAAGGGGACCTGTTGCACCTATAACTACAACCAGACCTTTATCTGACATGGTGGTTCAAATCTAAAATGTCGTGGATCTCGCATGGCCCAATCGTTCGAAAATTCCTTCTACAAACGCGCCCTCAGAAATTGTCTAGAAAATACTTTCAAATGGCGCCAAATTTGGATTACATAATTTGCTCTATGCAGTTGCGCAATAGACCGTATGAGCCACATAAAGTTGTAAAACCAAAACAGCGTAAGACGGCAAAGCAGCCACAAAAACTGCAACACACTTCAAAAAAGAGCTCAGAGTTTGTATCAAATGTTGCTGTTTCACTGAAGCAATACCAATGTATACAGCTTCAACAGGAAATACAGGAATATTTGTTGAATAAACTTTGTCAAACAAAGTTGACAACTTGGGAAGATCGGGTAAATTTCACTTTGAGTTTTGAGAACACCACAATGATTGTTTTCAGGATTTCTTGAGCATATCAAAAACTATTGAAACACTGCTCCGAAATCCTGCTCCTCAAGGTGAGTCTATCATTCTAATTGGTTCTGCAGGCTCCGGGAAGAAGATATTAGTAGAAGAAACCTTGCAAAGGGTGCAAGTAGATGAATCAATACAAAATTTGAAAGTGATTCGTTTGTACGGTGCAGTTCATGCCCTGCGTGAAGGACCTATGAAGGAGACTCACGTTCAACTCAAAAATAGCCTACCAAACAAAGTAAGGTATCTTCTAGTATCTTATGAAGAACAAGCTGTAACTGGATAAATAGGAAGTTGAAGAGTCGACACCAGAGGATGACCTTCTGGAACCAACTTCTGAGGACACTTTGACCACCTATTTATTTTTGCTCTATGACTTTGAATACTTTATCAGAGAAAAAAATCAGTCATTCATATATCGCATTTTCGAATCTTTTCAGGTAGGAAAGGAATGAGACACACTATATCGCCGTATGAATTTTTTTGCAGAGAAACCGTATACGCGGAGTTGTTCTTGCCACCTCACAGCAGCATGATATTGTGAGTGGAGTCCATCATATTTACGTTCGAATACTTATACAACTTTAAGGTGGACTCTCTGGAAAAAAGAATCAAGTCTCGATTTTCACATCGCATATATTACATGCCCGCTCTCAACGATATCGAAAAAGTCCTCAAGATTCTCGAGTCACTCCTCTGCATTGACTGTGATGCACCTTCATCTATAGAGTAAGAATGCACCTCAATTATTTCGAATCGTCACGTTGTCTAACTATCGTATAATTTTTCAGAACTATTAAACAAGCTTTCAATCAACAGATATCCAAATTCGTTCAAGATACCGAGTGGAATCATATACTCGAGAATTTTTTGGGATTCACTCCAAACGTTTCATCTTTTCTTAGTGTAAGTCTTATTTGTTCATAATGGAAACTTGGAATGTTATACACAATTTTAGCTCGTTTTCTACATAATAACCAATCTATCATTGGACGAGTTTGGAGTTCCTAAATTTGACCTTGGTATGCGTTTCCTACTTTCTTTAGAATCGTTCACATTTGGGATTAGATATCATAAGGCATGGTAGCTGCCAACTCAAACAGAGTGTTGGAAGAATGCAGATGCTCAAAAATCTTTCTGTGTTGGAAGTTGCGCTTTTGTCTTCTCTTTGCCGTCTAACGTGCCGTAGCATGGATAAGAATGAAAAAGAACGAGCCAGCACGAAGTTGGTAGCTTTTTCATTTGAAAGAATTTATCAAGAATATCTTAAAAATGAGTTCAACTCTGGTGAGTAGTTGTCAGTATAATAACGATACTTAAAGTGAGATTTGATTCCTATATAGATTCCGCTACCTTTACAACGGACTCTTATAAACGGCCAATAGCTTGGAAAGCGTTCAGTCGTAAGAAACAACGAGAAGCTCCTCCACTTGAGAAAACATTCTTTTCATAGGTCTCTTGGATCTCCAACTGATACGATTTCAAGAACGACATATCGAGGGTAGAAATGCTATGGAGCTTCAACCTGCTATTTTAGTAATATCTCCTGAAGAGTTGAGTCAAGTTCTTGAGTGAGTAGCTCAAAAACAAATAGCCCAGTCCTAATTCTCATACTTTGCACAGAGAGCACCCATATATATCTACTGCCATGCAAAGATGGAACAAAACTAGAAAAGCGATTTAAGGATACTGGAATCCTTCTGGTTGTTGCATATAAAGCTGTAAAAACCTTGCCAACTCTCCCATCTCAACGAGATTCCAATGTATTTGTGGCTATTGAAGCCCAAATGACGATGTACAACATATCCCTCGATTTGCTTCAAGTGTATCTTTGTCAATTTGCTGTCCTGTTTGGTATTGAGGCTTTTCTTCTCTTCCAAAGTATCCATTGTTTTCTTGGACGCAAGAGTGTTTTATACAGATAATATCCTGCATATGCGAGACTCTTTTGTAATTTCTAGTATTCATGGAGGAAGATTCTCGCAACAGTAACGTCTTTTTCCGACTTGACGGAAACAAGTTTAGGAGGGTAGCGTTGTTGGGTGCAAAAGGAGTCGGTATGTTATAAACTCTTTTTTTTGCTCGAGTCTGAACCTAGTCTTAGGAAAATCTTCTATTGCTACTCGCTTTGCAGAAGACACCTTTTTGGAGTCCTATCTTCCTACAATAGAGGTGGTTGACGCTAGTTTTTGTGATTTATGCCTTATTGCTTCTACCTTTTCCTAGGATTCTTATCACGCTACTTGTAAACACAGAAACGAGACTTACAACTTGGAGATACTGGATACGGTAAAGTGGCTGTTGTTGTACATATTTGGAAGCTTATTTGTTGAATAGGGAGGACAGGACGAGTACTCGTATTTAGGAACACAGCTTACTATTGGCGTCGATGGATATGCGTTTGTTTATTCCATCTGTGATGGTGGTTCGTTTGACATGGTTCCGGTTGCGCATAGACTGCTTGCAGAGGCGTTAGGAACGAACAATGTTCCCAAAATATTAGTTGGTAATCTTTTGGATTCTGCCGATAAGAGAGAAGTTTCAGTAGAAGAAGGAAAGAGTTTAGCAGAGAAATTGAATTGTCCGTTTGTGGAGTGTTCAGCAAAGTCGGGTCAGAATGTCTCAAAAGTTTTTACTTTATTATTAGCTGAAGTGGAGGGAATGTACTTTCAACGGAGCTCTATAGAAATACCGACAAGCTCAAACTCTACACGATGTAGTATTATTTGAAAAATTTAGCATTTAGTTTCTGTTTGATGTAGTGTTAGTTTCAATTGTGTTGTGTAGTTTGAAGAAATTTCCAGCCAACTAAAGACAAGTGATTTGTTTCTAATGGTTGAGTTTCAATTCATTCAAAACTGGTCCATTCTTTGATAAGAGCTATAGAAAGCTCTTTGCTTTCATCCTTTTGACCAAATGAGTGAGTGAAGCTTAATCGATTGCCGCAAAGTTTTATGATGCAAACCAAGTTCCCGTAGACTCATTCACTGTAAATCATGAGCATTGTATGTTCTGGATAATATCCACACAATTTTGTGCTGTTTATTTCAACGGAATAAAACGAGAAGAATGTGTAGCACCAATACCAGGTCGCCCATGTTTCACGGGTTTGTAAGTAATAGAAAATTCACCCAAATAGTGACCGATCATTTCAGGCTTGATTTCTACTTGATTGAACGTCTTGCCGTTGTAAACCCCAACAACACTTCCAATCATCTCTGGAAGGACAATCATGTCACGAAGATGAGTTTTGACCGCCTCGGGCTTCTCATGCTCAGGTGCTTCCTATAGAAAGAAAAAGGTTATGAGCTCTATAGTCCCGAAAAATAACCGAATCCAACCTTCTTTGCCTTTCGAAGCTTTTTCAACAAAGTTTTGTATTTGATACCCATCCCTCGATTTAGCTTTCTTCTAACTCTGCTATTGAATAGTTCCTTGAGTTGTTCCATGTTCAAGTCCAACAACTGATCCAGTTCTACGCCACGGTAAGAAAATTTACGAAAGGTTCTCCTCTTTGGGGCTCCGCTTGAGGAAGCTGCCGCAGCTTCCTGTTGAGAGATACGAAAATAAGAGATACAATTAGCCGTTGCATACAAAACTTACCGTAGTTTCTTCCATATGTATGTTCCACTAGAAACCAAAACTACAATGTCCTGTTAACGCAATCGACGTCGTCCAACACACTAAAAACAAATCAATTGAAATGGGAGCGATTCCTTTTCTTGAAACGCACTTTATTCCACAAGTTGGATCAACAAATCACACAATACTTTCAACCCAAGCAATCAAGCTGAAGAATCACTTTCCGACTCAGCATTCTCCAACCATTCAATCAACGCAGAAGCATTAGTCCTAGCAAGCTTTCCGCTCTTTGTTTTGCTTTCAGTATAATACCATTTTAGTATTATATCTTCTTCTACCACATCTTCATCATAAAGCACTTTTAAAAGAACTGCTACCGGAACCTTGGCCAAGTTTGCACATAATTCTTCCGTGTAGTTACACATCTTCCACTGGATTTCAACAGGAACTTGTGAGTTACCTCCAGACGCTGCCAAAGCACGGATAACTCCAGCAATCATTTGAACCTTGCTTTCTAATCCTTTTGCTTTCACATCCTCGCTTCTCAACAAAGACCGTAAGACTTGTTCTGTTTGATCCGCCAGTGAGCTTTCATTGGAAGGGAACCATTCTAGTACTTTCTCTGCTATTACTGGAACACTGTGATTTGTGCTGAACTCCCGCAAAGATGCTATTGGATCTTCTTTCCTATCGTTCTCGACAGGAACAGTACCTTTCTTCTTCTTGGATTCCGTCAAACCTTCCAAAACTTTTGCTGCTGCTGCCGCCTCTGCCTGTCTTGCCTTTACAGCTTCTTTGGATGTATCTGCAGACCATTGCAAATGATCATCTCCTTCATTTTTCCCTGGTTTGGACTGCTTGGGCGAATTAGTAGAGCTTATGACGAGACTCTTTGCGGCGTTTTCTGCCAATTCATCAAGATTAGCGTTGCCTAATCCACCTGGGGGTAACACATTTGTTTCAAGGCTGTCGTTCTCTACACCATTTTCCTCAACTTCTTCTTCATTACTGTCTTGGCTTGAAGTTTGGTTGCTCCTAGAAGATCTTTTGGATTGTGTATCATCTTCTGTTTTCTTCTTACGTGATCTGGAACTCTTCTTTATGACGTCAACTTCTTCTTTCTTCTTTTTCCTTGCCTCTTTCTTCGAAGTGCTCTTTCCTTCAGGAGGGTGATTTTGAATAAAAGTACATAGTTTGTGTGCCATATTCACAAGTTCACTGTGACCGCAAGCAGCACAAACTTGTTTGATGTTCCCTTTCTTGTCCACCTGCAAGTCCGTTTCAGGGAGATTGCAGTTGGCACACAGCACGAACATCTTGATGAACTTTTGCAAAACCTCCATCAATACCTGCTGTTCATGTGCTCCATTAACTATATAGACGTCTGACTTTTCTTCTATTTTTGTTTGTGCGCCAAGTTCACATCCAAAGAACTTGCAAACGTAACTTGGAGGGCGGTGTAAGGCCTTTGCTACTTGACCGCAGTTTACTATTCGAGTCTTTATCCCATTACCGCGACCTTCTACTTTGGCCACAATACGTGGCATTTTGTAGCGGTTAAAGAGGTCATCCCCTCCAGTAATGTTTGTGATATCGCTTGCCATGCTCTCAACTTCCTAGTCAAACCACTAGCCTCGTACAATTCGAACAACAATTGTCCAACTCAACCGTACTCTCCAGGGGTACTGAATAAAAGGTAACTCTAAGCACTTGGCTTGCGCTTCCAGTATATGTTCGACGAAATCCCACCAGAACCCAAAGGATACTAACTTGCTGTACGCTGCAGACTCTTCGAACAAACCGTATCTCTACCTTCCAGAAAACTCTGCCAATTCCTTTGAAAAAAGAACGACATGCAAACTTCTTGTGCCCTTACAACTCGGTGAACCTTTTCACAAAATAGAAAGCAACCAAGTAATGTCGCCTTCTTTCGGCCCAAATAATTCCTAAAAATTTTTAACCTCAAAAAATTGTTGGCAATTTGAAGATGATTTGAATCATTTCCTTCTTTAGAAGATTATAAAGTATCACTAATAGCTTTGCAAGTTGGACAGATATTTTTATATGAATAGTGTTATTCATCATTTGTTTTTTTTCTTATTTAATTAGTGAATATGAATACAATGTAAATAAAAAAAATGCTAGTCCGTTTCAAATTTCTCAATTCGATTAGTCGTTACAAAGAGGAATATTGCTCTTTTCGAGTGTTTGGTTTTCTATGGTCGTTAGTCACGCATTCTTATCTATTTTTTCTATTCTTTACTACATATCTGTCGCTTTCTTGTTGAATGTAACCAACAGTTTGGTCTTTCGGGGTGGTTTGCGTTTACCTTGTTTGCTCATCGTTGGCCAACTAAGTCTATTCAGTTTGCTGTATTTATTGGCCGTTGTTTTGGGTTTTATTCCCAATAGAAAGAAATATTTATTTATGACAAATAGATTGTTGTTATTGATGTTGTTCTTTTTTGTTATGAACTTGGCGAATATGACCGCTTTGGCAACTATTGACGATGTTGTGATATTCATTGGAGTTAGAAGGACTTTATGCTTGTTTGTTTTGATTCTAGAATGCTCTTTTCTTAGTAAGAAACCAACACTTTTGGTTTTCTTTTCTGTGGTTTGTATCACTCTTGGAGCACTTTGGTCTGTGTTGTTTCGCTCCAAACCATTCAACTTTTATGGACTGTTGCTCGTTATTATCGGTAACCTGAGCAACGCGTTGTATTTGATATGGATCCCTTTTGCTTCAGAGAATGGAATTTTTGGTACCGTTGCACTCACAGTATCATTATCTTGTTGGAGCTTACCTTTGATGATCACCGTAGCATTGTTCCAAGGAGAAGTTTCTCGTTTAAAAATATTTTTACAAAATGAGACAAGTAGTGTCGCTTTTTGGACAGCTTTTGGTTTCTCATCCGTATTGGGATGCTTCATATCCCATGCAACTTATATGAACTCCATTCATAATTCTCCGTTGACACATTCCATGTCAGGTCATATCAAGGACATTCTAATCATCTTTATTGGCAGTTGGATTGGTATCGGTAGTCTACCTTCAACAAGGGAAGAACGAATGGGACTTGCATTGAATATTTTGGGTGGTTTTCTTTATGCGTATGCAAAATACAAGGAAAACTCGACAAGAGCTATTTTGACTAGAGGAACAAACATGATAACAATATCGTCATCCGACAAGCTTTCTCTGGAAACCAAACATACTCCTACCTCACCATAACTAGTACCATTTTACTTGTAGCATGATTTGTTGTTCAATGAACGAATAAGTTGTACCATTTCTTCTTCTCTTTCGTCATACCAGTTTTCATAAGCTGCAGCCACAGCAAAACTAGGCTCCCGTCGAATATTTGCACAAAAGACCACATCGGCTATTTTGGCTATTTTCAACACAACATCATAGGAACCCGTTGGTACAACTACCACTATATTCTTTGCTCCCATCTTTCGAAATTCTTCTATAGCCAAAGTCATAGTCCATCCAGAAGCTAAACCATCATCGACCAATATGACAGCAGTGTTTTCCTCTCGAGTAGGTATCGTAGGTACACCCCCCAATGCTTTCGTTCTTCGATTCACTTTGGTTAAAGCTTCTTCCATTTGCTTCTGTAATCGTTCTTTGGATAAACCAATAGAATGAAGAAAGGGTTCATTCCACTTGACCGTTTGTCGAAAACTGACAGCACCACAACCAACTTCCGTATTCCACGGTAATAATATTTTGCTCACGACAGCAACTTGCAGTGGTAACTTGAGTTGTGTTGCAATTGTTGCAGCCACAGGAATCCCACCAGATGGAATACCATATACGATTGCATCCAACTGCACACCATCGATGGTTGGCAACGCTGCAACCATCCAGTCTTGTTGCAACCAATGCGCCAAAATGTTTCCTGCTTCAATTCGATCATAAAAAACCTTTTGCCTATCAGTCAGATTATTCTTTGAGAAAACATTGGAAGCAATCCTTTCTTCTGCTTTCCTTGGACTAGTAGACTCCATAGTTGGCTCGCAAGTGGCTCCGAAGCAGGATAATAAACGAACAAGCTTGTCTCTGGTTCTTCCAAATGGATTTATTTTGTTTCGTAAGTTGGAAATATACAATCTATTATTGAAAGATGAAAAACATTTATAGTGTAACACTGGATGCATACCTTTTGGAATAGTGGTTGTCTGGTTTTGTACTGTCAGTGATAACGCCGTCACTCGTTGTTTCTCGTAGTTGCAACGAAGTTAACGAGCTTGAAGACATAAACAAGTTGATACACAGTTTTTGAAAGACAACAAAGTATGGCTGCACAATGCAGCACTTGCTGGCAAGCTTCTAGAAATGGCACAATTCCATGCCCAGCGGAAAAAAAAGGGAATGTTGAGGAATTTTCTCAACCAAACAAGTCCATGTTCGCAGTTCAGATATTATAACAAGTGATGATGATGTTTTACAAATGGAGGAAAAGAAAGAGTAGTATCAGGAGACAATCATTTTTCAAGTGATTGTTGTTGAACAGATGACAATCCATACTTATCCATTTCATGATGGAATGAGAAGGGCTTCTCTCCTCTATTAGAATTATCATAATTGTTTGTTGGACGACGTCGCTAGCAGTGGTTGGTGGATTTGCCAAGTGGAAACGATGAAGTATTTAGCAGCCTATTTCCTAGCACAGTTGGGAAGCAAACGTGGGAAGCCTACTGCAGATGATATCAAAAAGATATTGACTTCAGTAGGTGTCGAAGTAGAAGAAGACCGTGTTACGCAAGTAGTTGAAGCCTTGAACGGGAAGGATTTGGACGAGTTGATGGAACAAGGTTTGCAGAAAATGACAACAGTACCATCCGGTGCAACAGCGGCACTAGCAGCTGCAGTAGGAGCAGCTCCAGCAGCAACAGGAGGAGAAAGTAAAGAAAGCGCCAAGGCTGCAGAAAAAGAGGAAGCAGCAGAAGAAAGCGACGAAGACTTGGGCTTTGGTTTATTCGATTAAAGTTGTCTTACGATTCTTGGCAGTGTAAGCACTTTCATTGTGTCTTTTTGCGTGTATCTTTCAAACTTTTTTCTGTTGAACTTGTTTTTCTGCAACTTCTTAGTAATAATGAAATGTTGAAAAAGTCCCAACACACTTATTCTCGTTCATGTGTTGTGAAATGGTAAACACAAGATCCAGTGGCGCCAAAGTAACATTTTCTTCGCAAGAGACAAAGTCGCACCCAAGAGAAACTCCTAAGAGAAAGAAGCTTACAAGTAGTATTGAACCCGTGGAATGGGTTCCCACTGTGCTTGAGCACGTACAACTCTACACACAAGGGTTACAAGAGAATTCTCACGTCATTCTCTTGCTACCTCAAGAAATCGAAGTGAGCCTTTCTCTCTGGGAAAGTTTTGAACTTGGCGAAGTTTCCAATACGCCATCCGCAGAAAGTGACTCGTCAAAACTTTACTTGTGCTACGCTGGTGGAGAAGTATGGGCTTGGGATACCTTGAAAGTTGAGTCTAAATGGTATTTGGCTTTAAGTGCATACAGAAAGGACAGCTTGGTACATTCTATTTATGAAAAATACTCAAACCTTGGTTTGATTCAACTTTGGGAGTATGACGCAAGTAGAGACGAGAAGCCAACTTGTATTTTGTGTATAGGACACGAAGGTGACTTTTGTCGTCAGCTTCGCTGGCTTCCTTTTTGTCTGGATGGCGCGGACTCGGATCACCAACATCTACTAGGCATGTTGTTGGGTTGCTTTGGTGATGGTACTTTGAAAGTTATGCGTATCAAATACGACCCTCTTTGGAAGCAAAGACAGCCAAATGAACCTATTTTTGTTCGAAGCGATGTGTTGTTCTGTTTTGCAAGCCCTTGTGATGCCATTCTCATTACGACTGAATGTTCGTCAGACGGTCGTTGGATTATTGGAGGTGATACAAGGGGTACTCTACATTTGTGGAACATAAAAGGAAATTTAAAAGAAGTTTTTATACGCAACCAGAAGAATGGCATTTATTATCAAAGTTTCCCCGCTCATCAGGTACCTATTAGAAGTTTAGCTTCCCCGAGGATGCAGCAAGATACGATTAATATACAATATCCTAGTAAGTTGAGTATGCCAACCAGTGAGTTGATAGCAAGTGGTTCAATGGATGGTTGTATTCGTATATGGAATCTTCATTTTCCGTATCGTCCTTTATTGGAATATCGTCTAGGGCAGAGTTGGATATATCAACTAGAGTGGCGCTCAAGTAAGGAGTTAGTTGCAGCTTTAGATGATGGCTCTGTCCGTTTGCTTCCTGTTGAAGAGTCAAACAAGTCATCAAGAGTATTAGCTTTGCATCAAGGAGCTTGTTGGTGTGTCTCGATATCCAGTCACGCCGAGAGTCAACGCAACACCAACTTGAGTATTTCAAGTGGTGGGGAAAATGGAGAATGGATATATTGTCATGACAGTCTTTGGACATCTCGTAAAAGTAAGAAAAGTTCTTGTCATCCATGGAGATTAGCCAAGGTTGAAATGTATTCTTCTCAACCTGAACAGGGAAAAGTCGCCCAACTATCCAATGAGGACTCTGTTCGATACAGCTTGTCTACTTTTATTCATTCTTCCAAAAATAACATTCCGGACATTGCGCAATATATTCAACGACCTCTTAGTACGGGTGCTTGTGTCCCTTTTCCTCCATCCATGGCATTTCATCGAGTATTTCATCATTTTTTGCCAAATGATATGAAAGATACTCATCCCTATTCTATGATATTGGGTGCCGCTTTTGGAGATGGATGGTTCTTGTTAGGTGCGATGTCGTCATGGTTGGTTCAACAACTTTAGATATCCGTAAACAATTCTTCTCCAACCGCAAACTGACGTCTATATGGATACTTTTTACCGATGGATTCCAAATTGTCGGCAAGTTCATGTTGACCATTTTCTTTTAAAGCGAAAACAACTTGTGTCAATTGTCTCGGAGTACTTTTTGTTTTTTCAGCTGCTTTCATAAACCAATGAAGATGTTCGTTCGCTTTAGAGCCATTCTTTGCATAATGTACAATGGCTTTTAACAAGGCACTCATTCCACTTGTGGTTGGCCATGTGTGATTATCTTTTACGGAATGAACAATGAGAGGCAAGATTTGATGAAATTGAGAGTCATCCGAATAATAAAGCAACAACGAGTCCACCATCCATGGATGATGTGCTTGAGGATATTTCTTTTCAACAAAACGATAAAGTTCTCGGAAGCCAACTCTTCTGTTAAAAGAACCATTATACAAAAATCTTTTCAACAAACTTGCTAGAAAATATTCTCTCAATTCCATTCCATGGCTTTCCATCTGAGATAATACATCTATACATTCCTGTCGTCCTGCATCTGCTAATATTTGTGCCAATTTCACAAATGCAACTGTTTTCACCGGCAATTGCCAACGAGACCATTCGGTAGCTAGTTTGAGTGCAATATCTGCATTTTGTTCCAACAACGCAGAGATACCATAACGATGACGAGACCAAAGAGTATCACTGGATTCTGAATGAGTATGAAGATTTTGTTGCTGTTGCTGTAAAATCGATCTCAAATACCACGGAGCAATATCTTTGCGTATAAAAATGTTTTCATGGTCTCGGAAAAAAGTAAGACGATTGCTTATTCTTTTTGATTTCGTACAAGCTTCCAACAGTTGGTAAAGAATATAAGTAGTGGGATAGAAACCGGTATCACACATATATTTGTAACATTGCAAAGCATGATTGAGTTCTCTATTCAATGCAAAATGCGATATTAGAAGAAAATAAGAGTCCAAATCAGGTAACCATCCACAATTCTCCATTTCTTTCCATAAATATTCACTTTCTCCTAATAAGTAAGCACTCGGTTTACTTGGAATCATTAAAGCTCTCAACATTCCATGATAACTTTGTTTAGAAGCTGTACCTGGAATGGACTGTTGCAGTAAATATCGTTGCCAATCATCCTGCCAATCAAGCAAAAAAGAAGAGTGAAACCTTTTTAAACTTAGGTACCGTAGTTGGGTAGTTTCCTCCAGAACCAAAGAGGACTCCATCAAACGTTCTACAATTTGCATCGATAACATTGCCAATGGCTTCAAACGTGGTGGTAATGAAGCTCTGATACAAATGCGACTCACAATATCGTTCCATAAGAAATGATGATCATGAATCGTTAACAGCTTAGTAGATGAGGAGATATCCTTTGACTCAAAGTCACTTTGGAAGCGATCATGAATGAATTGAGTTATTTCCAAAGCCAAAGAATAACCACAACGAAGAAATGCAATAGTTGCGATTCTCAAAGTCCACAAGTCCAAAGCATGGCGACCCACATATCGATGGAATACTCGTCTCAATTGTTTGGTATCTTCATGAAAGCTATGTTGAATGAGGAGAGTTGAAATAGAGTGACTTGGAAAGGACATAAAACGTTCATATTGTTCGGGATAACTACAAGTACCTAGTTGATGTAGTTGATCTAATTTTCCCTTGTCTCCTCGTTGAAATATTAGAATAGAGTGATGCATCAGTTGAAATGTTTCTGCATCAAGGTGACGATTATCTTTGACTAGTTTCTCCAAACGTTGCCAAATGAGTTCCAAGTTTCCTGACCAAGAATAACATTCCAGTAATAAACGACAACACTGTGGAGAAGGTTCACCAAACTTTTGTTCAACAAGCCTAAATATGGATTCTGCCAAAGAACAGTCACCAACTTTTGCACAACTATAAAGTATAAGCTCCAGCTCTTCCATAGTGAGCTGACGTCTATTCTTTACTGCTTGATGTAAATACAAACTCACTTGGTCCAACTCTCCTGAAACTATCATATGTTGCAAATGACTCACGTTGGCTGACCTATCTTTGAAGACAACAGTCGAATCAGAAACGTGTGCAATATGTCGCATTGGAGGTTGTCCCCGATAACTATAGTAGTGTACATATGAACAGCTCTCCAACCAATAACATTTGGAATAGAAACGCCGAGCAATATGTTGAACAGTGGTCAAGAGCATCCGATCGTCAACAACACGACAGTTGCGTCCAAAATGCAAATGATTGCAATTCCTATTATGGTGAGGATTAGTGACTCATTAGTTGGAAAGTGGTTTTGGTATCCATATGTCATGCCTTTTACGATTCACTCATATTTAAGAAACTTGCAAAATGATCTCTTTCCCTTGAAAAAATAATTGCACTACAACTCAACATGACAATAGAGTTGATTTTCCAGTTGTCAATGAAAAACAAATGAGAAATCATTTCGAGTCATTTATATATATATAAATAATTTATGCGATACTTTCTTTTTGAAATGCTTCGCACAAGACAAAATGGGATAGATAGAAATGAAAATGGATAGACAACTTGTTCTAAAAGTGAACCAATTGTCAATAAATATGTCATTCACTACAACATGACAAGGGTGATTTATTAACCCAAGTGGAAGAGAGAGAGCAAGATTCTACCAATAGATCATTTGGAACTATTAAAGATGGATTTCTTAGGTGAACTAATCCACAACTCTTAAACAGAATGTGACGCTTTCCAACAACCACTTTAAAATGAAGTACAATTCTGTAAGTCTACAAAGCTAATTATGAACAAAGGCAACAGCATTCATTTTCTTATTCTCTGATTCTTCCAACTCCATAATGAATTCTACTCTTCAGGAAATGTAAAAGGTTTCCACTATTTCTACAAAGAAAACCCATATGACATGGGAAAGGAATTAGTGTGTGTTTCTAAAGTAATGTTTTTCTTCAACGACTAAATATTAAAGTCAACAAGTAATAAAAGCAAAACAAAGTGAGAAGAGCCAAACTCAAATTCAACTTGTGTTTTCTGTTTCTTTTTCTAGTCAACGGGTTGTCGATTAGCTTTCAGACAAAGCTTACCATTTCTTCCATAATGAATTAGATAGAATGATATGAATGACTCAAATCCTGGACTATTATGACCAAGGTTATTATTGACTATTCATATCTTTTTGCCAATACAGAAATCTTTCAAGAGGAGGAAAACGGCATTGAGTCTTGTGATTCAAATAGAAGAAAATATTAGGCTAAGATTTGGGAACCTCAGATAACTACGAGTAGTTTGGAGACATTTCTTAAGGTAGAAATGTCTTTTCAGGTTCTTAACGGAGCCGACGAAAGTGGAGAAATAACTCCTGTAGTTGTGACTAATCACGAAAACAGTCAATCACGACAACACTTACCATTTTTGCACAGTTGGAAGAATCACTGCCCGCTCTCGTTCATAACCCGCAACTTTCTTATGATGGAACTTGTTTTAAATATTATATCAAGTTGGGTTCATTTGAACAATGATAACATTTGTTTGTCGTTTGGTAGAATATTTTATAAAGGTCAAGGTATGGTTCTCGTTGAGAGAGTTTTTCGTTATGTGACTCAAATAGGCTTGAAGCTTATAGAGTTTTTGTAGCTCCATGGTTCTATCATTCTGCTGCAGAATTTGCCTCAAGTGCTTTCGCTTGGTGCTTCATTGCAGGTCCACTTGAAAAACTGTTGGGTTCATTAAGGTTCCTTTCTATTGTGTTGTGGTTTGTTGGTTTGACAGGTTTACTTTATATTACTTTGGGTTTATTTTTTAGCAAGTTTCATTGGTCGCTACCAGAAGATTGTGTACTTGGAATATCCAACGTTCTTTTTGCTTTATTGGTGCTCGCTTTTTCAAGGTTTGAATTTTCTTTGGCAACACTTCGAGACTTGCCAGTTCCTTCTTGGAGTTTTCCTTGGATGATTTTAATAGTTTGCCAAGCAATGATTCCATCGTCGCCATTTCTTGGACACTTGAGTGGAGTCTTAGCTGGTACATTGTTTGTTCATCAAATATCGATTATTCCAAGTTATCGACTGTTGCTCAAAATAGAAGAATCACCTCTGTTTTCATGGATGCTTCATATACGTGGGTATATTCCGACAACTGTAGCTCTTGAAGATATCGAACGACTTCCTATGCGGTTCTTTTCTAAAGGAGGAGAGTCTTCATGGAAGGACCTTGGATGGATAAAATGGATAGACAAATGGTTATTAGGTCATGACAACTTGGATATAGGCCACGCTTCTCCTCGTGTATCACAAAATGACCATTCGGAAAAACTGACGAGTGTTGTTGTCAATGGAAGTAGGAGTCATCCCTCTTCAAGAAGTAGTAGTGAAGGAAGGGAACAAGAATTTCGCAAGTTGCTCGGTACATCGTTTGTAATGGAAGTGGATAAAAGCTAAATGGAATAGAAATTGGGGTATGAATATCATTGAAAGTGTAGATGAAAGCATATTCATAAAGTGAAATGCATTCAAACTATGTCAACTGTATTATAGATTGTAGGAGTTTTTTGCATTTGACAAAAAGAAAGCCAAATCCTAAGAAAAGAATCGAGTTGACTATGAAAGACAAGATGACAACGGTACGCTTAACAAAAACACTCGAGCAATTGTCAAAGCTGCCAATCCAAGAGCAAAGTAGAAGTGTGTGTAGGTCTTATCTCGCCTCGACCATCCAACTCAACGTTAGGAAGAAGTTCAGGTAGTCCTCTCTTGAATAAGAAAGCTATGGAAGCTATAGTTGATAAGGATTTATCCATCCTGCGACCAAAAACATAACAACTGCATTGCACCTATTTCCTATCGTGGGAGGTTGAAAACTCTGTTGTGATAATCGTCTTTCTACCTGAGTTTTCAAGTTTGCTCTGGTTCTTCCTTCCATTCTTGCAAAGGATCTTCAAAACTCTCTTATCCTTGTCCATTTCCAGTTTGTTCAACTGTTTCTAGTTGCCTTGATACCTGTTTACCGTGACTTGTAACTCTTCTTCATAAGAAGCGTCCCAGAAGACTCTTCAAGAACGAACAAGATTCACTTGGTATTCTTATAATATATGCCTATTCAACATAAAATTTCCGAATTCCCATAAAGCTACTAAAAGCACTCTTTCCAAGAAATAACGATTATCTATGGAAACTTTGGGTCACGTTTCCTGAACCTTTCTTTGTAGAATATCTAAAAAGGTTTATCTCTAGGCCAAAGAGAGAGAGAGAGAGAGAGAGAGAGTAAAAGTGTACAATCTTATGACTTGTCACTTTGGAGAGAACGACTGGTGAAGAAGCGTTCTTTATTTACTAATAGTCAATAATATACAATACCTTATGACAACTGAAAAAATCTTCCAACCATAAAATACTTTTGTTGAACAATATAACAGTTCCAAAAAAGATGACAAGGAGAATGTTTCGTGTTCCTTCCACACAATGCAACAAACTATTGAAAGTTATAAACTCTCTAACCATCGGTTACCCTGTCAACGCAATCATAGCATATCGATATCTTCTATCTAATACATCTAGTTTTCTCAAAGTATACGATTGCTTACTACTCAACATATTCACTGACACATTCCAATGGGATAAAGAGACTTCTTCCACTAACAAGTTTCAACCAAAGCTTATCAAAATAAAGTCTCTTACTCTGTTCCAAGTCTGAAAACAACTGCCTTGTTTCTTCTCGTAGTTTTTTCAACTTTTCCAAAGTACTTTTGTAAGACTTCATACTTCTTGTATCAACTGGGTCCACGGAACGCTGGTGATTCAAGATCGGTTTCCGTTGAGTTGAACCTGGAGAAAAGTTTACCATATGAACACCTTCATTCTGTTGCACTAAGTGTTGTTTTAGTGCGTCTATAGGAAACAAAGAACTCAAGTTCGTTACTCCAATAAACACAAAGCACACGTACTCAAAACTGCAATGGACTGACACCATATGGAGTTTCTTTTATTGAGTTGTTTGTCAAGTTTCCACTTTGACAAAGCACTTTCAAGTACTAAGATAGCCTTTTGTATATCTCCTTGTTGATACAAAGTCCTCGAATAAACCAAGGCACTCTTCAGGTGTTCCATTCTCAAACTCTTCCCATTTTAGGAACGTTCTTTCATAAGCAACTCTATTTCAGTAGCTTGCTTTGGGACATTTTCTGATAAGACCATCGCTCCATCTTCCTTCACCAAAATATCATCTTCTATTCTAATACCTATACCTCTAAAAGCTTCCGGTATCGATGGATCATTTCTAGGAATATATATACCTGGTTCTATAGTAATAACCATACCAGGCTTCAATGTCAAATTCTTCTCCAATATATGAGTGTCATGAACATCTAAGCCTAAATAGTGACCAATTGCATGTGGAAAGAAAGTACCCAAAATATCATTACTTGAAACATCCGTCTTTCTTATAATACCAAGTTTCTCTAGTCCTTCGTATATCCATCGGGAAGCTAATATATGAATGGCTTCCAAACTAGTCACACGTTGATGGCTGTTCTTTACCATATCTATACATTGATTATGTACATCAAGTACAAGTTCGTAGACTTCTCGTTGAGGCTTTGAAAACTGACCATTTACAGGCCACGTTCTAGTAACATCACTACAATATCCATGCAACTCACATCCGGCATCCATCAACACGAGGTCTCCATCATTGGCAATATCACTATTCTGAAGATAATGTAACGTATTGGAATGAGAACCAGAAGCAACTACTGGAGGAAAAGACATTCGCTCTGCTCCCCTTTTCTTACATTCATATTCAATCCGTGCAGCAAGAAATGACTCATGTGTTCCTGCATAACTCATACGCATACACTCTGTCATGGAATCGGCAAGTATTCTGGCTGACTGAAGCATTAAATGTTGTTCACTAGGTGACTTGATCAAACGTTGCAACGCTAATTCAACACAAGTATGTTTTCGATTGGAGAGCAATGCTTTGATATCTGACTCGGCCAAATCACGGAGCAAAAAATTGACAGAAGGATTGACTGAAAGATCAAAATATACTTGAGGTGACTGTTTCAATCGATTGGATAAAAATTTAGAAAAGTTATCCAAGATATCGGCTTGTGCTATTCCAAAGAAACGCTGAGCTTGTTCCACTCCACAAGAAGCACCGTCCCAAGTTTCTTTGAAAGGGTCTCGACGAGGAACAAATAAATATTCGGCTTCTTCATAACGATTATGATTACTCGATATCTGAGTTTTGTCTAGTAGCAAAACAACGTTTGGTTGAGTCAAACCAGAAAGGTAAAACAAATCGGAACTCTGCCTATAAGGATAGGGAACATCGACAGACATGAATTTCTCTGAAGCTGCTGGAAATAAAGCCATAGAGTTATTAGGTAACGACTTTAAAAGATCTTGTCTCCGTTTCTTCAATTCTGTTGCTGTTATTCCGGGAATAATTTCTCCTGGTGCAAGCAAGTGAGGATGAGTTTCAGGAGTTGGTTGTCCTACTCCTTCCAAAGCAGGGAAGGAAGACGACGTCTGCACACTTCTCAAGTTTTTATCAACCCCGTAACAAAAGAGATTGGCTAATGACTTGATTGGTCGTATGTTGGTTTTTGCCGTACTCCACCATCTTTTTGCATACATTGCTGTGGTGGAAAATCCTTTACATATTTCGATGATCTTCTTAGGAAGGTGTATAACCTAAACTTCGGAATATACAACAACAAAATTGGATATTCTTTATCTATCTTATTATGAAAGAGCCAATAAGTACAAGACCTTTGTTTCATTCTTTATTCCATGCATCTCATTATTTTCAACTGAACTGCCCAAAATACAACTGGAGACACTATCAACTCGAATGGATTCATCCTGCTTCGTTCTTTTCTAACATGAATAAAGTGAAAAAATACACAAAAGTATGAGGAAAGCTTGAGAGAAGCGCTCAGATTGCGACATCGAGTCATATTGAAACTTCCTTATATATTTCATTAAAAGATGAAGGAGGAGGATAAATATTGATTTCCAGGTCATTGGGCAGAGTTTTTGAATACAACTCGTTGAATTGGAAACCGAAACACAAAAGTAAACTATATCCCTATCTATCTATCTATCTATCTATCTTTTATGGACGGACATTCTTTGTTTTTCAATGTCAAACCATTCGATACCAGAGTCTCAACCCAATGGATATGAGACTCGAACATGTGTCTCAGTTTATATCAACAACGACCAATAAATTTTTGCACACTTGTTTATTATACCAGCATATTAAGAAATTTCTTGGAAGAAATGTCACATGTGCAAATTTGCTTCTAGAAACACTTTGGCCACTTTGAGAGAACATCCTTTGTTAGAATGACCTGACCTCCCTCATGAATAAACAGAAAACACAGGAAAAGGGAAAGCAAGAAGAAACTCACAACTATATCCTTTATTCAGAATCTGCAAAAGTTCATAGTAACTTTGACAAATTGGATAATATGGTTGAAGTTGAGTCACCTAGCTCGGTGCAAGAGATTCCAAGGTCTCAGTCTGGAAATAAGTCACACTCTTCTAAGAAACCACCTCCTCCAAGTCACGGTACTACTTCTTGGTTTGGTATGTTACCAGCGTCGTTCACAAAGCTGTTTGGAAAAAGACAAAGTGAATCTTCTTCTCAGCAACAGAACAATGGTCTGAGAAGACACTCAGAGCCAGGTCACCAAGTGTCTCATGAGAACAATTCTACGATAGGGAAAAGCACTTCTTATCCAGAAAAGATAAATAGAGATACAACAACTGTAACAGGAGAAGATATCTATAAAGGCAAAGAAGGAACTGAAACTTCACCAAGAAAAGTTCATCATACTTTGCATAACCAGGAAACTGTGGACGAAGATGGTAATCCCCACGTGGGAACAGCTAACGAGTCAGCAAGAGAATTACCTTCCAAGTGGCTTCCAAAGGAATCTGATCCGCTATTTCACTCAAAACAGGAAACCAGAGGTGTAACAACTTCCCAATCACATGACGAGTTTTTAAACAAAATTGGACATCCTCGTAGACATTCAGTTGCAGAAGAAAGGAGAAGTTTTGATTCAGCTCATAATAGTCATCAACTATCTCTCTCTTCGGATGAGAGTACCCCTTCTTCTTCGCGCTCTCGGTCACGTTCACCTTCTGGTGTTGGCCACTTGTCTAACAGAAGCGGAAGCAAAGAACCCAAGTTTATCGTTCCTGTAACAGGAGCCCGCCAACTACGTCCTAATGAAATCAGTCGTCACAAATATGTAGAGGTAAGTAAAAAGAAACTTGGTAGAATAAAATACTAAAAGCGTCATTTGAAGTGTTTAAAACAGAAATTAGTTCCCACAGAATTTGTTTATAAAGGACTCGCAGAACAAGTCTTATTAATGGGAGATTGGCTTGAATGGGACGCTATTCCTTTGCAATGGGAAGAGGAAGATGACTTCTTTCGAGTAGTTGTTGATCTTCCTGTTGGCGAACATGAATTTCGTTATGTTGTGACCCCCAAACAGGAAAATTTTGCTAGTCATGAAAATACTCACAAGAATAATAGCAAATAAGGGACGTCCATCTTTGGTTTCGGGAATAGCAAAAATAGAAATATATGAGAGGCGCTGTATAGTAAAAATGGTTCAATTCTAACTTTAAACAGTCCTTTCCTATTCTCTATGCAAACCTTAAGTTCCTATATCTTTAAACTTTATCCCGATCATATTCACGCTTCTTTACCGCTTCATCACAGTTAGAAAAGATAATCAAAAGAACGTTGTAACATAACTTACGGTCTTTGAGTGTCTCATATGCAGTTACAATTTCACGAAATCTTTCCGAAGCTTTTTGTTTGCTAATAGAATCTTGTTGTCTGTCAGGGTGATGCTAGTCAAATGGAAAATTATTTCAGTTCAAAAAGAATTCATCCTTAGATCTCTTACCTGCATTGCCAACTTACGGAAGGCTAATTTGACTTGCTCAATAGAGGCTCCAGGTGGTAATCCCAAAATATCATAATAAGAGCGAGTTGGAGCAGTGGTAGGAGGATGGCGACGACGATTATAACTTTCATAAGAATCTTGCTTTCTTCTTTCATAAGCACGTCGAAAAGTTTCTTCATGTTGGTTGGCGTCCTTTTCAGCTTTATATCCTTGGAAATATCGCAACTCGGAATACAATTCTATACGAGAACGAAGCCATAGAAACAATGAACTAAAATAGGCAAGAAAGCCACTCGAGAAGGAAGAAATAAGAAGACTACTCAACAAATCAGTCAGCTCAAGCCATGGTGCAATTCCAGCTACCTGACATAATACAAAAGTTGATGTCGATATGGTAGCGCCAGCCAAAGAAGACTTCAGTATGGAATACATTCGATCTCCAGTAGTGTCACCATCTCTTCCATTGATCCAGACTTTGAAAGTTCTACCTCCAACACCTGAAAAGGAAACTTCAAAAGCTGGAAGAAAAATTCTTTTTGTCACAAAACGCTTAAACACAAGGTTCGTACGCAGATTTCTAATACGTTCCGCACCATATTCCTTTTGAATGGCGATTCTACAACGCTTCTCTTCTCTTTCGTATATGAGTAGACGTATATTGTTAAAGGCATCCTCTTCATCCAAGGCAAACGATTCTATTCGTGCTTCTTTCGAAAGATCTTTATGATAAGGAAGCGTCCCTGCAATTTCCAGTGAACGAATAAAGTTCATGTAACGCTTCAGTCTTTCGAAGCCACCATAGACCTGCATAATTCCCAATGAAGGCGGATATTCAACCTCCGAAAGACTACCACTGATAGGATGCCAAGACCAAGTTTCAAAAACACTTTCCTTGTTATCTAGCTTACTCTTCAAACGAACGGTTTCTGCAAAGCCTATCTCGCAAGTGTAATTCACACGAAGGGCTGCCTCGAAAATATAAAAAGGAACATATAATTTTTCAACAGTTAATTCAGTATCCTTAAAGTGCCTATGCAACAATAAACTTCTGTTCCATTTCCTAAAAGCCTCAAGTGCCTGCTTTTGATCAAGCTTAAAAGGCAAGTAAAAGCTATCAGAAAAAGAGGCAAAGGCTCTCAAAAGTACGATTGAGTTTCCCACAACTCTCCGCCAAGACGAAAATATGGTTGTTGACTTTGAATAACAATAAGTGTTTCTAAGGTATCCGAAGCATTGCATGCTACGCCTGCGTACTCATAAGAAGATGATGAAAATCTTCAAGCTTCATTTAGAGCAAGATAATAACGGCAGTGAGATGCTGAGTCAATTCGAAGAGAATAGCTCATCAAACTATCTGGAGTGACTTCGTACCAGCCATGCATCTAAATATTCTTTTCTTTGTTTATTTTGTATCAACAGTATGGGAACTTCAAGGTCCCTAAGATACCAAAGAAAATTGTCAGTCTTTGTTTCATTCAACAAAAGAAGTAGACTGTAACTTTCAAAGAATGATCCTTTTTATATTTTTTAGAGAAGACAGAGAAACATGAAAACATTCAAGACTGACTCTACAAATGTTTGGTATACTCACAGCTTCATACTAAGCTGAAAGCTTTAAAATATTTCATTTACAGTGGCAACAAATTGATAGTTTTGTCAGTTCAAACAGCAAAAATAAACTTTAAAAAGATAATTTAACCTTGCGGCAACTAGTATTCGTACTCAGAATCAATATTACATAACTGAATTGACACAAGAAAAAGAACCCAATACAGACATGTGCATAGTTTACTATTCAAAATTGAACTCTACACGTTCCTCAATTGTCTTCAGTCTTTACGACAGATTCGGATTGAAACTGGTTTGAACCATCATTGCTGGCCACATGGCTTGAGCAGGTGATGACCATTTGGGTAAAAGGGTGGGCAAGATGGATCTATGCACAGCGGGTGGAATATATCGATTATTTTGAAAATTCTTTCCACATTGGCGACATCGCCGCAACCTGCTAGGAACTTTTTGTCTACAATGATTGCACAGTTTATAGCCTTTGCCCTATTACAACATGATTTTTGCCAGTTTGGATGACATAGATGTTACTTGCCGGCCATCTTAGTTTGCGTTCTTTTATCTTCTTTTCACCTGTTTGCTTTGCTTGTGGTTCAGATTGGGTGATTTCAGAAATACTCATGACTCTTTTGATTCTTTCTGCTCTCAGCTGCTTTGCTCTACCTAGACCTCCCTTTTTATGAGCGCAAGCACTACTACAAAACCTCCCAGTGCCGTATTTGCCCTCGTGATCTATTCCACAAGACTCACAAGGTCGAACATATACCTGTGTATTTCTGTTAAAAACAGTTGAGGCAGAATAATTATAAGAATTACTCTTTTCTGGCCATGAAAATGCTTTTCTTCGTGACAAACTTGAACAAGTGTGGCAAAACAGCCGTTAGAGCTGCGACTGGAGTCCTCCGAAAGACTGCTGGTTATATCCGCACTGTGATTATTTGAGAGATAGCGAAAAGTTTCATGACAAGAGTGCGTTCTTGCCATTTTTTCTCAGCAATATGTGCAGTTAGTTATGCCAAAAATGCTCGCTTGTTTTGTCAAATAGAAGCAGGCGAGTAGAGCTTTCTCCCAGCGAAGGGGATTTTTACACTTAGCAAATCTAGAGTAAAATGCTAGTAATTATTTTGGCGCCCATTAATAGGCGCCATTGGATCGGAATTTGACTTGGATTTGTGTCTCCTTTACTTTCTATGTATAGAATGTGACTCGCTTTCAAAATATTTATCAACAGAAACTTGAACTTTTCTCAAATTTCACAACATTGGAATAATTGTAGTTCGGCTTCTGGAGATTTTTTTCCTATATACTTTTCCAGCGAAATACAGTCTCTAGCAGAGATAGTTCTCCACCTTCCGTAAAACAAGAGCTTGACCAGATATACAAAAATTATAAATTCTCAAGTTTTTAACCGTGCAGCAGTCCTGTAACGAATGTTGTCGATCTGAAATATGAAACAAGATATTGGTATTTGACTATAACGAAATCATACATAAAACTTTGCGAACTACATTCTCTACTTGAAAACTTCATCGAAACAATACAAATATCATCTATTGAGCTCTTTTGCAAATATACTGTAGAGGCACATCATTAAGCATTAAACTGCTTTCCGACTGTGTTTCTGGCTTCAAACAGGCTGTCTTCCTTAACAAATCTTAGATGGCTTTGTTCGCTTGAAACAAATATTCCAATACCTTTCCATATCCAAGGATAAAATTGTGGCATTAGTACCTTTGTTCTCTCCATATATTACTCTTACTTGACCTACATGATGACTATTAGTTCAAAAAGGTTTGTTACTATATGGGCAAATGCGGCATTACCTCCTGGCTGTGGAATAACTGGTTCCAAATCTTCCTGATCCAAACGAATCAAGTCTCCCAGTTGCAAAATTTCAACATCCGCAATATACAAATCGAAAACTTCCTTGATAACTCCTTTTCGTTTGAAGTAGTACCCGTTCTCCAGTTCTGTATTTTTGACTCGAACAACTAAATTTTCTTCTAGCCAATTCAACTGCTTGTAAGTAACTCCCTGCTCTTTAGTGTCCTCTTGAAATTTATTCTCAGCCGGAGAGTGCGTAAGAGGGGATACCTTCTCCTCAATATTCTCATCGGCCAAACGAGCTTGTGCGGGCTTCAAACACAAACTAATTTTCTTATCAGAAGGGCGGTAATACAAGTTCTCTGGAATTGGCTTATTACGTTCCAAATTGTGAGCTTCTCTCTTTAATGCCTCCTCTCGTTGCTTCCTTATTATTTGCTCTTGTCTTTGCTCTTCTCTCAGGCGATCCTTTTCTATCTCTCTTGCTCTCTGGAACCTCTCTGCTGCTTGCTTGTCAATGTACCGAATGAAAAGACCTTGTTCTGTTTCTTCAACTTCACAGAATCCTTCACGTCCCAAATAAGCTACGAAACCTGTCAAAGTTGACCACCTTGTGCTATTCATATGTACGTGGTCTCTGTCTTTAATATATTCTTGATATACGACGTTAGCATGAACTCTTTTGGTACCGAAACGGTGCTTCAACACATCTAAGAACGCATTTCGAAATTCTGTCGAGTACTGTCCCACGAAGCGCCCTGGAGCATCAGCAAAAAGAAGCATCATTCTTTGGTGGGACTCCGACTCTGTATGGCACTTGAAACCGTTTTCATCCCTACACTGTTTCTGACACAATTGACAGTACCATCTCAGTCTTTGTAAACCTTTTGCTTTAATACGCTTTGATATCGCTTTGGGTGTGAGAAATCCTTCGGACTTGCCCATCTATTTATCTACTAAAGACACTGTCACAATCCATTAACGGAATTTTGAGTGCAATCGAGATTTAGAGTGAGTACAGTTTGCTCTTTGTAGTTCCACTATGGAACAAAACCTTCAACTTGGCAACAATGCTAAGATAGCTATCATTGGGGCTGGTGCAGCTGGATTAATAGCAGCAAAAAACTTGAGAGATATTGGTTTGTTTCAAGTTGAGGTTTTTGAGGAAACGGATACCGTGGGTGGAACATGGGTTTATCAGGAAGAGGTAGCTACGTCATATTACTTTCAAAGTAGTATGTATCGAGATCTTCACACAAACTTGCCGAAAGAAATAATGGGGTTTCTCCACTTTCCCTTTGATGACACTTTTGGTGTTTCTTCTTTCCCATCTCATCAAGTTGTTCTGAAATACTTGGTGTCCTTTTGTAAGACTTTTCAGTTGTACGAGCTGATTCGATTTCACTGTTCGGTGAAACAGATTTCTAGGTTTGAATATTTTGGTGGTTTCCATTGGGATTTGGTATTGTACAACCACGGAACTCAGCAAGTAGAACAAAGACGATATGATGCAGTTGTTGTCTGCAATGGACACTATACGAAACCATATATTCCTGAGATTCCTGGTGCAGACTTGTTCTTACGGCCAATTATCCATAGCCATTTCTACAAATCCCCTGAACCTTTTTGCAAACTTCGTATTGCAGTCTTGGGAGCAGGAAACTCAGGCATCGATATTTCATACGAATTAAGTCGAATGGCTAGTAAAGTTAGCTTATGTCATAGAAAATGCCAAATACGCAAGACGATTGGAAAGAATTTGGAAGAATGTCCAACCATTGAGTCATTGGAGGCGGATGGAAAGATTCTCTTGGCAGATAAGAGTAGTTTGCAAGTTGACATACTTATTCTCTGTACGGGTTATGAATATGACTTTCCTTTTCTTGACTCTTCTTGTGAAGTCTTTGTTCAAGATAGAGTGGTATTGCCGTTGTATCGTCATTTGATACATGCCAAATATCCAACAATGTCCTTTGTTGGTTTACCTTTACGTGTTCTTCCCTTTCCATTGTTCGATTACCAGACACGTTACCTGGCATCTATTTATAGTGGAAAATGTACATTACCAAGTTGCGAGAGAATGTTGGTTGAACAACAAGAACATCTTGTGGATTTGGATTCGAAAGGTTGTAGAAAATACTACCATTTGTTTGCAGAAAAGCAATGGGAATACTGCAGAGAACTTGCAGATTTAGCGAATGGACCTCGTTTATCAGTTGCTGTTCAACGAGTATATGAAGATGTTTCCCAATTTCGCAAAAAAGAACCAGAAAAATATAGAAGAAGAAAGTATATCATCTTTGGCAAGGGACCCAATGACTGGAGAGTTTTTGAGAATGACTCGGATGTCACTTTGTAAATATAGCAGTTTCTCTTTACTTTCGTTTGTTCCAATTGGAACTCGGTTACTATTCTTCGTCTTCAAGGACCTCCTTCTCTAACTGTATAGGACACGGTTCAGTATCGTTTGTTATCAAGAGAGCTTCAAAAAGAAATATTTTGAAAGAAATACGTACCTCTTCATAGCGACTGTTTGCTATAATGCCAGTTAGAACAGCAGCCAACAAGGAACCTACTGCAATAGAAATACCGCCCAGAAATATCTGACCGTAGTTAACAGCAGTTACTGTTGTTTCAGTATCGAACGTTGCTAATATCTCAGCTTTTTTAAGTGAAATATTGGAAAACGGTATATTTGTAGTTTTTACACGTCTCGTTCCAAGTAAAGGCAACAGAGAGTTTCTCTTGGTTCTTCGGTGCCCATCTAGTCGCTTCTGATGCGGCAGAAACAGATTGGGTATAAAAGTTGTCATAGGCAATTTGCTCAAGGTACATTGGCCAATACTATCACAACGATGATTAGAATGCAAGTTCCTTCGGGGTACACCTGACCAGCTCTTGAATAGAATAGCCATCAATAATCGCCAATGAATTGATTCACGAATGATTCGATAGAGAAATAGGAATGGAATTGTGCTTGGTGCCCTAATTGTTGTTGGACTTGTTTGGTCAGTCTACGAATATCTTTCAGTAAGACATAATATTTTAACTAGTTTCCAATTTATATAATATTGTATCTTAGAATTGGGGTTTTTCTTGTGAAGTGTTTTAGTTTTCTCTTTCGTGGTTGTGGACTAACACCAAGTTATGGGCCTTTTGTCCACTGGTCACCCGCTGTCTTGGAAAGCAAGCCAACCTTATATACGGGAAGTTAAAAGAAAAGGCATCCGGCAGTTTATTCATGTATATTGTGCAACAAAAAATCGAAAGGATGACTGTTTACGCTGGGGAGATGAAGTAGAGTATACGGTCCTCCATGTGGATAAGTCTAGACGCAAAATGTCACTGTCACTAAGGGCGCCAGAAATCTTGCAAGAACTACAGAAGCAAGAACACTCACAACCTGAAGGTTCTTCGGTCGAAGTACTTTGGAGACCGGAATATGCGAACTGGATGGTGGAAGGAACTCCTGGTGTGCCATATCGTTGTTTTGCAGGCGATTTAGAACTAGTGGAGCAAAATATGATGTTGAGGCGATTGGAAATTTTTTCAGTTTTAGAGAAAAATGAAATTGTGCTAAGCATAACAGCATTTCCTTTATTAGGTGTAGGTAACTTTACATCTCCTACAGAACCTGTCCTAGGTATATGTTTTTTGATAATTACTTTTAGAGTATGTGCCAACTGATGAATTTTGTTATTATCGTAGGACCGGCTTCCCTTTCTCTTTATGTACCGGATGCAGCTATTAATCCACATCCTCGCTTTCCAACTCTAACTAGGAACATACGACACAGAAGAGGAAGGAAAGTAGACATTCGGAGACCAGTATACCAGGACGAAAAGACAGATAGAGAGTTTCCAGTGCTTCCTCGATGTCTTGCTCACCAAAATGGTTGCAGTGGTGGAACAAATAGTCATCATTCGTTGACTAATAGTAGTACAACAGATTCTGAGATAGAGAAAGAGGATATGCTTGATTTGGAGCAACTTGCAAAGGAGACTACCTCGGATATCTATATGGATTGTATGGCTTTTGGTATGGGTTGTTGTTGTCTGCAAGTTACTCTTCAAGCCAAGGATATGGATGAAAGTCGTTATCTTTATGATCAGTTGGCAGTCTTTGCACCAATCATGTTGGCACTGACAGGAGCAACACCCATACTGAAAGGATACTTGCTAGATACCGACTCTAGATGGTAAAAAATGTTTTTCTTGTATTGTTTTTGAAATGAAATCTCTTTAGGGATATCATTTGTGGAGCTGTAGATGACCGCACATTAGAAGAAATGCGCCATGGACCCAGAAAGTCTCGATATGACTCCATCGATTTATTCGTATCTTCAAGAAAGGAAATGATTCCAGAACGTTATAACGATGTGGAGGCATTATTGGATGAAGATTCGTATCGCATGTTGTTGGAAAATGGAGTTGATGAAAGACTTGCAAAGCATATTGCTCATTTGTTTATTCGTGACCCGTTGGTAATCTATGAAGAATCTATGAATGCACAAGATGAACATTCTACAGAGCATTTTGAAAATATACAAAGTACTAATTGGAATACGGTTAGACTGAAGCCTCCTTCTCTGGTATGAAAGGAAAATCTTTGAAATTACATTTTGTAAGCTCATGTATGAACAGGAATCGAATGCTGGATGGAGGACAGAGTTTCGTCCCATGGAAGTGCAGTTTACTGACTTTGAAAATGCCGCTTTTGCAGTATTCACTGTATTGGTATCCAGAGTTATTATAGCTTTTGATTTGAACTTTTATATTCCTATTTCCCTTGTTGATCGAAATATGAAAGCAGCGCAATGCAGAGATGCTGTTATTCAACAAAAATTTTACTTTAGAAGAAATGTCTTCGCCGACAATTCTCATGTACCGGATCGTTTCAAATGCGCCTGTGGACGAACTCACAAACCTCGCTTTTCTTCTTCAGTTCAAGAATGTTGTCTTACCGCCTGTTCATCTTGCTCGGATTGTGAGCCTATGACTATTGACCAAATTATTAATGGCAAATCAGTCGATGAACTTCATAGCAATCATAATTTTGCTTTTCCTGGATTGATTTCCCTCATAAGAGGATATCTGGACGCCATTGAATTACCTCCTGAAAGCTCTGTGAAAATAGGCAACTATCTCGACTTTATTTCAGCCAAAGCTAAAGGAGAGTTATTGACTACTGCAAGCTGGATTAGAAAATTTGTGTGCAATCATGAAGCGTATCGTCATGACTCTGTCATAAATGAACTTATATGTTACGATTTATTGAAGGCCATTCACGATATAACTTCTGGTAAGCGAATAGAAAGTGAACTGCTTGGAGATTTCTATCAAGGAAATGGGGAGTGTCATGAGATCTCTGCAGAAATGTTACAAGAAATGAGAACTAAGGTAGAAAAGGGACCAACTTTAATGGCCTCCAAAGATATTTTTCAAAGACTCCATAATCTAGCTAGTTTATCGGATGATGCTTTAGTGGAAATGGAGGGTCGAGTCTCGTCGAACACAGAATACAGTTGAATCAGCTGATACCTTTCCAAGAGAGTTTCTAGTTTTCTTCTCGATTGGAAGCCTTGAAAGTTTATAGGAATTTCGAGATTTGCAGTTGGAATAAAAAGTTTGTCTCTAGTAATATGAAAATATCATGACTTGGTTACTATTCGAGACCTTAGATTTCTATCATAAGCTCCGCATGTCGTACAAAAAGTTTGCATTTGTGGGCTCAACTGATATCCGCAATAAGGACATGGATCATCACAAGCTATTTCTCCTTTTCGAGGCAAAGGAATGAAACTTTTATTTCTACGCTCCTTTTCAAATATTCGATAATACCACAAGTGTTCCTTATCACGAATATACACACCATCTCGCTTCCATATTTCATCCACTTGTTGAACGAATGACTGATTATCTATCCATTGTTCAAAATATCCATTTCCAAGGACAGTCGTACCACTTCCTACTTCAATAGGATCCTTATTTCGCCAACAAGAAGTCACCTCACCAAATGTTTCACGTAATAATAACTTTCCAAACGTTTGATATTTTCCATTGACCCATTTGTTTCCTATACTTTCTCTTTTGGTCAAGTTCTTGGCCAACTCAATCACTTCAGGATCCAAGTAGGGTGAAAAGACAGATAGTCCTAAACTCTGAGCCATAGGAAAACTGGAGAAATGCATATTAGCTATCATTGCATTTCGGTGTTGGACAAAATCTTGTTCACTTAAATGATGCGTAAAACTGTAACCTCCAAAGATTTCGTCAGCACCATCTCCAGTCACACAACAACGAAAACCCAACGACGAGGCTTGTTTCAAAGCTGCAAAGGTAGCAAGGGAGTTTCTTAACTCCATGGGATCGAAACTCTTCAATATCCGAATCACTTGTGGTAAAAGATCCAACAAATGCCTCAAATCTGTTTTCACTATATGATGTTCCAAACCTGTTCTTATGGCAACTTTGATGGCCCATTGTTCGTCTGTTGCGGTACGAGTTGCTATAGTTGTGATGGCTCCTTGCAACGATAATATATGAACACCTTCCTCAGCTACAATGGAAGTATCTAAACCACCGGATAGAATGATGCAGCTTGGTTGTTTCCAATCCTTGTGGTTTGCTATTCTTTGTAAACTTTGTCGAAATATCGTTTTCAACTGCTCCGTTTTTATCATCTATGAGAATATGGAACTCGTACCAAACAATCTTTTTATGTCTAGAATAGTTTCTCAGTGGTTGGATGTTCTCAACAAAGGCACAAAGAGAATGATTCAGTTAATCTCATAACTGAATATTCCAAGAAGATAAACTTAACCATATTCATTGACTGACTAGGATTAATAGAAATGAACTTTTGCAACAGGCAGGTTTTCTTAGTTGGTTTCTTTATAAGTGTAGAATAAGATGTTGAATGAAAAGTGTGAAAACAACAGCCATTTCGAATTATGTTGTTGAATGCTTCATGATTGATGTGCAAGTGGTTAAGAAAATAAGTGAAAGATATGTATACTTGTTTAGGAGAGAAAAGGTTTATTAACGATACTGAAGACCCATCTGATCCTCTTTCTCCTACTAAAAAGAAGAATTGTACTCAACTTGACTCGATTACCGAAAACTCCCCTAAGAAAGATACTGAAACCCTTTTGAAGTTTTTGTCGTGGAATGTAAACAGTTTGAAGCGAGTATTGGAAAGAAAACAGTTGGTCAATCTAGTTAGTCAAGAGGATCCTGACTTTATTTGTTTGCAAGAAACCAAATTAACTGAAGATAAAGTACCCGGTGCCTTTTTGTTACCACAATATAAGAAGTTTTTCAATTGTTGTGAGACAAAACGTGGATATTCGGGAACTGCATTGTTTAGTAAAATGGCTCCCATCGCTGTCTTAAAGGACTTTGAAGGTGTCTACTCGGAACATAATAAGACTGGGTAAGTTCTTGATGTTAAAGAAAAGGTTGCTCTATATTGCACCTAGTCGTTTGATAGTAGCAGAATATGAGAATTTTTATGTAGCTAGTGTGTAAGTCAAACAACATAATATTGCATATCTCATTGAGACCAGTTTAAATAATATGACAAGTTATGTACCCAACTCGGGAGATAAATTGAAGAACTTGGAGTATCGTGTTCACTCATGGGATCCTAGCTTTTGCTCTTATATATGTGAATTACAAGTAAGTTGAGAAATTATGGTAGAATAAGAGTGAACGTGTATAGATGAAGAAGCCAATCGTTCTATTGGGTGATTTAAACGTTGCGCATCAAGATATAGATGTGTATGCTCCCGAACGTTTGGGTTCCAAAGCTGGTTTTGTTCAAAGTGAACGTAACAATTTTTCAAAATTTTTAGAAGAAACCAAAATGGTCGATTCCTTTCGGTATCTTTATCCACATAGAAAAGAAGCTTATTCTTTTTGGGATTATAAAACAGGAGGCCGACTTCGTAACCAAGGTTGGAGAATTGATTATTGGTAGTATTGCAGCTGTTGATATATTTATTTATCTCATATTCTCTAGTCTATTATCTTCCTCTTTGGTGAGCAATTTAGTGGATGCCTTTATATTGGATAAGATAGAAGGAAGTGATCATTGTCCGATTGGAATTCAAATGAGAATTTTTTAGAATTGGTGGAGAGAATTGACAGTTCTTTTGTAAACATGGAAATAGAGGAGGGAAGTAGTTCCAAAGGTTATAAAAAAAAGTTTGCTGGAACATATCAAAAAGCAAAACAAAGAGTGCTGAATAAATTGGGAAAACGCACGACACTTACAAGAAGACCCAAAATTGACTCCCTATCCAAGGAGTTTGAAGTTGTGATAGAAACCAAAGAAAGCTTGGAAAAGAGACTAACAACTTTTCAACATAAACTCAACAGTGTGGTGGCTTGTGGAAGAGACTTGAGAGATACTTATTTGCAGTTATGGAAGGTATTCTTTTCTTTGTAATCTTTTGGAAAGGTTTCTCACGTTGAACTAGAACCAAGTAGGCAGCTTAGTTTGGAACAACGAACAGGAATGCTATGAAAGAAACAAGTCCCCTTCGGAAACCAGGTTGATCGCAGATTTGGAACGTGCAGTATATGAACAGGACCGAACTGTTGATGACGCTATGGAACGTTTCCACGCCAAGTTGACCCATTTATCAGAGAGTCCCATATCCTTGGATGGTCAGAGAGAAATTGAGCTCGCAGAAAATGTAAAACATGCCAAGAAATTATATAAGGAATGCAGGACGAACTATAGTGATTCTGTCATTGATAGTCACGGTGCTTCTTCAAGTGCTCGTTCAAAGGAGGCCTTAGCGAAGCAAAAATACGACTCTCAAGCTGAAGTATTTGCACAAGAGATAGCAACGTTTTTAGAACATTACCGTGGTCAACTTCCTGATCGTTTGATCGAGTTTTTCGAAGCAGAGGACAAAATGATTACTGCTGTTGCAAATGCACATGCAGCGTCTATGTCCATGTTGGGAAGTTTGAAAATGGATAAAAAGAGTGCCAAAAGTTCACAAAGAAAACGTTATGAAGATGAAAATGAAGAGTACGTGGAACAACAGTCGCCTTCTAATAAGAATGGTCCACAGAGTGCTGAAAGTGATAGAAAGGCTTCTTCATCCGTTAAGAAACAAGATAATTGGGATCTTATCTATGGAGTAGAAGAAGTTGACTTGAACCAAGAAAAGGGAAGTATGATTGATTTGCAATAGAAAGAGTTGGAAATGGGATTGTTGGAAATAGATGGCTACAGACAATGATGCTGCAGCTTTCAGTGAAGATGATCATATGGAGACTTTTTTAAATGCTGCTCGTTTTGGTGACTTTCAAGTAGTTCATGATTTGTATTTTCAATATTCCAATAAACTTTTGTTCACTGCCAGAGACGAGTTTCGGAATACTCCACTTCACTTGGCAGCAGCTAACGGACAGTTGGAAGTGGCCAAGTTTCTTACGAAGCAAGGAGCCGACATAAATGCCCAGAATGAGTACGTGGTCCATTTGTTTTCATGGAGCCCAACTTATGTATGTCAAGTGCTGGAAATACTCCTTTGCACTGGGCGGCCTTATTGGGAGAGTTGGAAATAGTACAGCTTCTAGTAGCTGAAGGAGCAGACCCTTGCATTGAAAACGAGTTTCACCGCACTCCGTTGGATGAAGCAGTAGACAAAGGGCATCAGTCTGTCGTGAGTATCTTGGAGAAGCTTTTAGAGTCCCAAGGCAAAGCAGATACGAGTTGGTTGAATGATCAACCATAGTGCTAGGAAGATAGAACTTCTCTTGAGAGCCTTTTTGTTTTCCCTTTGATAAAGAAGAATAAATAGAAAACAGCCTCTAAATATATGTATGGATAGATAGTCTATTAGGTCGTGAATTGCAAGTCAACCAATATATACATATATATATATATATATATATTGGGCTGTATCATAAATATGTTTCCAAAACACTTCTTCATTGATTAGCTCGTAGCTAATGTTTCTTTTTTGGCATTGAATACAGAAACCTGTAAGGTTGTAGACTCGAAAAGGCATCGAACAGAAGAACCCTATTCTGAAATTAAAATTTGGTTTGCCTCAAGAAGGACAAGACTGAGAAACAGTACGAAATGTAACTAACATTTTTTTGTCAACTTTGTCTGACAGAAATATTCTCCAAAGTGGAACTAAGTGGTGTTGATATTCTAAATAACTGATTCCACACAAATTCAAAACCTTTCAAAGTTTCTCGTTCTATTACTATCCAATAAGAAAAGTAGCAAGTGAAACCGAGGAATTGAATGATGAAGAAGACATCATTTCCCTCATCACCGTATGCAATGTACATTTCATTACAAATCCTTTATATTCAATAATTTATTGTTGTAGAAATCATTTGGATGAAACTAGTGCTTCTACCAAAAGATCTCATAGTTACTTTATAGAACAATGTAACTTTATAGAAAGTAAACTCGATAAATGCACAAACTACACGTTACGATAAGCCAAAGCTTAGAGGATATAACATATACTTAGTCATTAAGAGAACAAGTTGAATCTCTATCTTTCATTCTTTTCTTCTTTATTGGCGTGACGACAGAATAGTCATTGTTTTATGCTGACTTGGAATTGTATCATGAAATAAGAATAGCAAAGATGTCTATCGCTTCCAAGGTCAATTCGTTGTGACACGAGAAAAGGAACTTTTTCTGCTTCCGTTCGAATATCAATCCCTCCTCTGCCTTTCAAGTGAAAATACTTTTATGTGATTCAAATAAGATATTTAGGTGGTCATTGAAATTTGTGTGAAGATTCTGTCATTTCCTCGAAAGAAGGCTAACCAGTCGACTTAAAAGTTTTTGAATGCACGAAGTATCAAGCCAGGTCCTCGTGATTGTTGTAATTGTGGGATGAAAATGCCATCTTCATTGGATACGAATGCTTTATGAAGGCATCCCCAAGCATCGAAAGAATATGTAAATCCTGAAGCGCTAAATTGTCCTGATACTCCAGAATGGAAAAAGGCATACTTTAGAAGAAAAATAAGTCTTTCTGATAGAGGGTTGTTGAAGGTTTCAAAAATATACTCCTTCACTTTTTTATTTTTAAATAAGCTGACTTCTCCAAACTTAAAATAAAAATATGGTCAAAGACATAATAAATACCAGGGCAAACAATGCTTCGAATTGTAATCCAAGAGTCGTAGAAGCACTACATTCAAGTGGAAAATAAAATGACAAATCAAACGAATTATAAGGAATCCCACGACAGAACTGGAACGTTCATGATATTTCAAAACAAGCTTTGGATAAACCAACTTGAAAGTAGCTCTTTCTACTTGATATATATGATAAAAACCAAAGTGGCTAGCAATATCCAGAGTTTATTCAGCATATTCGCTAAAGTTCATAAGACCAAAGTATATTTCTCTCTAATGAAGATGAATTTTGAAGATGCTAGCAAAAAGCAGCGTAGAGAACAAAGTATATCTTTTAGGTACCGTTCTATCCATCTCACAGAAAGACTTTCAAGCATAAGAATGCTTTCTACCTTGTTCCTCAATTCTTCTTTTGATACATCTCTCCATTGTGGTACAAAAATTATCGACGGACTGGAAGTGTTTCATGTAACAAATCATAGTGTGCCTTTTGAGAAACAATAATTGCATTCGGTTGGTCTTTACATTCTGTAACTTGTAAGTTGCGTGTCTACTGCTTTCATTCAGAGATAAATTTGAAAATGGTGATAGAATGTCATCTCCTTCATAGAAAGATCCAATTGAAATATGTAGACACAAATGACACAATGTTTCCTTCTTCAACAGTTTCTCTAGTTGATGACTAAACTTCCATAATGTTAATACATATATAAGAGGCAATATCTCGTAGTCGAAGCGAATCTCTCCTTGAAACCTCAATGACACGTCAATCTCTACAGGTCATATGAAGTTTGTTTAAAAATTCAAGACTGATAAGATTTTCCTGGATAATAATGAAAGATAAAATGACAACAAATCCCTGGACTCAGGTTAATATCGTGTGATTTTCTCAACTATTCTGACTAGATATACTTTACCGCCTTGTTTGATGATGAGATCCTAAGAACAACAAGTTGAAATGTACGCATCGTAAAAATAGCAAACCTGGAATTGTGAAGACCATTTCAATAAGATGATCTAATTGAATAAGAAGGTAATGCCATATTCTTTCTGACGATAAGTAGAAGAAGATCCAAGACAAGCACGAGTATATGTGGCAACAAATTGTCAAGTTTTGAAGAATTTCCAAAGTCCAATCTACCTCGTCGTTTTCAATGGAAAAGTAGATGAACGTTAAAGTCAAAGCTCAGCTTTGTTGCTATTAGCTTCATTTATGCATTATACAGCACGAAACAATGGAGTATGTCAAACAGATCACACACTTGTGGTAAGAAGAATAATTTCCTCAAGTTTGATATGGTTTTTGAAAGTGTCTTATAAAACAGCCCACGACTTATGACGACTTTTGAAAGTGTCTGTTTTTGGAAAAATTCTCAGATATTAAAACAAGATATTCCTAAATATTTTTGGAAAGAGATAAAACTATTTCTTGTAGGGTTGAAATGCCAATGTTTCTCGAATGTGGATTNTCCACAGACTTGAAAGCGTTCCTTAAATTCGATAAAATGTCTTTGCCAATAACGTTTTCTACATCNGCTTCNGAAAGAATAACCAATTCNCAGTTGTGAGGAATCAAGAATTCTCCAACACTNTCGCCAAATGAATAACAACGACTNGAATAATTCAAGTCCTCNGATACGTTGGTTGCTAACTGAGTACTCATAATAATCAACATACAATGCCATGTAGGATGACTNGTCAATACTTGATCNTGAACTGGTTTTAAAAGCTTGTGAGCTTCTTCCAAAATTTCNTTCCATCGAATACCATTNCGACTCCATCGGCCTTTNCAAGCAATACCCACAATCATCAAGTTCTTCTCNTTCGTTCTTCCATGCAACTTGAATAATATATCTGGACTNTAGGATGTTGAATGAAATGGAATATATATCTTTTCNAGTTCTAACATTTCTTCCACTATCCTTTCCCATTCNTTGCTTCCAAATGTCATTCTCTCTGTTCCTGATACAGCTCTGGTATAATGTATAGATTTCATATAATAAGCAGCAGATTCGGAAGAAAATTGGAAATTCATTTCNTTCCAAACACGAGACAATTGACCAAGAGTAGAAAACATTGAGCTGTTTGTAGGATGCCGAGAAAAATGTAAATAAAACAGTGTAGCAATAAGACCTTCCAAAATTCGACATTTCGACTCNTAAAAGAATTCNACAGATTGAGACTTGAGGGTTTGTAAAAGTAACCATTCTAAACGATCNTCCTTTAAGCCTTGGTCNATATATTCNATCAGTAACTTGGGAATCAACACTTCNTAGCGTTCGTTGTGGTCTGGTTCTATAACCAATCGACGATAGAGACACATATCTGTAACTAGGTCNAACAAAAACACATCNGAATTTGAGCTTACTTGCACAGTTTCNTCNAAATCNAATCGAATACGATACAAAGATAATAACGTAAGCATTCTTAACAAGCGCTTNCGCTGCTCNCTGAGACTTATCAGACGAGGTAAGAATGTCGCAACACAATAATTTGTTACTAGAAAGCTNTTCATTATGATCAAGAAGGTTTCCTTNGATAATAAGAAATTGTTGTTGGATGATTTNTACAGCAAAAGGTAACTGATTGCTCGAACAAGTAAACCAGGAACACCACCAGTCAATTCCAACAACAATTCTGCAAGTTCACTAGTGAGAAGTCTTCGTGACAAAGAATTTACG